ACGCCATATTGAGCTTGGAGACCGGTTTGGAGTATTACGTATTGAGCGAAAGCCTCATCTTTGCCCTTCATTAACGGTTCCTCCAACCAACTGGTGGCTTCGTCGATGACTGTCAATGCGTAGACATAATGATTTAGCGTCTGGACAGAAGCTGGTCCCCATACATCCATGTGAAATACATCACCGAATTTCTCTGCTCTCGGGGATGTTCGAATTTTGGAGATCGGAGATCTGGCAGCTTTAGCAAGCATGCAAGTTCGGCATTCGGGTTCTTCCATCTGCTTAGGATCTAACTTGATCCCGTGAACCTGGTTTGATTTGAACATATGTTTGACATAAGCATAGTTCTGGTGGCCAGCGATGCAGTGTGCTTCATAAAGCGAAACCATCCTGGTTGTCTTCCCAGCATAGGCATATTCTGCGCTCGGAATCTGGTAGAGACCATTTGTTTTGGGAACGATTCCAATCGTCTCCCCCTGTCTATTGATGATCTTAAGAGTTCCATCTTTAATTACCATCACATATCCTGCATCGTCGAGTTTACCCAATGATACAAGTGTGTTAGGCGTGTTGGGGCATAGGAGAGTGTTTTGGAGTGTAAGCGATTTCGAAATTCCATCCTCGTTGATTGGAAGATCGATCTGGAGATTTCCGGCAGTGTTGGATGTGAAGGTCTCGGCGTTAGCTGCCTGGATAATTCGGGTAGGGACACTCCGCGTGTTGCGAAGTTTGTCCTGAAGTGGAGTCATGTGGGATGAACATCCTGAGTCAAACAGAATTGCTCCGCTGCTGTGAGATGCTACGAAAGCTGTCTCATAATTACTAGCGATTTCGGAGAAATTAAATATTTCCTGTGACGTAGTTGTGGTAACTTCCACGGCTGCCCACGATGACTCGGGTACTTCCTCAATGGTGGCTGAGGATCCCACTTCTTTATTCTTTGATCTCCAACTAGTACTGCCGCTTCCAGACGGTTGGTTTTTCTCCTTCTTCTGAGAACTCTCTTGGGCCTCGTTGGCCTGTTGTCGCTTCGGCGAACTGCATTTATTAGCGAAATGCCCTTTTCCACCGCAATTGTAGCATGTGGAATTGTTCGAGTTTGGTCGACTCTGACCTCCTCCTCTATTACCATTTCCTCTGCCCCTGGACTGGCCTCTGAAGTTTCCACGATTTCGGTTAAATCCACCCCTGCCGCGGTTGGAATTTCCACCGGCATAGTTTGCAGATTCCTTCTTTCCAGACTGTCCTCGGGTATGACCAGATGCTTCAGCACGTATCATCGAAACTAGCTCCCTTGTGGTCAGCGGGACTGAAGTCCTTGCTGCAACTACTACCAATGCGTTAATCGTTGGTTTGAATATGTTTGGGATGGAAGCAATGATCGTGTTATTGAACATTTCCTCGGGAATGGTGATTTTCCGTGCCTCCAAACTGTCCCTGATTTCCAACAATTTATCCAAATGCTCATTTACCTTTGATGGTTCATGGCAGTGCATGGAATGAAGCTGTTGTTGTAAGTGCGCTTCAGTGAGAGCACTTTTCGAATCAAAATCACTCAGCAGATTTTTCCATAGATCAAACACGTTTTTGTAATTCTTGTATCGCCTATAGATCTGGTCTGATAGGCGGCCCACAATGGCATTTAATAAATTTCCATCGTCATCTTTCTTGGCTTCCCATGCTTCAGTGTTATCTTTTGGATTAGATGTGAGGTGATCTGAAAATCCAATTGATCGGGTGGCTAGCTCCACTCGATTCTTCCACGTGTCCCAGTTAGATCCATCACTTTTAAGCGTAGATACCTTGTCAAAGGCTTTGAATACTTTAGACATATTGTCGTCGTCGTCGTCACTTTCTGGATCTGATACTTCTGCTCCTGGATCTGGGTCTTCCGGATCTGGTGGAGGTGGTGAAGATCTTGGCAGTGAAGATATTGGTGATGAGGGTCGGTCTAGTACTGGGCTAGGTGGTGGTGGGAATACAGGATATTCTGGTTCTGGAGCTGGTGCTGCTTCTGGCGTACCCTCTGGTTTCTGGGATGATGATGATGCGACCTGCTCTGGGGGTGCTCCTCGTCCAAGTATAAGGTCTTCTTGCTTTCTGTCGATAAGTCTAGCAAAGCCGGGGATATAACCAGTTGTTATTTTGTCGTATCTGTTAGGACAAGGTTGATCTTTGCAAACTCTATATTTGTTGCTGTCGGGATCGTGATACCGATCCTTGATGTCGTCTTTATCGAAGATATGCTTCCTATGAGCACAAGCTGCAGTTGGCTTGGTTGGACGGTTATCAGCTTTGCGAGGAGGGTTAGTCCTTAATGACATAAATCAATGTATGCACCGTATTTCTCGTTTATTTAGGTTAGGGCGGGGCCCATAACCTGTTAGAATATAATCACGTTATATTCAGCAGCAATGGCAGTAAGAGATAGAGTGCACACAGCACTGTAGTTGATCACACAGATCAGACGATGAAGGAGTAGAGAGAACTGCTTATTCGACAAGACGAATACTACAGGTTTATATACAAGTCCAAGGTAGACGATGTCATGTTACAGCTAAACGTAGCGAGAGAGAAAGGAAGTACAATACGATGTATCCTACTGGTAGTCCTATAGTAATAGTACACGATGGTGGGATTGATAACACAATGGTGAGACTGATAACACGATAGTGAGATAGTGGTTTGTAACAAGAGAACAATGTTCCATAGATGGTATGTGAGTCATCAAATGTTAACATACCAAGGGTATTCTTATTGGACCTTACACTGGCAGGAGTTTGGGAGAACTTACTCAAGTGACCATGAGCCAAGGATTGACTCAAATGACTTTCTAGAACTCAGGAATTGTCAAATACACATTCTAGAATGAGATCATGCATTAATCTAAAAGACTGTGATTTAGTCTAATAAATCAATCAGGTTGCATGGTCGAGGAAAATGACTAGAAAAATGATCAAAGTACTGCAAGGCTTCAAAAACATATCAAATGAATGTCAAAGAGTCCTGACATAGAAAATATTGAAGAATACAATTAAATGAATACTATGCACAACTCCCTTGATAGAGTATAGACACAATGGGTGTCTATTGAAAGAGAGAAGTAATTAGTTTAATCCAGATGAATCAGATTGATAGGATTAGAAACGAGGAGAGCTAATTTGCCTCCGGATGAGGTGACAAACAATTGAAGGATGTATTGAGCATCAATATCAGCTGCAGACCATTCGAGTCATTCTCCAAACCAATTAAAATTAAATGAATACTGAAGCACCTACCTATGTTTGGAGGTATGCTAGAATCTTGGAACCAATATGGACCAAATAAGAACAAATAGATTCAAATTAAATGATATATGACCTTTTGTAGAAATTTTCTTGTGGTTCTGAACATTTATTTTATTAAATTAATTGTATTGTGTGATTCTATATCCTGTATGTATATATAGCAATCAGATGTATCTGGAATTCAAGTGATTTTGGGACGACGTTGCAGTGCTAATCCGTAAAAAGGAAAGACACACTCCCACCAGACTGAAACCTCTTTGCTAGCAGCCATTCGGGCCCGGCACTTGTGAGTATAGGAACGTCATGTTCTGCTCCTTGTGACTGCGAGAAGTATATCCAGTTGTTGGGTATTCTTCGAACTTAGGATCAGTTGTTGGTCTTAAGGGCAAATCACGCTGTGTGGTTGTGCCAGCACATAGTTCTAACCCTCTGTAGGGGTCTGTGTGTTTCGGTTTTTGCTTTACTTTGATTCAAACCCCCAATTCTTGATATACCTATATCAATACAATCAAAGCACAAATTGTGCTGAATCTACCTTAATCAAAGGAATATACTGAATCCTTAGAACGATTCAAATTGATTGATTGAAGCTTCTTACTTAGCTCTCAAAGCTTTGCGGAACCTTTGCCAATGCTACCCCTTGCTATAATAAATTTGATAGCAGTGAACTCGCATATTGTGTATTAGGTTGGTTGGTTGGAGTGCCCATTTGATTCATTCCTTTCTCTTTCACACAAAAATGAGGCAAGCTCGTTATCAGTCATGCCAATCACCATTTCATCCAGAATCTCCCCAGCATCCTCCTTCAATGTGTAGCTGACGAGACCATCACTGACTTACGAACCACCTTCCTCCTCGACATATCGCCATTCATCCCCCTTCCTCGAAGCCAACAATTTTCTAATGCCAAGGCTCTTCACTACCTCAAACTCTTCATCTTCAACAACACATTTATCACTCGCACAGCATGTTTCATCCATGCTACTGTCGTACATTGGAATTCACTATGCCAACTTCACATAGTCTGTGAAGAGGAGAGCGAGGAAGACGAAGGTTAGACAATCATCAATCATCATCTACCCCTTCTTCTCTTTTTTGTCAAGGCAATGACATTCTTCCTCTCTCTTCTTCCTTGTGTTCAACTTCACTCTCAACATGACTTTCTTCCGATACCTTCAATTCCTCCTTTTGTACTCTCTTGCACTGTTGTATCTTCATCACTCGTACCTTTTCGTATCTCTTCTTGTCACTCATACTCTTCAATTTACTCTTACTCATCTATTTCTCTCACACTTTCACATCTCTTGCACTCTCAATCTCTTGCACTCGCTCTTTCTCGTACATTACTCTTACTCGTATGCAGTACATCAGCAGTAGTCTACCCTTCCCTCTGTGCGGACTGAGCTCGCTATTGTTCATGTACTGTAACCGGCTGTTCCAATGCGGGACCCCGTCTCTAGGGACAGAGCCGAGTATCAATCAATTATCTATCTACAGGATAAAAGCGCTGAGATCCTAATACCCGTTGTTGGGGTTGTTTGGCAACAGCTTTAGTTGCTATATTGCCGTGTTGTGCTTTTATCCTGTGGTACCCTGGCAAAACCCTGTAAATGATATTGTGATGAACAGATAAATAGTGTCTTCTTGATTCAAAAGAACCGTAACGGATATTGAAAGAAAAAAATATTGTCCATTCCAAACTTCATACAAAAATGACCACCGCAGGACTCGAACCTGCAACCTTTTGGTACGTCTAGCAATCGAAGCCAAACGCGCTACCATTGCGCCAGGTAGCCATATTTGTAGTCCTTCCCTGTACATACAAAATCACACTCTCCACACGCAATGTTATGACAGAATATGACCTTGAGAACTGGACGGCTAGCTTAATTTACTTGAGCGAGACAGCGCGAGAGACATCGAAGAAAAACCACTCACAGATCATGACTGTACATGTACCAGACTCAGACTGTCCAGGTCCAGTACCGCAAGAATGTCGCATCTTGCATGAGGCTGCATAAGCAGAGTCGTCACCAAAACAATAAGCATATCACTCTATTTGCTCGCTCAGCAAAGACGCCATAAGTTCATCAGCATGTAGTAAGTACGGGGTGAGCTTGGGTTGAGTACAGGTGTGTACATAGTTGAGGAAAGCACGGGGAAAGCAGAGTCAGGAGTGTCGGACACGCCCAGGGCAGTAAGTACATAATGCAACAGTCAATGATTTGACAGAAGGGGGTATAAAGGGGACGCGGATAGCGGCAGGTGGCATGGCAGAGACATGATGGACATAGATAGATAAGTACAAAGAAAACTTATCGTCAGATACTAATATGGGTACTGGACGGAGGAGAATGGATATCCCGAAAGCGATAGCGATATTACGACGAAAGAGTTTACATGACAGTCGAATACGCACCACCGTTTCCCATATTTCCATTCGTAATCATAGCACCCATATTAGCACCCATGTTCGGAGCCATACCCCCCATCGTAGCATTCCACCCGGGGTCATAATACGCCATATGTGCTGGGCTTCCACCACCACTTGAGCCAGTAGTACTCGTGCTCATTGCCCTATCACGGTTCCTTCGTACATCCGACGTAGCGATGGAGCTACGACGGGAGACCGAAGCCATAATGCCTTGCTCGTTGACGCTAGGTCTCCACTTGTTCTGGTCCAAGTCTGGGGCGAAAGAGACTGCAGGATAAGGACCACTGCCCATGTTATTATTGTATATCATCCCCATAACAGGGTTTTCCACAACCATTCCACTAGGAGAAGCCACCATCGGCGCTGCAGCACGACGCATCATTTGCTGCTGTTCTATCGAAAGGTCATAACCATTCGATGGAGTACGTTGAGAGACATTCGTGTTCATTTGAGGGGGAGGGGGAGCAGCGAATTCTGGAGATCCACCTGTGGCATACACTGCACCTTCACCTGCACCTTCCTCATCACCGTACATGTATTCACCTTCTTCCTCATCAGCATCAGGAATGGGCAAGATTTCAATCTCTCCACTAAGGATCGTACTGAAAGCATCACCCCTTTGAGGCTCCTGAATGCGAGGAATACCAGCTCGATCACGCCAGTCGTTCAGTTCTCGTCGAAGAGCATCAGACTCGAGCTTGAGAGTTCGAAGCTCTCGTGAAGCGAGTAAACGATGGCGGCGTGAGGCATGAATATGCGCGATAGAAGAATTTACGATAGCGGATTTCGATGGGCGGCGAATTTGGGAGAGATTCGGTAGAAGAGCAGCAAGATCCTACAAAAGGCATAAGAATTGGTATTGGAATAAAATGTAAAATGACGGAATTATTTAACGTACCAAAAATCTACCATTCAAAGTTTCCCTGCGCGCGCGTTCGACTGCATTGTGAGTGGCACGGCGTTCGGCAGTGTTGACGCGACGAGTAGATTTGCGCTTGTTACCACCGTTTGCAAGTCGTGAGCTGGGTTCAGCAGCGGTGGAGTGACGCTGAGAAGGTTCAGCGAAAATTGGTGAAACTGGAGTGTGAACTTGAGAAGAATCGTCGGAGGAAGGAGATCCCCTGGTCATTGGGGAAGGAATAGATATTCCAAGAGTCATTTTGAGGTATCGAAATGAAAGTAGAACGTTGCAATTGGTAGGGGGAATTCAGAGGTTAATTGTTTAGTCTGATTATCGCGAGCTGAGCTCAAGCGTTTTAGTTGAAAAGTAGGAAGCAGCGGATGTTTTTGAAACCGGGAAGGGTCGCGAGGATCTAAAAGGGCCACGTTACTTAGCAATGGAGCAATAAAGTAGTACAAAGGATAACTTGAAGGTCGCCAAAGGTATGTAGCCAAAGGGGCTTCAAATTGGTCCTTTGTTTTGTGACACTTACTACCAAGCGTTATCCTTCGTCACGGCAAGGATTTTGCGGGAAAGGAGGAGAAGGGGTGGAAAAAGGCGAATAAGCCAACGTTCTAATTCAGATTGTAGTGGGAGGGAATTGTTATCGCCAGAAACGCCGAGTTGTTATATTTCTATCGTTACTTTCCCGGACCGCCAAATCCCATCCCAAGTGCGATCAAAGACCGAACGACATAAAACGTCCGTCGGCAATCGCCGATCCGTTCTCGACCCCTCATCAATCAATGTCAACAATGTCAATAACCTTCAACAACCATCTCTGGACAGAATCGTAGAAAATTGTTCTGTTGCGCTCACTTCTTCTAAGCTATATATATCACCACGTCTTCTAGTCAGAACAAGATCTTAATTCTCGTCCTCAGCAAGTTTCCGACCTTGGATTGTTTCATGAAGCCGCAGGAGCCCAACGAAGAACCTTCCGGTCGCTAAGTACATGTACAGCTTACAGGGCTCAGGTTGGTCTGAAGCGCGAGAGCAAGCCAAATGCGAGGCTCGCTTGTGTTCTTAGAACTGTCGCAGCTTGTTGTCACCGTCAGGTTCTGCCCTGCGGGTTACGAGCTGTCCAGGTGATACTCTCTTGCAACCCTGTGGGGCCTTGTTACACTAACCCACGAACACGCCGGAAGGTATCGAGCGATATAGGCCAATCTTTTCTACCCGAATCCTCTGAATCCCCCCAGAATTCTCCATTGAGCCACACGTACACACACACACCCTGTAGTGTACAGTTGGTCCGTTTGTCTAAAATCAATTTTAACGTGGTATTCGCTCTTGATCAATCCTTCTAAACTTATTCTCAAAAGGTCCACAAAAATGCCTAATCATTCAAAAAAAGAAAATCACAGTGGCACATAGATTCTTTCTGATTCTCATTTCTCGCTCACTTGTTGATTAACAGCTTGTCGGATTTTCACAAACGCAGTCTTGTACGCTTGATATTCGGCTGGTTTGGTTAGAAGAAGTAAACGATCGCTAGATTCTCAGTTGTTCTTCCCTTCTCTATTCTCCGTAATGACCGAGAACTGACTATACCTGATCCTTTCATATCAGGTGTATCGCTTTGCGTGCAGAACCAGACACCTTTTTAGGACTCGAGTCTCAGTTGGCAATCGTTGATTGGACCATGACCTCTTTCCGACACCCGTAGGCCTCCATACCAAAGCTGGTGGTGATATTTCAATGATCCGTTCAAAACCACAAACCAAACACCAAGCTTTAACTATCTGAGCACAAGTGAGTTCTCAGCTCACCAACTTCTCGTCGGAGAAATGATTACTGCTAATAACGTGATACACCCTTGTTCTATCTTCAGCTCGGTAAGGTAAGGTATATTACCGGCTCGGGATCAAGTACTGATATGCCCAGGATATGCCATGTACAAACTTGTACAGAATGCGGAACTGTCAAGACTTCGTCATTGCTGCACAGAGCGTCTCTAAGCCTCTCTAACGAACCCTTTGACTTTTGACATGTCAATCTTCCTGCTGATTTTGTCGCATTATAACAAGAATAACAAGACTCATCGATACGATGGATATTATTCAATGAGATCGAGGGCTTATTCTATGGCGTTCTAATCCGTGGACAAGAAATGTGCGAGTGGTTGCGCGGTTACGCTCCGAGTCTCATATACCACTATCTAAGTAGTTCGAACTTGTTCGACTCCGGGAATGTAATCAGGAAAAAGTGCTCCGATACCTGAAATGTTCGATCTAACCCGGGCACTCTCGCTCTAAACTCGAATCGGTATTTTCCAAGACTAATCTGATAGTCTGATGAGTTCCAACATCAGTGAGAATACTCCCTATGGCACACTGTCTTTGGCTTCCAATCACTGACACTCAAATAGAAATGGTTGTGAGTTCATTCAGCCAACGCTAAATCATTGCACCCTGTTTTTTTCCACTCCCGAACTTAAATTCAACTTAATTTCAATCCCTGATCTGCATCACTCATTGGTATTCCGATGATAACCCATTTCAGCCTATTTCAGCTCAATCCCAGACAAAATTGTTGCAAGAAACTTTAAGGTGCTGCGGTCCTGAGTACAAAGTAGTCGAATCAGAAGAAGGAAGTAAGGTACGTATACATTAGGACTCTAAGTATGCGTACGTGCGCAATTTTTCAAATCGAGTCGTAACAGGTCATAACTCGCAAGTGGCACTAGATTCCTACGTACGTAGAGGCTATTTGGAAGAATCTTTAACCCATTTCACAAGGGCAGCCCCAAGTGAGGTATCTAACCTGGTCAAATTTCACGAACAATTCACGAAAGAGCTCGACCTGTCAAAACTGATATATCATGTGACTGACAATATGCTGTTATTTGCGGTCACATGATGTCGCTGAATTGTCACGCGGAATTTTTTTCTTTCCGGTGAAGATTTTATTGTCACCCTGGTCGTCGTTCCTGCTTTGACATAAAAATTTATTGTTCGCTGTTTGAGACCTTCGCGGCGCATGCGCATTGACAACCTATTCCGGTATGCTGGGGAAAGTAGTGACCAAGCACCCAACCTAATACGGTAAAAATCCTGACTCGTTCCAAGAACAATCGTCCTCTGTGGCCACAATCCTGACCCATTATAAAAACCATGATTATTCCCCCTTCGAGATAATCCACCACAATTACCATTAACACCAACTCGATGAACGAAACTATCATTGAATCCGGGCAAACGAAAGAAATGCAGCTCGAGTCGCAATCTCGGTGCGCAAGCATCAATCCCCATACAACAATCATCCAAATATGTTTGTTCTTAGGAGATAGCAGGGTGTCTCCAGACGTCGGAAGTACGACGCACACTCTTTACGATGTGGCTCATGAAGAGTGGGGGACCATGGTGCATGCAATTTTTTCTCCTCATGATTCGTGTACTACCGGCACAGGGGCCTGGATACAACTTCGCGTCGAAAGCGTCAAAGAGGAGGACGAGTATGAGATGACCTCACGACTTGCACGAACGGTTCTCGAAAACGAAAAGCTGCTTGTTGTGCATTCCATCGATGAATTCATACGCCAAGCGACGGAGATACTCGAGGATCCCATAGCGCAGTACACGAGTCAGCCTTTGATAAGACTGCAACAATCATTGACCAGACTGGAGGATGACGCGGAGGTAGAGGAACGAGAAGATGAAGATGAAGATCTTGAAGATCTTGAAGAGAATGTAGAGAATGATGATTCAGAGTTCCGGATACCACTGGTTTCGCCTTGTGGGGAGGTTTCATATCGTGTACAGGTGCAAAAAGGCGTGCACGCCGCACTTCAGGTTCTCATGGAAATGGGCTTGGAATTACGTATGAAATGACATTGAAAGAAATTCCTTTGACATACGTCGTACATGTTCACATCATACTTGCCACGTCCTGTATCGTCATATTCATCAGTAGAGATTTGAAGAACAAGAGCAGTATTACGCACGATGTTTGATATATTAACTCAACAAGACCTCGATTTTAGAGAGTTCATCAGGCCCTTTGACCCTTCGTAATTGTATCCAGATCTCTTTCTGCCGGACCTTGTTGAATCACAGCCCAAGCCTGTTCGTGAATCTGAACTGGAGCACGATAACCATGCGTCTGCGTTACTGCTTCGTTGGAGTATTGCTTGATATAGCGCACGATGAGACGGAGAGGTAAAAAGGTAGCTTGAAGATATCGACATAGAGGTAGTGATCTGCCCTGCCTTGAAGCCTGCGTTACGCCGTCTGTCGGAAGGTTTTGAAGTTCATGGGAAGATGAGAAAAGGTCGTGCAGCTTAGTCAGTGGAAAATTGCCGCGGCCTTTTGACAAATACAAGGACCAAGCAATGAAAAACATCTCGCTATCATCATCAAGTTTGCAGTCTCAGATATCCAGAACTGAGGAAACATAATACCAATAGGCAGCACTAGTATCAATGAGAAAAGTTCAAGTGTCAATTCATGATCCACGTCGTTCGACCGTGACCTCTTCCTCGCCGCTTTCCTGTTTTTGCTTCATAGTCAATGAACCTCTTCAAGGGCACACTTTATCACCTTCGAAAAAATCTTGTCCGCCTTTCCATCTTCGATAGTCACATGAAATAACTTGTCTTTGTCTGTTTCGGGGTCAGAGTACATCTACGAGGTGTGCAGACATCTGGACCGGAAAACAGGACGTCTTTGAGCGTCATCGTGTCTCCAGTATCCAGGGTACAGATTGAGTACTGAACGTACTGAACGTCCAAGGTATGTTCCCCAGCTTGATCTTACCGTCGACCCCGGCACCGTCTAGAGATTCAAATCGGACCATGCCTTTTTGATGCCGGCAACGACCACAGCGGCGAGCGCGCGCAGCTCGCATCTCATATTCGTTTTCACGCCTTCGCGGAGTTTTGAAAAAAGTAGTGTCGATGAAACAGCGGGTGAGGCGCTGGAGGGCGCTGGTCGGAGGAAGGTAGGGAACGAAATGGGTAGTTTGACGGAGGCCTTGTGGTTTTATGATAGTATGTACCTTCTACCTGAAGTCAAAAAAATTCAACATGGAACAAGTAGATCAAAAGCAACTCACCAAGCAAGGGACCGCAGACTCAGTGACTGTGCGGTATTCAGTTAGACCAAAGGTATGTAACCGAGATCTTCCATCGGCGGTTTTTTTTTCCTTTTTTCCTCGGTGTATCGGGGTATATCACCTTGCTTGCTAGGTCCTTTGCCACCCCGTCTTTACCAAGCGCCCGTGCATTTTTTTCACACGTTGGGCGCTTTAATGTTGTTTTCAGCCCAATGACCTATTTCAACAGATTCTATTCTCTGTTTCTATAATCTGGCTCATATCCTTGCTTGTTTTTCCATCCTTTGATGGTATCAGTACTTACAGTATCCATGTGAAAATTGAAATCAAGCAAGGTTTATCGTGCCCCGCAGGGGTCCGCTAGTCTACCTACTTAAATGTGTCTTTCCTTTTCCTTAGCCTCTGAGTCTTAGACTCTATTGCCTACGGGCCATAGGAGTATCAGTCGATGTCAGGCCCTCTTTAGCTCCCGTCGGATCTACAGAAGACCTTTCCGATTCCGGACTCATCCGGAGTCCGCTTCTCTTAAATAATGCCAACGACAGTTGCGTCCCGTCTATCATAGAATCTTTGCTGGCCAAAGACTCCTCCAACAAATCCTTCATCCTTCATTCTCGTGTCCTCACTGTCTTGTACCCACCCACTGTCTATCTTCCTGGGGTCTCATTATGCGTTCTCTCCAACTCACTTGTTGGACAGCCCTCCTTGTCCTCAGCCTCAGTTCCGTCGTGTGTGCTATTCCCATGTCCTTGAAGCCCATGCCTTCCCTTCCTGTGAGTGTTTACTTTTCAGAATACTCATATATGATATTTACACTTTACTTACCGTACGAAAATTTAGGCGTTCAAATCCGTGCCTTCCAACTACATGAAGGAAGTCTCAATCCTTTTCACGGCATCGAAGAATTCACCAGTTACGACACAGCGTATAACGAAGGACAAAGCTACCAAATATCCCGCTCAGAAAGTTGTCGAAGCGATGTTCGAATCGGCGTGGAAGGAGCTGGGTTTGGAACAATCTGGAAAACTGCCAGTCATGCATTTCTTCACGTACCAGTACCTTCGTAATTGGAACCATCGAGAAGTGCTCAAATACGAGATCACTCGCGATGCTGCGAAACATGGGAAGGGGACGTGTAACGATAATTGCTACGCGACTGCAACACCAGTTGAAGGAAAAAATGATCATTTCGATTTTGAGATCCAATTGGACGTGGAAGGGGAGGACGGAAAACTTCAGGTCTTTTCGAAGAAGGGAGTCAAGGTAGATTTGTAGGAGAAAAGGTCCCGTTAGGATGTGTACTTGAAATGTGTTTGGGATTGAATCCCACTATGTTTTCCATCATGCCATGTCAGCTCAGGCAGAGACCACAAATTGAAAGAACACTAACGAACGCGAAGTTGAAGCCGATGCAATTTGTGTGAAAGGTTTGTGTGCCAGCGAAGGTTAAAGATCTCCTCACCAAAAACTACGCCACCTCTCCTCACCTCTCTTACAGTAAACCTTTCTGCCTTTCCGGGAACGTATGTGGGAATTAGAGTAAAATTCATATCTTATCCTATATAGGACAGTGTGATCCTCGAGGCTGATCCCCCACCTTGCGTCCACTGTTCGCTAGTTTCACTACTTATATCGCTCCTCACTTTCCACCTTTATCGCCTCCTTCCCATTCGTAAATACATTGCGACCTGTGCTATCATTGATAGTCAAATCATAATATCCCGACTTCAAGCCTTTCTTCCGCTCTGCTTTCAAAGTACAAGATCCCGGTTGGCACACCTTTGGACCTTTGAGCTCGACTTTCAGGATCATACTGAAGGTCCAGTCTCCAGGACTTCCATCAAAGACAAGCTCTGGCAGCAATACCGACTTCAACCTTCCACTGTTTTGGGAATACACCGGCTCCACATCCAATTCTTTCCATGCTTCCACAATCATCGCCTTAATCACGTCTTTAGCCCGAGCTATTTCTTGCGACGTTTCCCACTGGTATGATTTGCCTTGGAACGAAATTCCTATGCGATGAATATACCTCGGCTTGGTGTAGCGACTCCGAGGGTTGAGATGGGGGGAGCTGGAAGAAGACGAAGGACTTGGATAGGTGGCTAGCTCTGCGACAATACTATCCACCTAAATGCAGGTCAAAATCTAGCTCGATTGGCCAAATAAAATCAACGACTTGCCGGACGAGGAGCAGCCCATACAACAGAAACGAGACCAAGGAAAAAACACGCGGTCCACAAATCAAGGCGAAGGATCATGGCGAAAAAAAACGATCAAGATTCACAAGTGCGAAGTAGAAAACGATTGCTCAGAAGAGGGGCAGAGTATCACTTGGTCGGGTCAGAGTCCCTGCTTTCTTTGACCAGCAAAGATGCAAAGAGGCTCCAGTTGATGTTGGGAGTTTGAGAAAGAGAATGGGGGCGAAAAAGGCTCACGCGATGCATAAAATAGCACGGCGCTCCGTCGGATTAGTATTCGAAACGCGTAAGCTTTACTTCAGTTGATCATAATAAAATTATTGTTACTACTGTACAGAGCTCTGTACAGTTTGTACAGTACGCGTTCCTGAAACTGGGTTTAGATTGAAGTGAACATTGTTTCCTTTACGGTTGGATGTCTAGTTTAGAAAATGAGTAACATGTACCATACCGGCAGGAAAAGAAAAGACCGACACGGTCCCATTGAGGAACAGCCGTGGGGCCAGAACTAACCTTCGAAGCAGCGGTTTCACCATTGGGGTCATGATCTACACCAATGTAAGATGTTTTTTGAACAGCAATTTTACCAGACTGAACGTCCACGACCAAGTTTCCGGTTGGAGAGACCAGGTTTCCATAAACAGCGAAATACTTCCACTTCTCAAAGCCGCGGTCAAAATCATGTGCCTTGAATCTGCCCTTATAAGTGCCAGTTTCGAGTGGAAGAGACTGGTCGTCTTTACTGAACGTGACTGTGAAGGGATAGTACTGCACACGCTGTGATGTGCTTTTTCTCGGGTAACCTTTCCACTTTGATACCGTGATGGCAACTGATTTCTCGTTGCCAAAGAGCTTCGTGGCTGCTAGATCGAGGATGATTTCGACAGCTTCCTGGACGGAGTTCTGATCAGCATCGGATTTTTTAGAAAACCATCCAGGGAATGTGACATTGGCTTTGAGCTCGATATGACCATCCTGAGCATGAGGGGGGGACGAGCTGACAGAGGAAGTTGTTGTCTATCCATGAACATGAACTGGTAAGAGAGGATTGAACAATGATGCGAGCGAATCCAACACTCACTGAACCGGCAACAGGCAAGCCCCCGATACCTGAAAGGGAGGCTATGCCGAAAATGAGGACGGAGAAAAGTTTCATGGGATGAATTGAGAAAGTGAGAGAGCGTTGACGAGAAGATCTTTGGCCTGCAAAGTATTCGAGTTGGAAGCGGTGTTGCCGACCAGCGGTAAGTAAGGAGGGAGATAAAGAGCACTTGATAATGATTTTGGAGAATAACGAGTTGCGCCTCGCCTATTTGTTGCCGACGGAAAGACTTTCAAGTGAGCATGATGATGAGATTGATTATCTTGCATTCATAGGGTCTGATAGGATGACAAAGACAGAGCTGTGGGTTGCATGTACTTGTAGCTGACATAGACTGCATTACTGTGTAAAATGTTTTTAGGTCGATGTAGGCAGTCGAGGTTTGAACGTTGAACAGTCATACCGTAACGTGGAAAATCGACCGGTCGCCGCGTGGCGCGGCGTGCATATGCGTGACACGCACAAAACGCAGTCAAGTGGTCTATACGTCTAATGGTTCTGAAGGATATACTCGTACAGTTATTACCGTGTTTCCCTCAAAACTCTCTTTGTTACCCTCTCAAAGTTTTGCATCTCTCTGTGAGGTGCCCTACCACAAAACCTGACCGACGTTTCCCTGCGAATTTCTTTCTTCGATTTGTACCTCAATCTCCTCATTCAGTACTCCGCCACTGGCCAGTTCTTACGAGCCAATTGCCGACGCTGACAGTTAATTTGGCCCGTAGTCAACCCTGATTCAACCCGATCCTCATTTCCATCTAGCTGGAGTTTCAAGTACTGTACGTCCCCAGGCCAGTGAGGCCTCGAGGTATTCTAGATTGCTGTTGATCGTATAAGAGACAGATATGTTTGAAGGAGAAGACAAAGAAAGAGCCGTCAGTGGATACTACTAGCTGTGCGTTTGTGATCTTCCTCGATCAAAGATATTCCTGCTTAAAATTTCCTTAGTGCCGCTGGTGTGGACGCTCTTCCAAAAGTCCTATGGTACATTCACCTCGCAGATTTTCGTCAAAGGAAAAAGTCGCTTGTATGGAATGTGATTTCGAAAACAGACACAATTGGAAGAGTACAGACGAGTAGGATCACTCACAATTCACTTCAAGCCACTTCAGGTCATGATCACTAGCTTACTCTGTCGAACTCTTAAGCTTCCGCACATGGTAAGGGCCCACCTATGAACTACATAGGTGATCTATATGTAAATCGATTATGTTGTCGTCGCCAGACCCAATCGTGTCATGCAGAAATGATCAAGAGACGAATGTCTACTCGGGAACAGTCGGGAACTGAGGTGTGAATCACACGACGCGGTGGTGTGACCTAGGTATTCGTGTGAAAACTTTGAGTACTTACTTGATCTACTCTCAACTCTATCAACACACATAGGTTGCAAATGGCAGAGTGATATAAGCCGAACAGGGATGATATCAAAGGTTATAACTTGAATTCAGACAGACTCGGAGACGACCTAGGTAGTCGTAGGCTTATTTGACTAGACTTTCTCACCTCAGTCCTCTAGATTTAGAACTCTGACCTCCAGCCTTGCGCTCTCCCCAGAGCAAAGGTATCTCTCCGTAAGGAGGTTCTCCGTGCTCCTCTTTATAAGCGTCCCAGAAAAGCGAACCCGTAGATCGCATTATGAGGGTATCTGAAACAATGTAAGCCGCGAGGTATCATAAGGCACACCAACAGACACCAGTGCTCAACACAAGGAATATAAATCAGTGACGCACATTTGGGATCAAGAGGAGGAGGAGGCACGACGGCAGAATTTACGCCTGCGTTGGCACCAGAATTGACTCGAATTCTAGTGCCCTGAGTAGCTCGTTGGAAAATCTAACATCAATGTTAGTAGTTGCACCAAATTAAAGAGATTGAAGCAACACATACCCTCGACTGATTTTTGTCATCAGTTTTTACCTCAACTCCTTTATGTCGTTCTTTGATATTGGAGCTATCCTCGACTTGAAGCTTTTGTCCCGCTATCCCATCCAAACAAACGACTGCGCCACAACTGGCACATAATGTCTCGTTGGGGTTCAAGTTATTGATACTAGAACAACGATATCCCAAATCTACACGCTTTGTTTTAACTGGATACAATCCCAAAGAGCTTGAGGGAATGTTGGATGAGATCGACGAATCGGACGCGAGGATACGCGTTGTCTGGCTCCCCGTTTCCATTGATATCTCATCTGCTTTGCGTTTACAGCCGGCCCTCGAGCTAAATAAAAAGACCAGAAGATGAGAGGGTGATAACATAAACATAGTAAAAAGTGATTATCACCGGAACCCCTGTACAGACTGAGTCCGCCTCTCTAGATTGTCCTTGATGCGAGAGCTTCTACGCGGTTCAACCGGAGACATTGATGAAGAACTTTGAGGAGACTTGCGCGCTTTTCGAGCAGATGTTTTCGAAAGCGCGTCTAACGTTGACTGTGAGTGTTTCAGTTCAGATTCGTCGCTCTTTAGCAAGGGCTCCATGCTACTGATTTGATGGTCAGCAGTGGGAGAACAGATGAAAAGGACATAGGACATACAAAGATTCTATGTGCTCCCCTGGCCTCTCTTGAATTCGCGCCCGTTTTCGATACTTGGGTGGGAGCTGCGATACCGCGACGATGGTGTCGCTCATTTGCGTGACCACATCCATGGTGCAAGGGTGATTGATAGAGTAGGCTAGGAGAGGTAATGTTGCTTGTAGGTTTCAATGAAACGAAGGGAGAGTGAGCCGATGTTAATCGAAAGAAGGAAAAAGGCCAAATATTCTGAACGACTGAGGACCTCACGTGCAGAAAGGTGGCCACCATCGAAGGCCATTGTTCTCTCGAATCGTATCGTTTCTGAGCTTGGACATAGTGCCAGTAGCATTGTCTGTAGTATATGTACCCGACGATCAAGATTGACGCTGGCATATACCACCTTTTCTTGGCTTCTTAGAGAGGTTATGAGTGGAATGTAGCGCTAGATAGGACGGCAGAAACATTTATGAGCAGTTGATGATTCCATCGTAGATTTGGAGAGATATCCCTTCTTATCCTTTGTCGTTCTCTTTGAGTTATGAAATTGGACATATCTTGATCTGGAAGTTTTGATTTTTTGGTCGAGGGCTTTAAGCTTGGCCTTGTGTACAATGGTCGGCTATGGTGGGAAGTTGAGAAGAAACCGGGGCCGGTCTTCGACATGCTTATATTAGATGGGAATATCTTTCTCAGGCTCTTTTACGATTAGATACAAACTTAGATTATTATGGTACAGGAAATCCTCTCCGGCGAACCATTCTGTGAGTGGTCCTCTCTTCTCTTCTTTGTGGTACAGGTGTGGCAACCGTAGTAGCGGGTGCAGTGGTAGGCGTCCACATTCCGTTGTTAAATGTCGCTGTTGAAGCGCTGGGTGTCCACATTCCGTTGTTGAATGTCCCAGTTGAAGCAGCAGTGCTGGCACTGGTTGCCGGAGTGGTGGGTGAAGAGCTGTCGGTAGTGGGAACAGATCCGGCATCTGTAGAAGCAGCGGTTGAACCAGAATCGGCGTCAGTGGATGTTGGTGAAGCGCCATCAGGGGTAGGGGTAGAGCTACTGGATGAACCGAGGGATGTAGGTGAAGCAGAATCACTGTCGGCAACGGTCGATGAGGAGGATGTAGGCGAAGCACCATCGGTAGAGCTTCCAGATGAACCAAGGGACGTAGGTGAAGCAGCATCAGTAGAGCTACCACCAGACGAGCCAACGGATGTGGGCGAAGCAGCGTCTGCAGTAGAAGTTGAGCTACCAGATGAGCCGGAGTCGGAAGATCCATCAATAGGATATGCAGATCCACGAACAGCGGTGATCCATTGGGAGTTGGCGTCCGGATACTCCCAGCTCATGACACCAGCGTCTATGAATCGGCGTCAATAACGAAATGCAAATGTATATAAGGAAAAAAGCTCACTCCATCCTTTGCCTTTGGCTTGACTGACACAGCCAGCGAGCGTGCCGGTCGACATTTGACCGTTGGAGGCATCACCTGTGCCCGTAGATCCAGGCTTTCCAATGACAATCTTGTTGAGTTCAAAACCGTTGGCCTCTATTTCAAAGACAGAAGATTTGGGATTGTTGCTGCTGGATGCAGTAAGGAGCCCGTCGCAGGTAGTGTACTCCGATGCGCCCTCTGTATCACTCGGTCAATTATAGCTAGCAACGGACAAACAGGGTAACATACGATTATAGAATTGAGTGTTGTACTGGATTAAGGCAAGCGGTTAGATTGGGGTATAAATCAGTGAAACGCGAGGGGTGGAAGGCTCACCCAATCAATTGAGCTCCCGACTTTCGTATTCACAGTTACATAGGCTCCCGAAGTCCATTGAGTACCGGAACCCATCCAGGGCGCCATGGCTGCAAGGCCAAAATGAGCATGAACTCGGATATCGAATGGGAACAGACGTACGAGCATGAGTGAGGATGTACTGGCCTTGGGGCAGATCCGTTCGGAGAGCATTGGTAAAATCGATCAGCCACTGCTCTGCCTTTCCATCAGCCTTGTTCATGGCTGTAATGTCTTCGTAATCGACATCTATAGGAACGGACATGAGACGACATTCCCTTTGGTGAAGATACCTTCGAACTTACCAATTCCATCGACGCCGTACTGTTTGACCCATGCAGCCATCGTAGAGGCAAGCTGTTGAGGGTCCTTGCCACTCGTTGTAGGTGTCTCAGTCGAGCCAAACGCTGAAACGAGCAATTTAATGCCCGCAGCTTGGTATTGTTGCTTGATAGTCGAGCGCTGTGAAGCTGACAATGTTTGCCACGCCATAGCCATGTCGGCAGCGCCTGAGCTGAGTATGAAAGACATAATACTTTGGAAGTTATCATAAGTTTACCACTCAAGGAACAAATAACCATGAACGAACACTACATTGAAGCCCTGAAATAATTAATCACCATAAGTACCGCCAATTATGTTCAGCAAATAAGGGATGCAAGAACCTTGATATCATCAACCGCAGGTGCGGGATCAGGACCTCTATCCGTATAAACAGCAAACCAAGGACCACTTCCAGCACCACTTCCAGAACTGCTGCCGGAATCGGTAGAATTCGATGTGGAGTTGCTTACACCGGTTGAAGAAGTTGAATCAGAAGAAGTCGAACTGGCAGAAGCTGAATCGCTGTCTTTCCCCCTTCTCAACCTTGGGATGGGGGCAGCTAGGACACTGCTCGCACACAAAAGACCAAAGATAACCAAAGAAAGAAAATTGTTCGAAGTACGCATGATGTTCTATACGCGGAGCAGAAGGCGAATAAAGATCCGATTCGTAGGTGAGCAAAGCCTGCCAGAGGTACAGTAGTAGATGGGCCGGCCAGACGGTGTGGAACCTGCCACGGATTGTCACAGAAAGACTGAGGGATGCAGTCTACGGATGATCAACAACCTGTGAAATTCAAGTGCTGTGAGGAGTGCTGATTTTATACGATTTGTGAATGAAATTCAAAAAGGTATTTCACCTACGATAAGACGGTAAGATGCCTCCGAACCCGACATCGCAAAACTGAATTGTACCGGGGTTGCCCGTTGCAGCATTCTTTGCCCAGTGTTTTCAAATGTGACTAGTGGTAGAGCTATTCCAGATGGGAGTCAAGTATCAAGGTTCTGAATTTAGGAAACATCGAATAAAACACGGAAACGGTGGTGCTCAGCTTTTGGCTGTTCAAAACTTTTATCACAGCGCCACGAACTGCACGGGAGTAAAATCGCAGGATCGGTTTCATGTGATGGGTCGAGGCGCAAATGGGGGCGGCTACATTTCACACAGCCACAACGAGGTTTCACAAAGTAGAGTTTCCAGCGCAAAACAGCATTTGCCATGTAAAGACCATGGCAATGAGTACACATGTCTTTCCCGAATTTACACAACGAATTGCGAGATTCAAGGGCTATGTACTTTAGTTGCTACATCCATCGACCCGGAGTTCCGTTGTTGCAAGCGCTCGACGTTCAATGTTGACTTTTGAATTGGGGACAGCGATCTGTAACCTTGGTTAGCCAATTCTCGGGACCGCACCAAAAAGGATCGTAACCATTTTAAACTGTGCTGTTGTTAATTGAACGGATGAAGATTGAACTGAGATTGAGGCACGCGCTACAACCTCATCCACGAATCTCGTCCAAAGACTGACGTCTAGAATCGCTAAACGGCAAATTTATTCGCCCATTGTGAAGGAGAAGTAAAGATCCAAATATGACTTTCAACGAGAATGGGATCTAGCGTATAAATGATTTATGTAAGCCGACGAGTAACAAAAGAAACTACATAAGCTCAATCTGAGAAAAATAAACTTGATGAGACTATGAATCACAAAAATCACAACTTTGAATACGTATCACAAAGCCTCAATAGTTTTCCTAACCTGTTCCGCCGTCCTTAGAAACGCATCAATTTCTCTCTCCCCATCCTCCTTAAACTTATCATATTCGATCTGCATATGGTATCTCACCCATTCTTCTACAGTCATGCTCAGCTCCGTTTCGGAAAGTTTTTGCGTGGGCACGAAGGGCTCTCGGGAAAGCGGAATGGGGATACCAGCAGGAATACTCTCCATAGGAGCGCCAGGCGTCGGCGGCACATTAAATGGGTTTCCGGGTCCCATGCCGAATCGGAATGGAGTTTTGAAGGGACTGGTCGGTACTTGCTGTTGTTGGGGCCTTGGTGGAGTGACAGCTGGGCGAGGAAGGGGAGAAACTTCCCTCACATCTTCTTTCACCTCTTCATTTATCTCGTTCTTCGCCAAATCCGGGGGTTCATCCATCTGGACGTCGCGATCTTCGACCTCCAAAGTTGTAACGGTGCTAACGTCGGGTTTCGGCTCATCTATGAAACTGTTGGCGAGCTTTGGCTTCAAAGATGAAGTTCCGCTCTCTGTCTCCACCGTCTTTTCAATTTGCGCGATCTTTGCCTGAACGCTTCCCCATGCTGGTATGAGGGAATCGTCAGAAGTAGGATCAGTGGTAGAGGTAAGGGCAGGTGTGTCCTTGCCCTTCGTCTTTCCCTGGGGCGGTGGCTTGACATGTGTCAAGATCCTCGACTTTGTTTGTACCGGCTCCACCATGCGAATAACGTTTTCAACCTCGTCCTCATCACCTTCATCAGACGATATGTTCATGACCTGGTCAATGGACACGCCAGTGCGGCTCTGAGTCGACGAGCGAGAATTCAAAAAGCTACCCTTTTTCTTCATCGTGGCTGATTTGAGCAACGTTGTCGGTTTGGACATTGACTCTTTCGAATTAGTATCAGTCGAAGAACTTTCCCGTGTTCCCGACCTCGATCGCGAACTCATCCCGCTACGTTCTACTGGCTCCGTTTCTTCTGTATGTCGTTCTGGCACAACTTCTCCACCATCGTCTATCTCCGGTGTATGAGTCGGCAAAGGTTTGGTTTTTGGTCTCGATGGCGAACGAGGGGGAACAGGCGGAGGAGGTAGGACTGCATCTTGATCGGAAAAGTCGGTTTTGAGATTTACAGGAGGAAGTTTTTTCTTTGTATTCAGTTTCCTTTGCGAGTTAGTTGGTTTCGCTGCTGACAATTGAGGTACGCTCTCTCTTTGTGACTCCCCTTCCGCCTTCAGCCCCAATTCAACGGATGGAGGGGAAATCGGGGGAACATGCATGTGAATGTCATCCAAAGGATCATCATCGTCCACTTCCTCTTTGGCACGAGACTTGGCACCCCTAACAGAAGCTGCGGACGCTGACCTTGTAAGGGTACTTTTCTTCGTGGTGGTACTGGTACCGAGGCCAACTGGAGGCTTGGTGGACTTCCGCGTGGTTCGGGTAGGCCGAACAGGTTGAGGATCATGAATCTGTTCGGTTATATCGATTTCCACATTGTCATCAAACAGGGCAGCAGCAGCAGCGACAGAATTAGAGAAGGGTTTTGACCCCTGCGACGAAGGAGCTGGTTCAAGAACATCAGAGTCTTGGTCTTCTTCGTGTTGATGGTTCTGTTTCGCCGAAGACGTAGACTTGGAAGCCGCTCCTGCCCGAGTAGACGGTTTTCGTGCGACAGATTTCTTTGTTGATTTGGGCGGCGGGGGTGGAGGCTCAACAGCACCATTGTCAGACATATCTTCTGGGATAACAGAAACTCGAGTTTTCGATTGTGAACGTCCTTTGTTACCTTTCTTCTTGGAGGAAACCCCACCCTCGTCGTCCGTGGATCTACTACTGGCTCCAGTCTCTTTTGCCTTTCCTTTGGAGCGAGTGCTAGTGCTACGCTTAAGAAAGACTTCATCTTCAGTGCCAGTTCCACCATCGGAATCTACGATAGAGGCAACGGATCTCGTACGAGAGATAGACCTGGAGCGCGTGGTGGTAGTCGGGGCCTTCCTAGTAGTTTTGGCGGCAGGAGGTGGAAGGTCTTCAACCTCATCTTCATCATCAACTTCGACAGGGATATTTCGTGTTCTGGATACACTCCGCGACCTCGGAGTTTTAGCACCTTTCTTTGCAGTGCGAGGGGCTTTAGGTGTTTTAGCCGTGCTAGTACTAGCGACAGAACCTGTGCGCGTAGTGTGAGATGTGATAGTATCATCGTCTGAACCGTCGTACGTCTTCATAGGCATAGTAACATCGACGTGCGAGGACTTCGATTTGGATCTGGTATGGGATGTAGAAGACTTGAGGGGAGGAGGCGGGAAAACGATGTCGGGAAACATTGGACAAGGATTACCGGCCTTCTTGACGCGATCACGATGTTCTTCCCTGCAAAACGGCTACTTAGAAATGCTGAATCGTTGATGATCATAAATATCCTCACGTGGGATCATCGTCTGCGTCCCAGCCAGAGAGTGAGATACCGCAGTATATACATACGGCGGTGTCATCGTGAGCATCATGAGGAGAGTATACGAATCCGGCTTTTGCCATCTGCTACCGAGGTGAGCAGGAGCCTGAGCAACATTTCTTGAACACAGACCTTCTTGGATGACGCTCCGTGATTTCTTTCCTGGTCGTGTATCCAACCGTCACCGAATAAAAACGTGTCCAATCGAGCTTTTTCCATAGCTTTAGAAGTAGGAAGCCGATTCTTGTCGGTGAATACGAATCTATACAAGGTCTAGGACCTCACATAATTCGATGCTAATTTCATAGTGCTTACCGTCCGTCCGAATCCATCTCGGCGCCCAATCCACACCTAACATTTGCCCAAGCACACTTCTTCCCGCACTTCTTGAAGTGAATTTCAAAAGGATTGTCTTTTTCGTCCCACTCGCTTAGCTCTTTTCCGCACATATAACAGGTAACGTTGTCCTTGTCTTCAGAGCTAGGATCAAAGTAGAACCCAGCCTCTGCGAGGGTCTCTGGAGTCGCCATAAAGTACTCCGGATGAGGCCATTTCAAATTAGACTGAGATTTGGTTCCTCCTTTCCCGCGTTTAGGGCGAGTAAAGGACTCCAATCTGGTTTTGAAAACGTCCATGGTTGGTTCTGGTCTGGTTCTGGTTAGTTGGGAGCAAAGTCACAATCGCGTTACGTACCGGAATGTCACATTCATCACGTGGTAGTCATTTCAAATCTCAGTTGGGCGCTTTGCCCCGTTCAGTACACTCCCAAATTAAGTACTTGTTGCTGGATGTCTGCCGTTCGGACATATGGCAAGAAAGGCACAAAGAGAAACCTGGACTCAGGACCCGTGCAGAGTTCTTCTAAAAAGCCAAAAATCGACTCGATAGTACCTTCCACACCAAAAGCTGCTCAGGACTACCTCTCTCACATCTTCGACACCGACCTTCCTTCTCCAGCACCCTCGACTCCGAATAGGTTATCCAAACGCATGCTTGGACGGTCCAAAACTGAACCCACACTGGGAGATTCGAAAGATTCTCTAGAGTCAAGTAGTAAAAGCTTACTGGATAAAACATCTTCACTCCCTTCCTTTACATCTCCGCCTAAACGCTCTATTCCTCCACCATCAGAGCCATCTTCTTCTCCCCAACGTCCAGCAATGAATCACAAGCGCACTTATGCTGGCAAGTCGCGGTCATTTCTTGTGGCAATGCCTGCCGACCGGTCTCTTCCGGAGGAACTACAAGACGATTACAACAATCGGGAATCCTATGCCGTTTTACGCAGTAGATGGGGAGTAGACAATTCTGAAGATGATCCTTATCCGGAACCTCTTTCTCCCCTGAAGTCCAACACCACTACCCCGAGCGGTTCACCGTCAAAAGGAAAGGGAAAAGGACGATTGAAGCAAGAAGTCAATGTGCCAGCTGATATTATTCAACCATTAAGGAGCATAACAGAAATTCGAAATAAAGGAGAGAGCAGAAGGTTCTTGGATGAAGTTGGGTATCTTCTGGAAGGCATGGGCAAGGACGAAACACCGGCTTTGAAGAAAGCTAGGTTCGTGGCCTTTCTCTTTCTTCATAGTCTTTTAATCTATGCTACGGTAGTGCTTTAGAAATAATCAGCCGGCTCTGTGAACCCGACTTTGTTCGTCAAGCGAAAGCCGCAGACTTCCTGCAAAGTACTTGGGATGCGTTTATCGAAGCTGGCGGTGGAACAGGAGAAGACAAGGTACGCTATGACTTCGATCTCATCATATTGCCTCTGATCTAGCAATCAGGTTCTCGATACTTTGATCGTAGCTTTTGCAGCCCTGGTATCTCGGGACCTTCTTTCTTTGACAGACTTGGCGCAACGGGTCTCTCCATCCTCAAGCACTTCTTCACACCCATCATTCACCACAATTCTCTTCTCTCTTGTCGCTTCTCTCACACCAGAAACCGACCCACTTCTCATCATATCACAGAGTTCGACCCCCGATGGTCAACTGAAAAGGCTCGGGATCATGAAGACGGACCGTGCTATCCTCAAAACCTTACATTCTGTGATCACATCGCAAGCTCGTATTTTTCATTCAAAGACACCTGTGCGTAGAGAGGTCTTTGGTAGCAAATGTTCAACATGTTGATCTTTCATGTCATTTCAGATATCCGATGCCCTTTTAATCACCCATACACTAGCCACGGTTCCCGTGGAGCTCTTATCATGCGCCCACATGTCTCTCCTCCTGCAATCCCTTCGTGCTCAGTTGCAAGCAGCAATAGATGGCCTTTCTTCCATCACCAGTCTTGCAAATGTAGATTCCGCAAGTGGCATCACCAAGCCTTCCTCGTCCTCTAAATCGACTCATACCACGTCATATACATCAACCCTAGCGTCATTGCATCTCATTCCTTTTTCCGTCATCCATACCCTTCTGGCTCTTCTTGATGGTTATCTATTAGCGCAATGGGCACCTTCGCGGGAGGTTGATCATGCAAATTGTCGCCGTCTTCTCGATGAGGCTCGGGACGAATGGCTAGCGGATGGTCTGGTAGCGGTGGGTATAACTGCTGAACTTTCGACAACTCTTGCTTTACCTATGAAGAGGAAGGATAAACATAGAACCGGAATGGGTGAGTACTCCCAATGGCCCTTATTGCCATTCGCTCTCATCAGTGTTGCAGATGCTTCAAGCCGGTGTACGGAAATTATCTTCCGGGTGCTCGTCAGTCTTACGCACTCTGATCCCCTTTGGGGTCAAACCCTAACCAAAAATAGTCAAGCAATGATGTTTATCGTTAGGACAATTGTCAGGGCAGATGATTTTTGGGGCACAATCATGGCAGGGGCCCGTCGATCTTCTATCTCATTGTTGACTGGACGGACTGCCATTAACGGAAAGCATAATTCCAAGAACACGGAGAAACCCACAACTCGCACGAAGGTGGAGAAAGTGGAAGAGGATGGCAAAACAACAGATTATGACTCTGAGGATTACGGAAATGGCAATTTTGATCAACCCACGACAGTAACGGAACGCTCGTCACCAACTCGTGCACTGGATTGGCTTTGTCTTTCGCTTGGCCTTATAACGAATCTCGTTCAGGTGGTTGACGAGGCGAAAATCATACTCAGGGAAACCAGTCCGTATTTTATTTGGAATGAGCGTCTGTTACGTGCTCATGTCTCCCTAAAATTTCTAGTGTTAGACCCAGACTGTATCCAAAAAACCATTCCATGTATCCGCGTTTGTTCATGTCGCAGGCCTACGAGTGTGCTCAAGCTCTTAGTCTCCACGTACGAACACCAACTTCCATTCATCTCTGTTCATTCAACAAGACCCGTCGTGAAAATACCGGAAATCCCACTCACGCTGGAAACAGAACAACAAGAACAACAAGCGGAAGCAGACGCCTCCTTTTTGTTAGGACATCTTTCTGTTCTTTTCGGGCTGCTCATGATGGACAGCTCAGAAAACCAGGAAATCGTGTTAGATTCGCTGCCGTTACTCCATCTGGGACATGAAGACATCAAGCCAAACTCTAATAGTAAACACAAATTGAAACAGCAGAAACTTGGTCAGCTAGTCGAGAACGCGTCTGAGTTGGGCGTGTTCTATACTGTTATCAGCCGTAGAGGGCTATCTGGCAACGGGATAGCCGCGGATACTCCCGATCCGGGACAAAGCCATGAAGAGAACGATGCTGCTAGAGGTGCAGATGTAGCCAAGGGGGTCATATCGTTCTTACGGTATCTACTCGATAGTCTTTAGAGGATACCGGGTCCTAACAAACCCATTTCCTGAACGCATGCACTGTAAAACACTTTTCTGGATTCATGAAATTACTCATGACGCCGACGTAACCAACTTCTCAATCACTTTGTAACCCTATCCATCCTCTTTATCCTTATTTATCAACACTGTATCCGAACCACTGAAGACTTTTGTCGGTCGCTCCCTTCAGTACATTGCGATACGACCTTCTCCCGAATGACGCTCTTCACCCAGGTACTCGGTTTGGAAATATTCATATGTGGCGCAGAAAGCAGGATTTTGATAAGATCCATTACGGAGAGAAGCTCTGAGAAAACGTTCTTCAAACAAGCAGATCCCCGATACAGGACTGTCGGGACAACGCTCTCCAAAGCTCCTTCCTGCCTTGCTCAGGCCAAAAATGGCTGAAAGTATGGTATAGTGTATAAGCTCTGGTGCAGGCACCAGGGACGCATGCTCGTTCTCGCTTCCAGTGCATATACATCGAACGTTTGGCCCATATTCTTAGCCTGAAATACTCAAAGCCCCAAAGCAAATCTGATGTTCGAAGCTTAAAGGTGAGGAAGGTTTTCATTGGCTTGATGCATTCTATTGTCTCTTGCATCTTCCACTCTACAATCATTCCAATGTGCACTAGGAACAAGTTAGTCTACTTCCAGTCTAAATAGTACGCATAGAAGCTCGCCGTCGTTTGTGATTCATTGAGATCAATTGCATATGGCCCCAGGGCCAACTCTCCGTCTTTATCGTGCATACCTTCCATAGGGGCGCGAGCAAGTTGAATTCCTCGTTGTTATGTCTGCGCAGCGCACCTCACTTCAGATACATAATAAAGGTATTGCAAGATTGCCTGAAGATATTTATTGTCGCCTAGAGAGTTCACAGTCGCACAAAAAGAAATAGATACTGTACTAGTGCTAATGGTTTTTCTACAGCCTGTAAATCCGGACGGGTCCCGGTTTTGTTTCTCCATTTAAATTATGCGATTTCATCGACCGCCGACGGTTTGAAAATATGTAGTTTTCCGAAAAAAACGTATGTTTTCCGACCTTTTCCGACATACGCACTCATACGCCTCTCTTCATCTCCAATATGTCGTTCTACCTGGAGACCGTGCTTAGCCGTGATACTGTATTGATGCACTTACACAAACTTCGGACTTGATCTGATTACGGACCTAGTTGCCTCTTTAAGAATTCATCTTCTGCGGCGTGCATAAATCGAAGACAGACCATGGGTTTTCTACATATACCCCCTTCCTCAAATGATTACTTTCTTCCTTTTCCATTCTTCGCCGGGTGATAGTAAGGGGATAGGGTCTTCGCCGACGCTGGAGGGAGACGGTTGCAATAGCAATAGCGATTCTACTGGGTAAGAATTGACCTCGAACTCGGATTCGAGCAATTGTTATCATAGCTAATGCGATCCCACAGATCGGCTTTGGACTACCCCCACCTGTACCGTCCCTCTAGGAATCCATCTATGTCCATTTCAATATCCACTTCCAGAATGATTCCGTCGCTTCCCGAAGACGTCTTGTTCATGATCTTCCAGCACCTTTCGTTGCAGGATGTTCTTTCGATCAGAAGAGTGCATGAACCGTATTCTCCTCATTTTCTTATACTGATCATCATCCATTTAGGTCTGCCGAAGTTTCAAAGATATTACCCACTCGCGCGGACTCTGGGTTTTAATCCTGCGTAAGGAGGTATGGGATCGCGATGTTCCAACGCCACGATTCAGTTTGGACCATCTATCTTCCGCCCAAATTGAGACGCTGGTTGCTAGCTCGCTGCATTTGCATCTTAACTGGACATCGAAATCACCAAAAGTCATACGCAGGCGCCATGTCACAGTTGCTATGCCTCGCGCGCGCATCACCTCACTTCATTTCATTACTCTTGGAGGATGCTCCTGTTTACTTTCCTTCTCTCTGAAGAGCAGGGTAGAGCCTCGAACATTGACCATTGAATGCTGGGATCTGAGCTCGTTGAGGTGTAAAGCTCGAAGAACAGTGCAATGGTTTGGAGGTTACGCGGTCAACTCGGATCCTGAAAGCACTGGAATAATAGCAATAAAAACACCTTAGTGAGCTTCAAGCTTAAAGGTCTGATCATGCAGGAGGTGGCTGACTTTCATAGCGTCGAGATATTGGCCTTCGACCCTTCTGCATCGAGTGCAGATTTAGCATTCATCCCGCTTATTACTTTAAATACGGCGGCCAAAAGTATCTTGTTTTTCAGTGGGACTACAGTAATCTTCCGCGCCCCGAATGATGAACTCAAAATTTTGGATATTATACGACCATTTTACGAAATTAAACTTGAAGACCGACAACCATTTGTACCTCCCAACCAGGTATTTTTTCCAGTCTCACTTCGGATCTTATCATCATATTAACGAATACCAGCCTGACAGTTTCGAAGCGGTCCTTAATGATGAATACGCCATAATCTTGAGACCGAAAACCCTCGCACTATATTCACTGCGAGCTTTCAGGCGCGGATCACATCCTCCCTCGGCATCCCTCTCTCCTAGTCAGGTACATGAATTTCAGTGGAGGATCGATAGTTGTGTCATGCAACGTCAAATATCCCCTTCTGCCCCATATTTATCCAACGACTCCAAGCCTAGTAGTCTCAATATCCTAATACGATACTCCAGTCTCTTCCCGTGGCCGGTGAATCTATTGCACCATTACATCCTTTACCCCAATGATTCGTACATCTCGTCAGCGACCAATAAACATTCGTCAACCACAGCAGGTTTTGCAATCACCTCGAACAACCTACCGTACAAGTTCCCCCCGGTGTTATCGCAGACCATAGTTTCTCCTGTTCGTTTGTTTGCTATCACGGACATGGCGCTGGGACCCTATGGGACAGCTGTCTGGTTCGACAGCCATACTGATTACGATGGAGAAGTAGGACAGAGGTTAGCCGGACTCATGCTAGAATTTTCAAAACATAGAGATGAAACCGGAAGCAATAATATCACCGCTGCAGATCAGGTGTCGACGACGCCTTCGATGGTATTTGGAGCTCACGAGACGGATGATTGGAACCGGCTTGCTATTGATGAAGGCGAAGGGCGCATAGCAGTGGGTTCAACGACGGGGGAAATCATCATTGAAGACTATGCTGAAAGACAGTGATAGATCTTTCCCACTCGCTGTTATGATTCGAAATGGTTATGTCAGTGTAAAAGGAATGAATTTTATAGGTAGAGAAAGGAAATGAAATTGAAAACGAGATACGGTTACAAATATCTGGATTCAAATTATGACTAAACTGTTCACATTTAATTTGTGGACAGTCTCAAGTTACGGCGTTGCGATGAGGACCTGAACGCACTTTAAAATTGATACTGACAAATGAAAAAGAAAACACACGGCGGATGGTGTTAAGCCAAGTTCCCTAAGAGATTTCGAAAAATCAGAACGCGAGAATGTTTTCCTGTTCAATGACAAAGCGAAAAAGGAAGTTCATGAACATCAAGGAAGGATATTAGAAACAGTATGGATAGCAAACCTTGGGAAATGTTGTGCAAAAGTGACAGTTTCCACACTGACGGTCAGAGTCTGGGCAGCAAGGAATTCTGCTGCTGCACTTAATGCTGTGGCAAGAGATAATATGAGTAAAACAACAAAATGGAAGACACGATGCATTTACGAGAATCGCTAGGTAGCGAAGTCGTGTAAGGTTGACCTCCGGTAGACATGCGGATTTGTAGACGTGTTTCTTTAAAATCTTTGCCAGCTACGCCAGATGTTGATGCACCAGGATGAGCCGCCACCGCCGCCAACGTCGAGGCTCCTGCGTCCTCTATTGGCAGTCCTTCACGGAGTGCTTTCTCCCGGGCAGCCTTCTCCGCACGAGCCTTCTTATCTGCCTCGATCTGTGCTTTGACAGCGGCTCTAGCTTTAGCTTCCTCAATCTTGTCTGATAAGTATGCTTGAGCAAGGTAATACATAGTACATAGAGCAACAGAGAGGTACCTCGTTTCTTCTGCTGAGCTTCCTTGATTGCTTCTTTTGCTTGCAGGTCCTCTCGTACTTTGTGCAAATCCTGTATAGAAGGGTGTATGATCAAGAGGGCGCACTATAGGTAATTGCAGATCATACCTTTCCAGCTTTCCGCCTCAATTGTTCATTGGCCCTTTGTTCCGCAGCTTCCTCGATGGTTTTGCGAGAGCGTTTCTCCGCCATTTTTGCGCGCAACTCCGCCAGTCGTTCCTTCTTCTCTTCCTCAGTAAGTGGCTTGACCTTGAAACAAGGGCGTGAGCTAATTGTAAATCAAGGGAGCATGTCATCATACGAACTTACCTCCTCTGTGGATTCCTCGAATTGGTCGTGGCCACTCTTCTCAGCGTGAAATTCGGCGAGAGCCGTGTTCTTGAAGATTTTGCCACACTCTGAGCACTTGATACTCTAGAGTCCACGAGTAAGCACACTCATTTCGAAATAATGATATTGTATGTATTGTATGAACCTTTGCCTCAACCGCGTTCGCTGTGACACCGCCCAAACTTTGCAATGCTTCAGCATCTTCCTCGTCTTGATCTACATCCATCGCGCTGGAAGCTGGCGCAGAAGACTCCGATACGTTTTCCACACTCGGCACAGGTTTAGATTCGTTCTCAAGAATGTGGTCCATAGCAGGCTGAAGTCCCCGATTACCCGTTGCTTTCAAGGCCCCTACAAGGAAATGAGATTTCGAAGCGTCTATATTCAACCTGCTGACATTCGACACGGGCAGGGTCAAATCCCATCCCCAGAAGAGTATCCTTGTCGCCAGCCATCGCGTTAGCTGGATTTGTGAAGACGTCGACGAAAGTGAAGAGAAACCCTTCAATTCGATTAGGATGACGCGGCGCCGTATGAGCATGAATATAACGTGACTAGTCGGTCCGAAACCATCCGACTGTTTTTCGGCCCGGATTCCGTGTGATTTTCGGTAAAAACCTCCCAACAATTCAGCCAGTTTTCAGCTCTGCATTCTCTGGTGGTCATAAGAACAAGCAATCCGATATGGTGTATAAAAGTGGACACATTAAATTTCCTTTCAATCCCACCCGCTGTCGAAAATTACAGCAATGCCCAAATATTTTCCTACCATCAACAAGATCGAAACCTTCATCATATCCCAGGAGGGCGATGGAGGTGATTATCATAGGCAGAAGGTCTGTCTGTAAAGTCCTTCGTGCCCTAGGTACATGCACCACTCACCAGATTGACTTCGTGCAGCAAGGACACTGGATCATAGATGTATTATCATTAAAACAGTGGGGCAAGAAGTAATGACTGATTCATGGACAGAGTCCTATCAGCAACCCCATGTCTGGATATGAACAATATCGACACTCGCGAACGAGCTGGGGTATCGGCGTTTTAGGCTCCTTAGTCGTCACAATCACTGCTTCAGATGGTACTCAGTATGTTTCATTCCTGTCCTACTACTTGCATCCTGAGCCCGGTGCTCATCCTATAATTTATACAGAGGAGTAGCAACTGGCTTTGGAGGTCCCCCAGCGTGCTGGCTTATTCGAGAGCATTTTGCTAGATTCGTCATAGGCTCTGACCCTCGCGATACTAATCGTATCTGGGACCAAATGTTCCGTGCAAGTATGTTTTATGGTCGAAAAGGTATCACCTTGGCCGCGATAAGCGCTGTAGATCTCGCAATTTGGGACCTTCTAGGGAAGCTTAGGGACGAGCCTGTTTATGTAGGTCATTTTCCCCAATGCAAGTTTCCATATATTTTTGAGTCGTTGACCATACATATCCACAGAAAATGATTGGTGGACGCACCAAAGATAAGATTCCATTTTACTGTACTGGGTAAGCTTAACAATTGTAATTCTGCTCGCACACTGGTAGTATCTCATGCATGTCGCGTAGGCCTCTTCCTACTGAAACTCGCCGAATGGGATTTTGGGGCGCGAAGGTTCCGCTTCCATATAGTCCTCTCGACGGGTTCGACAGTATGCGTAAGAATCTTGATTTTTTGAAAGCTCATCGAGAGAAAGTTGGGCCGGATTACCCCATCATGGTTGACTGCGTAAGGATGATTCAATCCTCCCTGTTTATCTTTATCATCTTATCATTATACTCTGTTAACTAGTGGATGTCACTCAACGTGCAGTACGCGATTGAAATTGCCAAAAGGGCCATCGATGAAGGAATCAACATCAACTGGTGGGAAGAAGTTAGTGATATACCGTTTCTGTAATGCACGTCCCATCAGTGCTGACAATTCCTCAACCTCGCATTGTAGGTCCTTCACCCAGATGACTTTGACGGCCATAAGCTTCTCAAGGAAGCCCTTCCCCATGTTAAATGGACTACAGGCGAACACGAGTACAGCCGATACGGATTCCGCAAGCTTATCGAACATCGATCGATAGATATTATTCAACCGGACGTGATGTGGATGGGTGGGTTAACGGAGGTACGAAGGTTGCTAAAATAATATAGCCATTCTCCATCCTCTAGCTATCAATTACCACAGCTTCTGAAGATCAGTGCAATGGCTAGCGCGTATGACATTCCTGTTATACCTCACGGAAGCGGACCATAGTGAGTTGCTTGGAACATCTATCCCATATGAATTCGTTGCATGACTTACCACTCTCAATTCAAAGTTCCTACCATTTCGTGATGTCCCAAGCTCATAGTCCTTTCTGTGAATGTAAGTCACGACCATACTGTGTAAGATCATCATATAAATACTGACCCCTCTGGACTCCTTTCTTCTGGTGTTCCATCTTCAGACATCGCCAACTCACCTGACGGGAAATCCATTCTTCCCGTATTCGGCAACCTGTTCATTAACGAACCTGTCCCTCATGGCGGATCTTTGGATGTATCAGATGAGCCTGGGTTTGGGTTGACGTTGAATCCTCAAGTGACACTGCTTCCTTTCGAGCAGTTCCTTGCTCCCGGTCCAGAGAGAGGGCTCGGCAAGGCTGATGAGAAGTAAACATAGAGCCTTTTACATCCTCGACCTGCCCTCGACACGACTTTTTGTCTCAGTAAATCGTAAGCTCCGAAACTCGTGATACCATGATAGTGTAGATGTCGATACATGAAATATCTCAGGAAAGCAAATGCAAGAGGATTTGTACAATCAGAACGCGTACACTTCGCCTTGGATTAAGGCTTCACGTCATTAGCAGATATTGAGTGATTAAATGTATATACATGCACAAAAAACATTACTGCAACCTGTAATAAATGCGAGCAAATTGACTAAGAAAAACAAACAACGTCGTCGTACTATAAACACAAACCACCAAGCGGACGCGGAGATATACACCAAAACAGCAACACATACATGAACTTACATAGAAACACCACGAAAATCTACGTCGTCTTTAGACCGTTCGTCACGACGAATCCACAAACTTCACTCTACTGACGAATCATTCAGGCTTTCGCTGAGCACAACAATGCTCGATTTTGAATGAGACGCAGACGAGCCGCTGCGCCTAGGCAAAGGGCGCATTAGCCTGGGTGCTTTCGTCTTGCCGTTAGACTCGATAGAGTCAAATGATTGAGTAGCGGCAGAAGGAGAGCGAGAGAGAAAGCTAGAAGGAATACAGAAGGATAAGATCTCTTCCGAGTCCAGTTCAGACTCGGAATCCGTGTCGTCAGAATCAGAATCGGAGGAAGAGGAACTGGATAACGAGGATGACGAGGATGATAATGAAGACGACGCGGAGGATGAAGAGTCAGCCATCTCAGTATCTTCGCAGTCTGCAGATTGACCATTTGGTTTCATATCAAACACACCGAGCCCAAGGTTCTATTGTGGCGCAGGAACAGCGAGCAGTGACAAGAACAAAACCAGATTCATTGAAAATTAGAACATGATACCGCACAGACAGAAACAATGGCACATACCAATTCAATATATCGCTCTGAGTTGTCCTCCAGTTGTTCCATATCAACGCTTTGCGGATCTGTTTCTACTCGTTGACTCAATATCGTGTTGGAGGCCTCCATTTGCGGTAGAAACGCTTGAACGCGGGAGAGTACTAGGGGAAAGCGTTACTTGAGCGTCAAAGACACAGAGATAGTCGATATGATAAGGTTACGCACACTCAGAAGGTGGCTCAACAGCCCAAGTCTTGCGTTCCCCAAAGTCGAATTGCAAGTTGGGCAGTCTAGAATCTATAGGTCCTAGAAACGAAGGCGAACCAGAGTTGAGTCTCTTGAAGATAGATCCTGTGTAGCGCGATTAGCGGAGTGTGAGAGGGAACACCGAAACAGTCCTCCCTTTGAAAGGAGAAAGGTGTAAAAGAAAGCCAACTTGAATACCCACCAAGCCTATTCGCTCTCGCATCTTCGTCTTCTATTTCGAGAACCTCTTCTACTTTTCGCCTCTGCGACGTGTTTCCCGAATCAACAACTACAGTCTCAAAGTTCCCATTTTCCGAATTTACGCTCACATGAGCACGACCAACTTGCTGTTCTTCATCCATTGTCGTCGAAGTAGGAAGGAAAGGAAAAGAATATGTGAGAAATTGGTGAGGCCACGGGCGCAGTTGGGCCTGATAGCCAAGTTTATTTGCAAGGAGGAAAGGAAGAGAGAAGAGAGCTCTTCAGCGCTTGAAATTTGTTTAAGCGCTCGGTCCGATGACTCCACTTCAATGTCTTCATCACCGTCGTCGATGGGTCGATGGGTAGACATGTATTACATGCCTTGATGCTAACTGCCAACCTTCCACGACTCGAACACGATGAGCTCTCAATCCAGCACCGATGGAGCAAGAGCGATCATGCAACTTTCATTCACCTCATGATTCATCAAAACGTTTTGCTCGTCTATGTATGGTCGATGAATCGAAGCAGAAGACTCGCTGGGTGGAATATTCTGGATAATATAATATGGGTAATGCTCTGTGATACTTTGGACGAATGCGACTTATATGCGCGTTTCAATGCTCTCGCTGTTTCGAGAGCAAGACTGGCCGAAGGCATTATTATATCCTATTATATCTTCTCACTTTCCCTAGCCAGAAGACCGCAAAGTATGTAGTTATCTTCAGCATGAAAAAGAGACCGCTCAAACCCACTTCAAATCCCACAAAGTCATACAGTCCCGATAATATATATCAAGGCGAGATAGATCCTTTATCAACTTGACATCGGACCCCGCTCTACTCCGTCTGAGGCTTTTACAGCTTGTACACACCAGTGTATCCTGGCCGAGTGGGTTTTTTTTCCCATCTGGCGGGTTACACTATGGCTGTTTGACTGTGTCTCTACCAGTGTTATGTATATTTTCCCGAGTCTGCATGTCGAAAAGTTAAAACAGGTGTTCACCTGTTGTCTACTTACTGTCAGTACTATCCTGGCGAGTAACTAATCGATGCTTCATAATCTGTCGACACCTGTCGACCAGGTGCACGCCTGTCCACGCGTGCATCCAAGTTCAGGTCCTTCAGGGAGAGGTTTCTTCGCACTCCGAAATCTTTAGAATATCAGGTCCTTCTTTGATCGGATACGCGCAGGAATAGGGACTAATATGGATGGCTCGCCGCATGAGTATATAAGGCCAGCGCACAGGCAAGGATTTCTTCCCCTCCGCCATGATTATCACAGAGTACCTAGATCCTCAGTTCATAAGTGTAGTTCTGGCTTTGCTTATATTGGCGCGATTTCTGCTAACACTCACGCATTTGTCGGGGATCGAGAAAGTTCCTGGACCTAATTACCCTTCCTGGCTCACAGGTGCAGATATCAATTGGCACAGTACCCACTTACTCATTAAGTTTTTCTCAGGCAACTTCAAACAGGTGTTCAATCCCAGCGCTTGGGGGTTTCACGAATTCCTAGCCAAGAAATGTAAGTTAGACGTAAAACATTATTTTTTTGAAGGTAGCTCATTCCAAACTTTCCTCAGATGGTAGTATCGTACGCCTACAAGGCCCCTACGGGGTAAGAAAATATTCCTATTTCCTGAGCGAAGCTAGAGGATTTATAGACAAAGGCGCTTTACATATTCGACGCCAAAGCAATGCATACAGTGCTAGTCAAGGTGCGGCAATCTGATGATTTCATCAGCGAAATCGGTTTGGGTAACGTTCCTCATGTAAATCAGGACCAGGATGTTTTTGAAGAGAATGAGGGCTTCATACAGTTTGTCATAACCATAATACCGGGCCCTGGTTAATAATATAGACTTTGTTCAGGAGCAACCTCTTGATCTTTGGAGACGGGCTACTAGGTGCACTAGGTCCGGTGGTGTTTTCCTTCTACGCCATCAAGTAATTGCTAATGGAATACTGACCGAAGGAGACCGTCATCGCAAACAACGCAAGATGCTCAATCCTGTCTTTTCCGCCGCCCATATGCGAGAAATGAGTGCGGGATCTCATCATCACTTTTTGTATGATGAGAATAAATTGACAAACTCTCCCTAGCACCGACTTTTTTTGACGTTACCCATAAGGTTGTTAACTTGATTTAGTGAATGTTTTGCTTATCCTTATCTTGCTCAATGCTACTTAGCTGGAAAGGGCACTCAAGGACCGATTACAAAAAGGACCTTCGATCCAAGAGGTAAGTGAACATCCTTACCCTGACGTGTACATGCTGTTTACGTTCCTAGGTCGATATCCTTTCATGGATGGGTCGCACTGCTCTGGAAATAATCGGACAAGCAGGTTTAGGCTATTCCTTTGATCCTCTAACAGATGAAGAGTCTTCCCATCCTTATAGCAAGATGATCAAAGAGTTACTGTATGTCCTATAAGCTATTTTGCCATTCTGCACTCCACTCATGCAAGAGATGTTTTAGTCCTACTCTAATGCGCGTGCAGTTTTGGCGCTTGAACGTGCTTCCCTACGTCTCCTGGATCGGCACTGCCAAATTCCGTCGTTTTGTGGTCAACCTGTTGCCTTGGAAGGACCTCCATCACCTTCGTGATATGGTTGACTACATGCACAATGTAGCGGAAGAAATTTATGAAAACAAGAGGCGTGCGTTTGAAATGGGTGACGAGGCCGTTGACCAGCAGATAGGAAGAGGGAAGGATCTTATCAGCATTCTCAGTGAGATATTTTCGTGGATTAAATAATTGTAATCTGAACAAACCGCTTCAGTGAGGGAAAACATGAAGGCTTCTACTGAAGATCGCTTGCAGGATATTGAAGTTATAGGCCAGGTGATTTTTAAGACCAACGCGTTGTTCTATTCCTTACGGTCTTTTTAGATGAAGTATGAATCTTGCGTTTGAGTGTGGATCAACTAATTAATATCTCCAGTACACTAATTTTTGCTGCGATGGACACTACTTCAGTGGGTTTTACTTGCACCAATATCGGACACATGTTAACGAGACTACGTCCAGAGCGCTATGTCCCGCTTGCTTCATATTCTTTCTAAGCATCCCGATGTACAAGACAGACTGAGAAGAGAACTCCTTGAGATAAAACGCCAGAAAAACGGGCAAGATCTTTCCTATGACGAACTAAATAGTTTGCCATATCTCGATGCCATCTGTCGAGAAACTCTTCGTCTGTGAGCTCTTTCCTTCAAGCACGGTCGCAACTTTCCTCATCCTGATGCATTTGTTCAAGATATTCTCCTGCTTCAAGTATTGTCCGGGTGTGAGAGCCTCTGTCGTATGGCTGTCTGTGTTTTCCAGAAACTAATCTCAGTAAATGTTACTACTAGTGCACGTCAAGACGCAGTCATACATTTACATAAACCAATTCACGATTCGAACGGCATCGAGATGCATGAAGTGGCTGTACCCCGCGGTACAACAATATTCGTGTCTATCTTCAATGCGAACAGAAATCCAGATCTATGGGGTAAAGGTACTTGAAAACGCCTGTTCGTGAGCAGGGTACTTATATTCAATTAGATGCGGGTGAATGGAGGCCAGAAAGGTGGCTCGCACCATTACCAGAATCTCTGATCAACGCGCGGATCCCGGGAGTTTACTCTCATCTGTAACTGCTCGATCTTGGGTTAACGAGACTCATTCTCTGATAAACCGTTCCTTAGAATGACCTTTATTGGAGGTGGACGGTCCTGCATGTACGTATCCGTGTTTCTCAAATCCAAATAGATCTCATGTGAGTGTAATTAACAGCGGCTTCAAGTTCTCGCAATTAGAAATGAGTTCGTCCATTCTTTTCGGAAGATCTCTAGGAAACATCGCTGACTGGTTCACAGAGGTTGTCATATCTATCTTGGTGGAAAGTTTCAAATTCTCCCCTTCAGACAAAGAAGCCGAAGTCTTCTGGCAAATGAATGGTGCAACAGCACCTGTTGTTGGAAAAGACAACCATCCTCGATTACCCATTAATATCACTTCAGTGAGCTGATCGCCCCATAAGGTAGACCTCACTGATCATTCCAGACTTCGGCAATGGCGTGGATATGTAGACCAACATGAGCGAGTTAGGACAGGACTTCTACATAGGATAGGTAGATTTCTGCCTGCATAGTATACCTGGATCAATCGAGGAGGGAACAATTTCTAATGAAAGTCTTTTATCGAATCGAGTGAATCTACATTTTTGACCGTAGGGACACCGATATGCCTCTCAAATATGAAAGAATCATGTTGAGAACGAGAACGTTAATGCTAACGAATGTGACCGGCGATTCAATCTACCGATATCGCCGGAAACGAATTGCAAATCCGGCTAAATCCGGCCGTCGAAGTACCAACCTCAGTTCTTACTGGCACCACCAATATTCATGGGTCTCCAACTGTCTCCAAGTCCCAAAGTCATATACGGTCGCACTTTGCAAGAGCTTTTGTCTATTGTATTCAACGCGCGCTGACTTCCCAATTTGGATGCCTGTCCGACGATGTCCAATTGCGTTCTTTGAATGTATACGGTTATATTCTGGTGACTACTTACCAGAGACGTTATTGATTTTAGGTCGGCCCAGTTAACTCAACAGATTTGAATGCTCGTCCTATGTCATCATCATAGGTGGCTTTCACATGAGTTCAGAGAATATAAGTGTATCTATTGATTTCCGCTTTTCTCTCAAGCTGTTCACCCCCTCATTTAAATGGGTATCGTCCGATTAGAATTTGAGGTTCATGTCAGTATTCGATCAAATACGGAGCAGATAGTTCTCAAAAAAGCTACGGATTCGCAGTTGAGCTTTCATTTCCTCCTTTACTGCCTTGCATACAAATCATGATCTTTGCAGACTTTCTGAGTTTTCCGCTTTTAGGGACCGTGGCTTTGTCCGTGGTCTTACTACAGCTATACTTGGGCAAGAAATATAAACCTCTAGACAACATCCCCGGCCCAGTCTCTCCTTCATGGATTACAGGTATGTATGGCTACAAAACAACAAACATGCATTGTGAATTTTGAGCCCATTTCCCCCAAGGAAACTTCAAACAAGTGTTCAATCCCGGTGCTTGGGCGTTCCACGAGCTCATTGCCGAGAAATGTAAATCAGAACTACAGCATCTTGCAAATCATTCCTAAACTTTTCTTCAGATGGGGGTATGGCACGCCTACACGGTCCTTGGGGGGTAAGAGAGGATCTTCATGACTTGAAACGAAACTAGAACTTAAACTCGAGGGTTTTATAGACAAAATCACTCTACATCTTTGACTCTAAAGCGATGCATACAGTACTCGTCAAGGTATGATCACTTGTATAATGCCATCGCCTCAATTTTGACTGATTGGCCGGTCACCACAGGATCAAGACGTTTTTGAAGAGAGTGACGGCTTCTTAGAGTTTGTGCTTAGGATTAGTACTGGTGCAATTGCTAATCTCCTATTTTTTAAAAAGAAGCAACCTTTTAATATTCGGAAACGGGTTGATTGGAACCTTGGGTTGGTCGGACATCTTTTTTTACAATGCAAGTCATGGCTTACGAATGATTGACTCAAGGGCACCAACATCGTCAACAGCGTAAAATGCTTAATCCTGTCTTCTCGGCTGCTCATATGCGGGAAATGAGTACGTATGAAGAAGATAACGGCATTTCGAGGATGCGTTAACAAATTCTTTACACAGTCCCGACGTTTTTTCAAGTTGGTCATCAGGTTTGTAGCGTGTTCTGACAATTTAGTGAAATTTATCTCGAAAAAATTTTAGTTAGAATCCGCATTGAAGAAGCGGCTACAAAGTGGTCCCCCGACTCAAGAGGTACGTATGCATTATTACTGACAGTGATAGAGTTCTAATGATATAACAAGGTCGATATCCTCTCCTGGATGGGTCGAACTGCCTTGGAAATAATTGGCCAGGCAGGCCTAGGCTATTCTTTTGACCCTTTGACAGACGACGAGTCCTTTCATCCATATAGCAAGGCAATAAAAGACCTCTTGTGCGTTCTTAAATTGTTTTTTTATCCCGCGTTCAAGTCGAAACTCATGTGGCAATCTAAATTTCAGCCCCACTCTTATGCGCGTGCAATTCTGGCGCATGAATGTACTCCAATATGTGTCCCGGATTGGCTCAGCGAGTTTTCGTCGTTTTGTGGTCAATTTGTTGCCTTGGGAAGATCTTCATCACATCCGTGACATGGTTGACTACATGCACCGCACGGCAGAAGAAATTTACGAAAGCAAGAAACGCGCGTTTGAGATGGGCGATGAGGTAGTTTCCCAGCAGATAGGAAGAGGAAATGATCTTATCAGTGTCCTCAGTAATATGCTTTCCTCTTTTATCCGCTCTAAATCTGAATGGCCTTTCTAGTGAGGGAAAACTTGAAAGCTTCTACTGAAGATCGCTTGCAAGATAGTGAAGTTGTAGGCCAGGTGATTATTGTAACCTTTCCACGGAGTTGATTCTGACTTTGATTTTTAGATGAAGTAAGACCATCATTCATTATGATATCTCGAAGTCTAACCGAAACATGGGCAGTACATTGATTTTTGGTGCAATGGACACAACCTCGGTGGGATTTTGATTATTTATCCTGCCTGTGGCGCATACCGATGATATAACATGTAGAGCGCAATGGCACGTCTGCTACATCTTCTATCCAAGCATCCTGAGGCGCAGGACAGACTCCGTCAAGAACTCGTTGAGGCAAAACGCCAGAAAGAAGGGGAAGACTTGACCTACAATGAACTTACTGAATTGCCGTACCTTGATGCTATCTGTCGAGAAACTCTTCGTCTGTAGGTTTCTCTCTCTAAGTTTGGTTACTATTTGAATTTTCACTGTTCGTTCAAGATACGCCCCCGCTTCGAATGTTATCCGATTGTGAGATACTAGTGTATGGTTGTCTGATCCCTCAATACTAAATGATTTCGACCTCGGCAGTGCTCGTCGAGACGGAGTCATTCCTCTTCACAAACCAATTTTAGGTCTAGACGGTACTGAAATGCATGAGGTGGCGGTTCCCCGTGGCACAACAGTCTTTGTTTCCATCTTCAATGCGAATAGAAACCCTGATTTGTGGGGCAAAGGTATTTAAATGATCGTTGTCCAATAAGGCGCAAATCGATAATACATTTGCAGATGCTGACGAGTGGAAGCCTGAACGATGGCTCTCGCCGCTCCCGGAACCACTCGTTGAGGCCCGCATTCCTGGAGTATATTCTCATTTGTGAGTCTTGGACCTTGTGTGAACGAGATCGGTCGTTTGATGTCCCCTTTTAGGATGACCTTCATTGGAGGTGGACGCTCCTGCATGTACGTACCCCACGTCCTGTAGATCCGAATGAATCTGATGTCAGCGCAATTGACAGTGGGTTCAAGTTTTCTCAGTTAGAGATGAGTGGGTCTATTTCTGTGAGACGCTTCTTGGAGAACATTACTCACAGTGGTATGTTCACAGAGGTTGTCATATCCATCTTGGTGGAGACTTTCAAATTCTCTCCTTCGGACAAAGACTCCGAAATCTTTTGGCAGATGAACGGTGTAACGGCCCCTGTTGTTGGAAAAGACAAACATCCACAATTGCCCATGAACATCAGTTTAGTGAACTGAAAAGTAAATACTTACGTAGACCCGAAGTAGTACAGAATAGGTACATGATAGTACATCTCATTTACTATCTTCAAGCCTAGGTACAGGATACATGTTTTGTGCAGAAGATTTTGAATATTTTGAATTTGTGATTCACTCATTGCTGAATGTCAAACCATAAAAGATGCATATAACCTGCCAATAACTAAAGGTATGTACAATTTGTACAAGCAATACGATAGAAAGAGAGTTAGTGCAAATCGTGACTTCGTCAAAAAATCATAAACATATATGCAGTATTGATACAAATGTGCATAGATAAAGAAAAAGAGAAAGAAAAAGAACAAAAGTAGATCCTAGACCTCCTTGATATTAGCATTCGGGAACAATGTTTCCGCCACCCTAATTGCGACACGAGCACGGTGAGTGCTAGGGGTGGCGAGGCGAAGCTCAATCTTCTCGACGTCGTATCGAGGTTGAAGGCCACTGAACCCGTGCACAGAATCTTCATCTGCATTCAAGAAAAGACTCAAATGTCGCAACGAAGTCGGGGCCTGAAAGGCAGCAATTCTGAGAGCGTTTATGGTAAGTAAGACTTGGCGATGGGTTATCAAGGCTCCTGAGGCCTTTGGGTTGAGCGAAACGTGCTCAACTTTTCGCCAAGACCTGAGAAGGCGGGCCACATCGGCATCGGTCAGGTCCAATGGATGAGGATGGGCAATGACGATGCGGATTAGTTCACGGAGACTGTCTAGCATTCGGACACTGCCCATCCACTCATGCGTTTCGATAGAGTTGACCGTGCGAAAGTTGACCTCCAGTATTTGCAGACGCGGCGCCTTCGAGTGCACGGCGTGTACAAAGTGCCCAAATTCATCCCGATGATGAAGCATCGGCACATCCACGACGAGCGACTTCACTGCGTACAGTCTACTTGCGAGTTCTGGGGTGGCGGCAGTGTCCATAACACATTCTACGACCTTGCATACATCTCTCAATCTGCCTGACACTCTCGAGAACATCGATCGTCCATGGGATATCTCTATTTCAACAACGCAGTTCTCCTGAAGATCGACGGCTGCCAAAGCTTCATGAAGTGCGAGCATAAAAGATAGATCTGATGCTCGATGTCCTTTCATGGCAAGGTGCATTCCGTAAAATGCAGCAGCGAAGGTTGTAGCGAAGGGAGTGGCGTTTGCATTGTATACAATACGAACAAGCTCTGGTCCATTTGGGAGAAGGTTTGAGACAAGCATTTTAGCGTTTTTTACGCTCGGTGGAAAGATCGGAAGCTTGTCCACCAGACGACGTGACCAAACGGAGTCGTGGATCCTGATCTCGATGTTGATAAGGGATGTAAAATGGGGTAAAAATTGGGAAAGGTTGGATAGGAGCGAAGAGGAGATTAAGTCGAGCGCTGGCCCCAGAAGGATGATAACAGTGGTAGGGTTTATCTCTGTGGGGAAGGGGCCCAGGAGAAAGGTGGATACACTGATAACTTGCGGGTTGAACCCAACAAGGTAGTCCGCGAATTGCTGAGGAGGTACTCCAGCAACGAGGATCAAGGTACCAAGGGTGTACATATACTCGATATCGGTTTGGGACTGAGGAAAGTTCATAGTCAGGCAGGGAGAATTCTTTCTGAGGCATGATGAACTTGTTCTAAGGCATTTATAACCGTGAAAGTTGTAATGTGGTCCAAAACCAGAACAGATGAAATGGAGTGGACAAAAGAGAACGGCGACAAACTGCTATTCAGGATTGAATGGGGGGGCCAACCAATTTCTCATCCATGCGGATCATTTCGATTAGTCAAAGAGACAGAAGCCTTGGAAGAGATCGAGGAACAATGCATTGGTGGCTATGCAATAATACAGATCAGCGGGAAGATGGTTAGAGGGGGGTGGATTTAAGACTTACGGCACCGAGCGGTGTCCTGATATGGAGGAAACCCGCCCTCTCACCACAACACGCTTTCGCCCAGGGATCGAACCCTAGAAAAAAACTCTTCAACTACGAACGTTTCTGTGATTCGTTCACCTATAATTCGATTACAAAGTTAGTCATGATATATTATGTATGACGGGATGTGCGCACTGCCAAAAAGAGACTTAATACAAAGCCCTCCAGACTAAATTGTGAACTGCCTGAAAATGGTACGTACACGCAAGGTCTCAGTACAAAGTGCGAAATTTCGACAGTATCTTGAGGATTCATCAGGAAGCTTCGGCCGAATGTAGAGATTGAAAGCTGTCAACGTTTTAGACTATGATGTGGCCTTTGGGACTAGCTAGGACCATGACGGGCAGCAGCTAGGCTACAGGGAAGAGGTCATCATGTATGCAATGATACAGCCTGCTTCGATTTTTGACTGCAATCTATGATTCCTGCAGTCTGGATATGGTATATCTTGAGGAGGCTTGTCGGGCTGTGAGGGAACCGGAAAGCACACGATACGTACAGTTACCAGTATCTCCAGAAAGAGAACAAGGTCGTGGTATGGAGATAGCTAGTCACGTAACGTTTGTAGTGACTCTTACCGAAAAAGTCGCCCAGCATGGACCAAGACGCAGCAGAGGACAAAAGGACAAGAAAATCTGGAAAAATACTTAAGAATGAAATGGGGTAGAACGACCCTAGAACGATAAATCATAAATCCTGAATTTCGATTCGGATTCGATGGCGCGGTGACACGTGATTGTCGGGAACGGTCCGTGTCACTGTCAACCTTTGCCTTCTTCAGCCTTCTTCACCAAAGAGACGAGATGGTCCTCTTTGTAGACGATACCTAGGTCTAAATTTTTCCGTCGAAATTTGGTACGATGTGTCCTATCTTAAGATGGGCCTCGGCTGTTCCTCAATGGGACCGTGTCGGTTTCCTTTCCTTGCCAACTGTTTTCTCTTGAGATGATGATTGAACACATCATTTTGATCGTGTATATCGTCAGTCTGGTACTCGAGACTACGGAAAGGTCTGTAGCTCACCAACTGCTCCTTTTTCGACAGTATGCCTTCGGCTTCGTAACTCCGAAAAAAAACTTGTAATTGACTCTGAGTTGGACTAATAGTCTTGCTGACTTTTGCTACTACTAGTACCGGCGCTCTCTCGTGTAATGTTTTTGGAAAGAACTGTGATGCTGTGCTGCAGCCTGTGCATACATGCACATACTCGAACTAGAACCCGGACCCAACGGCAATGACGAATCACCCCGGCAGAGAGAAGGAAATTGTTTCCAAGTACAAATAAGTCTCCTCGACCTTTTTTTATCACCATCACCAGCAACACCTCCAACTTCAATTTCGATACTCACGCAACTGCGCCATGTCTGCCCAAACTGCTCTCTTGATTGGTGCTTCTGGTCAAACAGGCCAACATCTTCTGAAGGAACTTCTCAATTCGCCCAAATTCTCGCAAGTCTTCGAATATGGTCGTAGAGTGACAGATCTAGAGACAATTTCTCATGGGAAGGAGAAGCTTCAACAGAAAGTCATTGATTTCGAAAAGTTGAACGAGTCGGGACTGAAGGACGGACAATGGGATGTTGTTTTCATCACGTATGTGACTAGTCTGAACTTGAATTGCGCGCGTAGTCTTACTTCATATACCATACTCAGATTGGGTACAACACGAAAGAATGCAGGAAGCGCCGAGGCTTTTGAGAAGATTGATAGAGAGTAACTCTTTTCGTCCTTTGTGATACATATATTTCATCTTCTTGGTCTACTAGATATGTAATCAACTCTGCCCGGGAAGCCAGAACAGACGGCAAGGATCAGCGTCTTGTATACCTCTCATCTGCTGGTGCCGATGCAAGCTCTTCCTTTCTCTACACCAAGTAAATATCTAGCTGTGCTGCGCATTATCGCCTATGCTGAATGTTGGATCGGGAACAGGAGTAAAGGCTTAACGGAACTCGGACTAGCATCCTTAGGATACAAGGACACGATTGTATTCCGTCCTGCAGTGCTAGCAGGTGTGAACCGACCGGAAAGCCGACCGTTCGAAACTTTCGGAAGGTAAGAACTCATTCCGTATATGCAGGGTTTTCTACTTAGAACAGATATGTCAAGATACGTTACAAGCGTTCTGTCTCACGTCACTTCAAGCGTTGAGATCAAGGTGCCATTTCGTTACTCTCGTTTTCTTTGAGATCCAAGTGTCCTTATATGAAATCGCAGGTTGGGACTCTTGCGAAATCCATGGTGAAGGCCGGTAGCCTGGGCTCCGCATCGCTTCCTGCCATCGCTCATGCGACGCAGGAAGGTAAGGAAGGTGCATTTTTTACCGTGATAAGAAATCTAGGTGCTATTGCACTTGCAGATTCTGAGTTATAGACCACACATCACCTGGTCGTACATCATCATTTTCACTCTACATATATCGTCAACCTTTTAATACAATTTTACATAGCTCGCAGAGTTTAGAATGTCCCACATGGAAGAGAAAGCATGAATTCCAATGGGAAAATAGTCGGTGGTAATAGTATTGTACGATATGGGTGGAAAATAAATGCAGCAACAATGAGCAAACGAGGGATAGCGATGATACAAAGATAAGAACGAAGTGCTTGACACGCCCGCGTGTTTTGCATAAATGTGCAAGTGCACAAGGAGACAGAAATTGCCCTCCATCGAAGAAACAACACTAATATCAGCTCGAACCACTTTTGTGAGAGCCTGAGGTGGACGAGTTCCGTCCGTGAAATTGGAAAGGTAACGAATATCGCTTCGTCAGACCTTTCAACTTGGTATATGAAGTCTTCTGACTCGAAGATCGCATGAGGGCTTCCACACGTTCCGCGGGGGTTTTTGGTGCATCTGCATGGAGCCATATCGAAGGTATCGTTGACGATGTTGGATCTACGATTGGGTGAACGTCACGTTCCTTCTTGAAGCAAGTCAAAGAAGACAAGCTCACCTCTGCCCATTTTCCTCTGCGAGTTAGCGGACATGTTCACATCATCTACGGATTTGCGTAAGATACGGGGAACTTCCTCAATTCCATGGTTAGAGCTTGTAGGCATGACTATGATGTCGTCCATGACGGAAAGTGGGGGTTCAGCCGAAGGTTCGCCGAGACGGCGATTGGGCTCGATCCTGATGTCTTCAATCTCCGTCTTTCTGAGCCGCGGCTGAGGAGCTGGAGATAGTATAGGAATCGAAGGGGGTGGCGGTAATTCTGGTGCAGGTTCATCTACCAGTGATTCTGTTGAGATGTTCCTCGATTGCTTGCGGTCTAGAGGTGAAGGAGTAGAAGAATGAGGAGCATTGCTGGTAGGGGTTAAGCTGTTCGAGGAAGGAGGATGCGAGGTATCTGGTGTAAACACTTTGGGTATAGATGGGACAGGAGGATGCGGTCCGTCCACTGGGGCACTTTGAATACCGGAGGGAGAATGTATACTTCTGCTTGATCGACCCGGTAAGCGCAAACTTCCTAACGACGTTCGCATACTCCGTGTCCGTGCAGCAGTGATCATGCCCACCCTGCTACTGCTTTTCCCACTTCTTGCGCTTCGCCTACTGCGCAGGCTGCGAGTATCGTTATCTTCAGGACTAGATTTAGATTCCTCTCCTTCCTTCGGTTCAACGGCAGAGGGAGGACGCAGGAATTGCGAAGAAGTGGAGGCAACGTTTGAAGGCTTTAAATCGATTAGCTTTCCAGAAGCTGATACGGCATCGTGTGAAGCAGGCTTCGGGACGGTAACGACTGCGGCCGTTCGGATGAAAATTTCTCCCTCGTCCGAGTATACCCCAGTATCATCGATATCATCCAACTCTCGAGTGAGACCATCCATTTCCTCAGCCAGCTTCTCTGCTTCTGACCAAGCATCATTAAGCTCTGCCTGCAGCTGACCAAGTTTCGTTTTGGCCTCGATTAGTTCGGCTGTGCGCTTGCCATAACTACCGTTCAGCTATGCGTGATATTCGATGCGTCAGGAAGGGAGAGTTGAGAGATGGTATATACCACACACCTTGCGCAGTGCTATAGCTAGCGCACTGGCCCAGTGATTTTCAATGAGTTTGGTGACCTGGTTGATTTGATCTACGACGGATACAAGCTCCTGCGTGAGCTTATCACATTCGGCCGTCGTATCAGAGATTTGCGTAGCTAGCTTGCTAACCAGATCTATTCCACCGTCTTTCTCCGTACTATTGGTCCATGATACGAGCGCCTGCAAGAGCATAGTTCTGCGTTGGACGTGAAATCGATATCTGGACTGCATGGAAGCTTTCTGGAAATTGAGTCGTTCCAGTTCCGCTGGAAGCACTTCGTCGAGTTGCTTTAAGGGGAGTAGTCGAATGAAGGACTCCTGCGCAGACGATCGAATTGCTCTAGAGACTATTGTCTGTAATTCTTTGGAGTCCAGTGTCCCTGCAAAGTTTCGTAAGCAAGTGGATATTGAGAATGGTCTGGCACTCACACAAAGCTCCATCTAAAGGAAGTCCTTTCCATTCGACCTGAGGAGACTCAAATTTGAGTTGAGGCGCTGAAATCAATGTCACAGGCGGCATTGAGACTACCCGAATAGAACTCGGGGCTGGCGATGAAGGTGCGAGAGAGGAACGCACGGAAGGTGCTGTAGAAGGTACGAAAGATGATCTAGTCGAAAGTGATGGTGACGGAACACGGGAAGGCTCTGGAGAAGATATAGACGATGGATTCGGGGATTCGTGGAGAATAACGGAAGGGGTACGACTTGGAGTAGCCGAAGATGGTTTCGTTTCTGGCGTGATTGGATCCGGCGAGCGTTCCTCAATATCTGGAAGAGGCTGCTGGTCATATCCGGGCCTTATCGGTGAATTAGGTGGCGGAAAGCTCGGGGATGACGGTCCCGGGCTGTATAACGTAGATTCTCGTGATCGAGAAGAGGATTTCGACAGCGTAGAATTTCTATAGCTTGTGTTGCCGCCATCCGTTGTATTTTCTTCAAAGGTCAATGTTGATAGCGTAGACTGTTGTCGCGCACGTGGACCTGAAGGCGCTGGACGAGCTCCAGCTGGGCGTAATAACGAAGGCCTGTTGGATCTTGACGCTGAGAACGTTTTGTCAGATTCTATCAATGTTCTGTCCATGGACAGTTAGAATTGTTGAAGCACTGGTTGTATCAATGACAATTCAGTGTATTTTGTGTTATAGTTATATGAGAGACGAAAGAGCGGCGGACGTCGAGAAGTAATGAAAACAAAGTCTGGCTCAGGTCTAGCTGTATAGTTGTATGTTCGGCGCTGTGTGTTCAATTAAAGAGTGATATATTTCCCAGGCTGGTTCCGATCAATCATCACCCACTATCATCAAAACGCGTAAAAATTAAGAGCGCGTCTGTTCTAACAGGTCTGTACTTCCCTGTGCTTCAGAACATCCTAGAACATCAATCTCTGAATTACATTACGGTGAGTACATTATACATGAAGCCTTACAAGACATTTATCCCACAAGCTCATGAAAAGACAAAAAAAACCTGAAATTTAATTAACATCCTATATCGATACCATCATATGGGCCTGAAATTCTCTATGAGTCGTATTCGATATGTACAGGTTCATTTCGTGAACGTACCGAAATGGTCATCGACATCTCCGCTCAATATAGTCGGCACATCGCCAGTGCTGCATTGAGTGCTAGTATTATCTTGCCCTGTGGAAGAAACAATGAGATGACTCAACGACCAGCAACGGGAATAGAAACTAACCTGGACACGCCACCCATGCGTTAGAATCCAAAATATGCTTTTCCCCAGATGGATGCACATAGCCCAAAAGTCTACCTGCGCTGGATATCAGGTGTGTACATGAGCGATCGGATTATAATACTTACCGGGAACAATGGGAACTATGTCTTCTCTACAAAGAAAGTCAGGACTCCGTCTGGTTTTTCACAAAGGAAGTATGTTATCACTAACTTGTTGTTGATGTGAACGAGGTTTGGAAACTTGGAGTCCATGAGATTGGCGAATGCTTGATTACCGACCTATGAACATTTCGATAAATCTGAGCAAAGAAAATTGCAGGACTCTGACACCTACACGAGGTAAACCATATCCGATAAAGTTCACGGTGGCAGTGGGCACTTGAAGTGAAAGATAGAGAGCGTCAAGAAGTGAAATCGCGGCTCCTGCGACTCGGCGTAAGATCTGCTAATGAAGATGAATTACGATGAAACTTACCTAGAGAGTGACCGGTGGTAGTGACAGTGGTAGTAGAATGAGCGGACATTGCCTTTTTCACAGCTGCTAGAACAGCAGTCGCAGTCCTATAAAGAATCGAGGTTGGTCTTCGCGAAGCGACCTGGACAACTAATGCCTTAAACTCACTGCGCCTGTTCCTTTCCAAACCCATCATGAACTTCTACGCTTGAGCTCACTCCGGGGAACAAAGTAGAATCGACTGCCTTGAGCGCAAATTCGACGTCAGTGACGATGGAGAGGCTTTGTAAAGGCACGAAAAATCAGTTGGAGGTGGTATATGAAATGAAGAGACCTACATCTCTGCTGTGTCAGTTCCTTGATGGGAGACTATTACGCTGTGCAAAGTTGGATCGTATCCGACAAACCAAAATTGGATGCTATCACCGTCGCCCCCTGACGCAACAGGAACGAAGGTAGGATTCGCCTCGCAATTTGCTGCAAGACTAAGAATTAATTCACCACGGACACAAAAAGAGGAGGTTGGACGCGCACTTCCGCAGGACCAGTTGATCGTCGTGGTAGGAGAACAGTAGCCGGCGCTGGCGTAGTACGTGTAGGGCTTGTACACCTCAATCTGAGCTGTAGTGAGGGTAGTGATCGCAGTACGAGCTTGAATGCCTGCTCTCGCAGCGGGCGAGGCAAATGCAGACGCAGCAAGGGCAACGAGAGACCAAGAAGCCTGAACAAACATTGCGGGGGCGAGTCGATGAAGGACAACTAAGCTGTATGACCGTATTTATACGTTTGAGGTTTTCTGTCAAATGTGGAATCCGGACGCGATGATACATCTAGGGCAAGAGAAAGGTCTTCAATCCCCAACATACCGGTGAAGATGACAACGCCGGACGCGATCTGGTATACATGTAAGGCTAGAGGAATCAAGGAAACCAAATATCAGCGAAATGCACTGATTACGGGTCACTCAGGGCAAAATTTACAGATTATCAGCTATCAAAAAACCAATTGCCGCTTACCTGGTGCGACGGGGAACTGAGATGCACAACCGACTTGAAAGCTCTTGGAAGGAGGATCTGCGAGGCTCTGCGGAAAATTATGCTTCTTGAAGTTCTTTCCTCGAATCATCAGCAATCATCCCAGCCCCAGACCCGGTGTGCATTCAATATTGAGAGTATAGGTTAGTGATCCCTGGGAACCGTAAAGATGGTAGTCCATGGCAATCCGTCGCACAAGCGTGCCTAACATCCAAAGATCCGAATAAATTTTGTATCATCGGAAGATGTGATTCTAAAGTGTTGATTGGAATCAGTGCGGTGACGAGCCTACGGAGCCTGCACCCTCCTGCACCTCGTGAGTCGTAGAGTCGTATGAGGTCGTACGCCAAACGATCCACCCCAGAGCAGGCTTAATGTGTTCGGTGGTAAGCTCGAAGCGTTATTGTAACGTGTAGTCTTTTCGCAAGTCCATTGCAGCGAAATAATGTGACAATTTGTGTCAGAATACGTTTCAATGTACATCTTGTAACTTCTTCAAGCACCTGTGTAGACTCAAGAGTTCAACGTATGGAGAGTTGAAAAAGTGGCGGACTAAAGCCGTAGATGACTCAGACTCACGATCGAAAATTTCATTGTGCAGAGGATGCAAGCAACTACAAATTGTTGTCGCGCAAATTCCCACGGAGTCGGATTACCCGCGGATGTGTGCGGACCAGCTACGTTATATGGAGTTGCGCCAGCACCGAGAAAGCCCCTGTACCGAAGCGGGGACCACATGTGAGCTCATTGGAAGGGACCAATTGCAAAAGCCCCCTCCGAGCCACGATGAAGGCACACATGCGAATGCATGTTAAAGGTTCGGACACTCGAGCGCTTAACCAGTAAGCCCACGATCATGCTTAATCCGCGTGATACAGCCTCAGGTGTCACCCTAGTGTCCTTGTTGGGAGGTCAAACTGGGTTCCTTGGTATGTTTCTTGGAGTCTGCAGTTGATTGCTACTGATTCAGACTCATTGACAGTATCAAAAGATAAATGGTGAAATGCATCGAGTGTGTACAGCTACAACAGAGGAAGGCACCATATGAAATGCTTGACACTGGTGACTGGAGTATTGGGCAGTGTAGGAACCAGGAGAGAAGGAATCATGCATACTGCGAGAAGTTTAGAAAAGATCTTCTCAAACTCGGCTGATGAACTCAAACCGCCGAAGCTAACAGCTTGAAGAACCTTTCGAAAACAACGCACTGACAGTTGGGGCTCATGCATATATGTGGGTCGCCACACGGCACTGTCACGAAATGTCTAAAACACACGTTTGATATGTTTCTAGTTGCATGATCAACCCGATACCTGCGGTTAACTTCTAACCACCATCATCTCGACTTTTCGCACGACTAAAATCGTCAAAGCAAGCCTCGGTGGGGGGTTAGAGTAGCTCAATAGAACATTCAGAATATCACCAAAGAATTCACAACGGCTCGAAAAAGTTTCGACAAGGATAAAATCGGAGTGAATAAGATTACAAGGAACTGTGGAAAAGGGAACGTACGACGCGATAAGGTTGTTCACCCAATTTGGAGGGAGTTTGAGTGCAGTGGTCTATTAAAGGCTGTTACCCTGTTGGAGGTTCTGTTTGTTCAACCTAGTGAACCACTCTAGAAACAAGAACCAAGACCTCGAAGAATTCTTCATGAGGAACGGCAAGGAATTGACCCGGCACGGAAATGACGCAGACGCCGGTTTCAAGGCTGTGGAACGAAAAATTTCTTTACCTTCAAACAACGACGACAAAGTTTCTCGCTCATCCCCTCCTTACTCCTCTTCCATCCATACTCATCATTATAATCTTACCATTACTCCCTCACATAATATGACCCGTGCATCTCCTGTTCCCGAAAATGAATCTAACCCCGACACAGAACGCACTCCTGCCGATAATAATTCCCCTACGACTCCCAACCCGCAATCACAATCACAATCGCAATCGCAATGGTCCATTGGAGAACGACCGCTGCCAGCAGCTGCCCATGTGTTGCTGAACGAATTGCAGGCGCCAGGCCCAACGAACGAAAAAGGCAAAGGTGCACTAAAAAAGGGAACGAGCAGTAAAAAGCTGGACACTCTAACGACGGGATCATCTCCCTCATCGATCAAGCCTTCCACCTCTACCTTGACCATTGGAAACGACGTCTTTACTACTCTCAAGCTGAATACTTCGGAAAAGAAGAACCGGATCGTCGACGTGGGTAAGGTGGTAGATGCGAATTTTCGTGTCCTAGGTGGTCTTCACCTCGAACTCGAGAAAAGACTGACAGATCAAGGAGCTCGAGTTGCTGATGATGTTGCGGAGCTAGCTACACGAGTTGATAACCTGGAGGTAGCGGATGTCGTGGGCAACGAAGACGTTCTCAATGACAACCTCTCGCAGTCAAGTCTCCCTGTTTCGGCAGGTGCGGGTATTTTGCGAGACTTGAAATCTCGTATTTCTGCACTGGAAGAGGCTCCGGATAACGAAGAAAGTACGGATGAGCACGTGGAGGTGCTGGAGAAATTGGTAAAAAAGATGCGCGGGGACATTACAAATCTGAAGGACAAAGTCGAGCTCGACCGCCAATTTGCCAAGACCCTTGCCACCCCCAAAGATGTCAACGATGCACGTACATTTGCAACGAAAGAGGTCGCGATGCTTCGCACCAAATTCTCGGACGAAATCAAAGCAGTACGGGGGCTCATCCCAAAGGAATCCATATCAAGACGAATAGCACCAGTCGAGTCCAGGATCGACATACTCAGTTCAAAGGTTGAGGATCTCGAGGGAAAGTTGAACCGCGCATTGGCCGAAAATGAACTCCTACGAGCTCAACTTCATTCAAAGGAGTTGCATCGAGGCCGAACTCCCTCAGTAACCCCCAACACATTTCCGCATTCCCGATCCCCCTCCCCTCGTCGACGTCAATCACAGGCCCTTGGTCGTTATCGCTCCCGCTCCTCTTCACCCTTCCCTCAACATCGATACCCTTTGCCGCCGCCGCCACCGCCGCCGCTGCCACCTCCTACTTCCATATCCCGAAACAAGAGAGGACGCAGCAAAAGCCTGGATAGCAGACCACACAAAAGGGGTCAACAACATAATCCAGCATCGGAAAAGGTGTCAATTTATGTGGGCCCTTTCCCCTCGACGTTCTGTGCACACACAATGGGTCATGTGCGACGTTGGTTCTCGGAGGTGGTGCAGCCCACATACTGCCCATATGTGCTGGAGGCAACGAACGGATATTACCAAATTTCTTTTGGCTTGCGTGCTGATGCCGATGGCTTCATTGCCTCTTGGAATGCGAACTTCTCGAAATCTGAGCTGAGGACTTATCACGGTATCCACATCAGGCAGGGGGATTTTTGAACAGGGCTGAGGATCAAAAGCATGTCAGGGAGAGTAGCCACAGTTCCGATTCTACGATAACGAATGATGATGTATACGACGAAAATGTTATTAGAATCCTTTCTTGGAATGTTCATGGTGATTTCTCTGTTAAAATGCTCAGCCCAGAATTTCGAAACATGCTTTCACAATATGATATAGTACTCATTCAAGAAACACACTTATGTACTGAGGAAGAAGAAGCATTACTCAAACTCGATGGTTTTAATTTCTTTGTACAATCACGTACCACTGCCAGGAAGTGGGAGAAGCAGCATGGGGGGGTCTGTGCTTTTGTTCGGAAAGGAATAGCAGTGTCGAAGTCGAAGCTTTCATCGGCGGACATTCTCGTGCTTGATTTTGGTAGACTATGGGTTATTAATGCATACATCTTGCCTGCACTATCTCGATATATGCATTTCACAGATGTATCTCCTGAAGAAAAGTTATTTGAGACAATACGATTATGTGCATTGGTGGACATGTCAAAAAAGACTGTCGTGGCTACTGATGCAAATGGGCGGACTTCTTCGAGGGTGCCTACTGATACACACCTGACACGAATATCACAAGACAAGGAAACCAATGCAAGGGGTCTGCGTATCTTACAATTATGCGATGAGATGAACTTGGCAATTGTGAATGGCACAGAATTGGAATCTCCACATCGGGGGTCTTACACATCCCACCAACACAATGGCAAAGCTGTGGTAGACTACATTCTAGTATCACAAGCACTGTGCACGTTGATCAAAAATCTGAGCATTGAGGTCCGACCAGTGTCAAAGACAGACCAATGGTCAGACCACTCGAAACTCTCATTGGTGATTTCACGAGAGATTTGCATCATGACGGCAAATCAATCCACTCAACAAAAGAATCCGCTTTCAATTCCAGTACATGATGAAAGGACTGACATCATCTATAACGAGGTGCTGCAGAGTGCAAAACCTCCACACCAGTTGCTCCGTGATTTTTATGGTCCGGTTTACTATGACAAAAATCCAATCTCTGTGTATACTGATGGTTCATGCTTGGATAATGGGAAAGAAAGTGCAAGAGCTGGATCAGGAATATGCTTTGGGCTACGGTCCAACCAGAACATTAGCCTCAGAGTACCAGGCCCGGGAGACCCCACAAATAATAGAGCCGAAGCATATGCTGTCCTGATGTTATTGTTAAATGTTGACCCTAAACGTGCACTGAACATCTACTGTGATTCAACATATGTCATCCGAGAATGCTGCTATTGGGCAGGCCGCCATCTATCTACGGGATGGAAGATGTCAAATGGAGACCTATTGAAAGACATTTGCTTATTACTAAAATATCGTCTGGCTCTCACCCGCTTTATATGGGTTAAAGGACATAGTGGCATTCCGCAAAATGAACTGGCAGATGAATTGGCAAAAACAGGTTGCACAAAAAGGATTCCAAGGGATTATACCTGCCTAATGTCTGCACCATGGGAGTGTAACCCAGGAAACAAGTTAGCAATTGATGTTCAGAAAGTCTCCACTGACCTACCAGAGCATGCTGAACCAGGAGCAATGAATGCTACTCCGACAATCTTAACAGTGGAAAGTGGTCATCGTGGAAGGTCAAAAGTTGGAAAAATCCGTCATGAAAACCTTGTCAAATTGCGTAATTGCAAGACTAATGCTCAATTCTGGATGTTATATAAGTCATGGCTAGATCCAAAAGCAAAAGACTTTGAGCTTTCACTCAATCACCTATATACAGAGTTTAAGACAAGGTTGAATTCACCTATGGTCCCATCATTGCAGTTGAATCACAATCACCTGTCATATCTAAAGCACCTAGAAGCAATGCTACCAGAAAACAACTTGGACCCAACAGAGCAGGGGTTTTTTAGCTGCCCAATTCAAGAAGATGAAGTAGCTGAAGCCAAGGAACACATACTTCAATGCAACCTGAACAGTGCCATGGGCTCCGATGGCATATCATACAAGGAAATTATGGACATCCCCAATGAGAATATAGTCTCATTTCTCAATCACTGTGTTGTAAACAAGACTGCACCCTCGCAATGGCTTTATGCAATAGTGATTGGTATTCTAAAGCCAGGAAAGAATGCTTCAGACCCAAGTGGCTACCGCCTCATTGTATTAGAATGTTGTTTTGCAAAATTGTTGGCCTACATTATTGACCGTAGGATAAGGTCTTATTCAGATCTAAAGCAATTAATACCTGATTCTCAAAATGGCTTCAGACCTACATACCGAACAACTAACAACCCACTAATTTTGAGGACTATGGTGGATAAGGCTGAATCTCTGGGCAACCCACTATATTTTGCATATATGGACTGGACAAATGCATTTCCCTCCACTGATAGATCTGTAATGTGGATTAAATTATTCTCAATGGGAGTGAAAGGCCCAATGATTGACTGGATACGGATGCTCTATGCAAAAATTGCTTATGTTGTCAGAGTTTGTGGCTCTCACTCTGAACCTTTTGGCGGTGATATGGGGGTCATTACAGGCAGTCCGGACTCACCAAACTTGTTTAATCTGGTTGTTGCAGATTTTAAAGTGACGGAACACCCAACAGATGTGGTTCTTCATGATATGTATGTCAACCACATGTTGCAAGCAGATGACACAGGAATGGCTGGGACAACACCATCTAGCATTCAATCTAAGCTTAGACAATTTGAAGCATATGCATCCTTCACAGGTTTTGAAGTATCTGTGCCTAAATGTATGATTGCAGTATTTGGAAAGGAAGTTGTCACTGACACTGTTTTCATGCTACATGACAAACCTTTGCAAAAGAAGAAGAAACTGAAATATATTGGGGTACATCATCAGACTGGTCGAGGAAGCATATACAAAGACAACTATCAGGTACTCGCAGATAAGGCTAAGAATGCTGCAGGTGCAGTCCTTCATGCTAAGGCTTTTGTAGGCAGTGACATGCCAATAAAGGATATGATTACTATGTACTGGGCTAGAATTGACCCATATTTGAAAAGTGGTGCCGAGTTCAGTATGGATGTGGTTGCATCTCATAGAGACCAATTAGAGGAAGTACAACATTATTTCTTACGGAGGGTTCTCTCTTTACAAAAACGATCATCAACCCAGATTCTGTTCACCGAAACGGGAGTGATGCCAATCCGCTATCGAAGAATCATTCTTTTCTTCAAGAACATGCAGTACCTGGTCAATTTACCACATCATCATCTCGCATGGAAAGCATTCAGAGAAGCTTACTCTTTGGCTCAAAATGGACACACATCAATAATTTTGGAGGCATGCAGAGTACTTGACAACCTGCCAATACCATTCACTTGGAACATTCCAGAGTTTGAGGATATCACTACTGCATACCTGAATGATCTAATCACTGGCATTCAAAATTCCATGGAGAAGACTCTGCAAAAGGCTGTGATATCTTGTCCCAGAACAATGGACACTCTGAAAGAACGAAAGGAGTATGACCGGAAACAGAAAAAGATGGTCTTTAAACCTCTGACTTTTCGACACTATTTGAATGTCCCAACAGGTTCACATCGGAAAGCACTGATCCACATTGTGACTGGTAATCACCAGCTTGCGGTGGAACGGTTGCGCTGGGATGAGAGAAACAGACCTCGAATAATCAGAGAGCACCGGTTGTGCCGTCTTTGTAAAGGCTCAGTCGAGGATCCTGCCCATGTTTTATTTGAATGTAAGGGCAGTCTTGAATTGATCAAATTAAGGGAGACTTTCATGCAGAAAGTAATCCTGGGACTTCCACAATATGCAAAATTCTATCCAGATGCATGGATGCTATTCCGCACCTTATTGGCTGATACAAGAATCACGGAATTATTTGCAAAGTTGGCATATGATGTTTTAGAAGTTGTATATGAGGTTGAAATCTTTGTCCCATCTTGATGCAAAGGTTGCTTGCATGCATTGTCGAGACGGGGAAGACCGTGCACGTCTCACGAGGTTTTTTTCCTGCTTTTTCCTCATCAAGTGTGAGAGTGGCATTATCGCCCCCCCGTATTAGAAATGTGTGTTCCAATACTGTAATCTAAGTAGAGATTGTACAGTATGGTAAACTGGTCGTTCGGGAATCGGACCTCGCCAGTATAATTTAACTATCCTATCCTATCCTATCCTGCTGCCAGAAACCCTTACGGTATGAGAATATTTTAACACCCCATCTCAACACCATCATACGGGCCTACACCAAGTAATAGTCAGGGATTTCTGTTCCTAAAAGAAAGCTCTTGGTCTCACCATCATGGTCACTGGTGTCTCCGCTGAAGATAGTCGGTACGTCGCCTGTGGTACATTCGTCACTGTCGTTGTCTTGCCCTATAAAGAAAGGTTTAATGAATAAGCGACAACACAATGATGAACAATAAAAGATTGACCTGGACAAGCAACCCACGAATTATCGTCCATGATATGCTTCTCGCCCGATGGATGAACAAACCCTAAGAATTCACCTGTGATAGATATCAGATGTAGACACAAGTTCTCCAATGACAACAGAGAATGATATTTACCAGGCAAAATTGGGACTGGATCTTCTCTGCAAAAGGGATGAAATGTCAATAGAGCCTATGGCTCAAATTTCCATGGACTTCAACTAACTTGTTATTTATATGAGATAGGTTTGGTAATTTTGAGTCAATGAGATTTGCGAACGCTTGGTTTCCGACCTGTGACCATGCGAATGATCATGAGCCTTGATCAGGAAAACGACAACATTTCTGACACTTACGCGAGGCAAACCATATCCAATGAAGTTCACGGAAGCGGAAGGTAGTTGTATGGTGAGATAGAGAGCATCAAGAAGGGAAATCGCGGCTCCTAAATAACTTAAGATCAGCTGATGTTCATTCGGGAGAGGAACTACGAAACTGACCTAATGAGTGTCCTGTGGTAGTGACCGCTGTAGTAGAATGAGCAGACATAGCTTGTTGCACAGCTGCTAAAACAGCAGTCGCAGTCCTATGGAACAAAACGTTGAGATATGAAGCAAGCTCAACAAATAAAGCTCTCTCACTGCGCCTGTTCCTTTCCAAACCCGTCATGAACCTCTACGCTTGAGCTGACTCCGGGGAATAAAGTGGAATCGACTGCCTCAAGTTCGAACTCGGCGTCCGTGATGACGGAGAGACTATACACGAATGATAAGCTCCTACGAGACAGATGCTAATAATAGAGCGTACATCTCTGATGCATCAGTGCCTTGATGAGAGACTATTACACTCTTCAAAGTTGGGTCGTAGCCAACAAACCAGAACTGCACGCCGTCGCCGTCGCCCCCTGACGCGACAGGAATAAAGCTGGGATTCGCCTGGCAGTTTGCTGTAAGAGTGAAAATTAGTTGACGAGCTCGCCCAACGTAAAAGTATCAATAAATCCAAAAACGTACCACCACAAGACCAATTGATCGTCGTGCTTGGAGAACAGTATCCGGTGCTCGCGTAGAACGTGTACGGCTTGTAAGACTCGATTTGAGCAGTAGAAAGAGCGGTGATCGCTTGTCGACTTTGAATAACGCCTGCTCTCGCAGTTGGCAAGGCGAAAGCAGAAGCAGCAAGGGCGAGTATGCACAGAGGAACCTCGACGAACATTGCAATAGCGAGTAGACAGAGAAGTCAACTCAGATGCAAGGTATTTATATTATATGCTCGATCAAGTCAAGTCTGATTCAATCATGGGCAAAGAAAACAAGTTAGATGCACACGTTCGAGATCAGAGGTTACTCACGGAACATCGAGATACAATACTTGTCAGAAGCTGTGATAATTACAGTACAGCAGATCGCGTGGATTGAAGTGATTTCGTGTGGCGACTGACCGAGATTTACAAGCATGTCGAACAATCCATACTTGGGACAAGGCGGCGAAGTTTGTGCCTTTTTATTCTTCTATTGAGCTATTCCAACCAAAGTGGAATGTCAACGGTGAAAAAAGGCGAAAATAAAGCGTGATTCACGTTGGTTCACGGGGATCCCAATAGAGTTTTTCTCGTAAGAGCGATTCTCAGTCCCGGTTGAACAACTCGATGGGAGCGCAAGGAGTTGAAGATGCATCATCGGATTCTATATACACATTTGATGAGCGGGGAAAGAAAGGAAAAGAACATGAAAACCCAGACATTCCATATGGTTTTCCTCGTCACTTGATTTTATACTCCATCCTCAACGTCAACTCTCATTCTGGTACCAGGACACATGGACTATTCGACCTTTATCCAAATGAAGATTCTATGTAACGAGATATCTATCATACCCGAATGTTTAGGGTGCGTGTAGCCAGCATATAGATGACAATGCTCACCAGGAAACACGACAGCCTGTTACACTCTGTCTGCATAGTGCTGATAGCCTATACCTCTTCAACTCGTCAGCCATACCCGAATTATTTGCAGCAGACTGAAATAGCAGCTCTAATCTTCCGAGATAGATAGATTGATTGATACACGGTCCCCTAAACGGAACGGCCGGTCTCAACGGCCGAACGACAGCGAGCGCAAGGAGAAGGTAGACTGTCGCAGACTGTCGCCCGGACGTCAAGGCAGGAAGACCATCACCTTGCTTGGCTAGGTTTCTCGGACTGGGATAATTGAAGCAGTTTTCGTTCCATATCGCAAACATGCCACAACACCGGTACCTTTCGGTCCGTTTAAGCTGTGCTGTCGTACGCCGTTTCTTGATTCATACCCAACATTGTCTGTAATATTGTCAATCTATACACATTCCAATTTCTCTGTCATTTTCTTCCACCACTCTGCTGTCTGTGTGTTGATTTTCTCCAACCTGTCATCTTCCGCTAGAAGCTCTACATCATGGCCTTTTGTCAAACACCCCACAAAGTCTCGAAGAAGATGTATAGTGGATCTACCTGAACTCCGAGATAACACCACATACAGATTGAACAAACTGAGTTCCCTATATCCACTAGCACACTCCATATGGTCTGTCCTTGAGCCCAATAATCTGTGAATGCATATGCTGCTGTCATCGGGAATTGCTTGCAATGAACTGTGCCTTTGACGTACTTTTTTCTTCCAACCCAAACCTGTATGTTGACTGTTTGACTGTGCAGCTCTATAGGTATAACCTGCTCTTCTAGTCCATCAAGCTTCTGTGCTCTTGTGCAATCCATCTTTACCAACTCATACAATGGCATGTACTCCAGCTCCACCACTGAACAGTTCTCCTCAAATTCTGGCTCTCTAGGATCAAACACAATTTTTACAATCTTTCCTCTCGCACCATTGGGAATATCCAGATCAGTTTTGATGTTCTGTGTCACCAATACCTTTGCCCCTATGGCTAATTCTACATGATCTGGTAAGCTCTTTTTCCTATGACTTGAGGATGTTGATTTTTTGTGATTCCTCATCTCCTACCAAACTGTGTGTCATCGAAAAATAGATTTTCAAAGATCAGCTGTTTGACATTACTCTATACTTCAACTAAAAGTACTTCTACTTCATAGTACACTCATCGTAGATGAATATCTTATGCAATACTTTGTTTGAGAACCAGGCAAGGTTGGTGCCTCGGCACGAGGCCCTTTCCCAGTTCTATAGGGAGATTGAAAATAGTAAGCACTTGACGGTCTACGGACCGAGATCCGTCTTTCACGTGCTAGCGCTGTGAGTGTCCGGAGCTGTCCGGCCTTCAGAGGTCGGAGTCTTGATGGGCGACTTTCATTGGACTGTTACATAGTGATAGAAACTGGATAGAGACAACAAGGTAAGTGCTTTCGGTGCTACACAGAAGAATTCGAATATAGATGCACTTATCACACCAGCTCTCGAATTGGAAGACACGAAGAACACCATCAATATACCACCGTGACCGCATAACCTCTGCCGCTAGGCCACACGGTATAGCTGGATTTTCCTTGCATTGGCAACCTGTGTATTTTTCACGGAATGTTAGAATCCGCGTAGCGTCCGAACCAACATCGAATTATCGGGTTTCGTATATGTAGATTGACGCTGCCAGCATTATTGTCATAATTACTCAACTGTCCAAAAACGTTGTATCTGCTCGTCTTCGCGCGCCTTCTGAGATGTTCGCTCCTCAAGCCCGCGGTAATTGTGCTTTCTTACTTCGTAAAGGTAGACTCATGTGATTGCAGCCACAGTAATTTCTCGAGGTCAGACGGCTGAAAAGGCAGTGATCCAAATTCGTACGCCTGCTCTTCAAATACTACTCCCCTGTTCCTGCCACATGGTATTTTCTTTTGTCTGGCTACGAAGAAGCGTGCGACGCTAATCACTTACTGGTCGCTGACGTGTCGTGCTCTCGTATTGTCCATCAGACGTCTCGGTACCTACTCGCGCAGCTTCGAAAATAGCTGAATGGTGTGGTATAAAGGGGTTGCTGTTTACAAAATGACTGACTAACGGTCTATTCCACATGCATCTATCATTATTATCATTCCTGGGGCCTTTCGTTTTCGTCAATGCGGGCGTGAAAGCTGCGTCTATGCCAAGCAAGGTCTACGGAGTCAACTTGGGTTCCTGGTACGTTGCCTAGTACCTATGGTCGCTCCAACCTGCATTGAGCTCCACACGTAGGTTGGTCCTTGAATCGTGGATGCTCCCACAAGGCTTGTCTGCGTGTCATCGAACGAGACGTCCATTCAATTAAGAATTTCTGTATATTCCAGAATGGCTCAACATGGGCGGACAATCTTGTTCTGATTGCTCGACATGCATTGCTGATGAATTGTCAGTCAATGACACTGACAGTGATACATTCACCTTTCTCATGATGAGTTCTCCTATAGCTCTTTTGCTGAGGCTTTTCCGGACACCGTTGATGCAATTTTCAAGACCCATTGGTATGTCTAATTGATGCATCGCATCGCCGGGGCTCAATGATATCTTCTTTACAGGGAGACTTGGTTTAATCAAACTGATGTGTCTACTCTGAAGAATCTCGGCATAAATACTGTTCGCATCCCGGTGAGCATCGCCAAATTTCACCTTACTTGGTAACATTGTGGACTTAATTGTCGAAATTAGCTTGGATACTGGATCGTGGAACAGCTGGTCAACCGACAAACAGAATTTTATCCTCGCGGAGGTTTGGAGCAGCTCGTATGTCTTTTGCACACCTCTGGAGTTTAGTATCTTAGCCTTAAAGACGCTCTAGATACGTGGCTTGGAACAACTACACGCGGCTGGAATTGTTGCGATCCTCGATCACCATGCTCTTCCCGGAGTGCAGACTCCAAACCAAATGTTCACTGGGCAGTACGTACATAATGTATATTTTGGATCTTACGACTGACTTCATTTGACCTAGCTGCACGAGCGACGTGGAGTTTTATGTAAGTTCGATCGTAATGCTGCATGATTCTAATTTCTCGTTGACCGTGGTGAACTTTGGAAGACATCCCCCAACTACCTACGCGCTTTGACGTGGGCCGGTGTCATGACCGCTCTTTCTCATCTTCACCCAGCTTTCGCACCAGTTTTCGCAATTGAGGCAGTTAACGAACCCATTATGGACGCAGCTCAAACACCGGGATATGGTGCATGTAAGTTCGTCTTGGTGTTTCTGGGTGTCACCGCGTCCCATAGAGCTATGTGTGTAGATCAAGAAAATTTTGTCACTGTTGTACGTGGAGTAGAGGCCGCTGTGGGAGTCAAGACGCAAGGCTTGGATAGCCCACAGACTACGGCAAATGCATCGCAGGCCATTCTTGATTTCGCTTCTGCACAGAGCAACATTCGTTTCAATTCCGACGTGAAGACCGCAATGGGAAATGCTGCAAGCATCCTTGAGCAGATCGCCTCCGATGATAACACGCAGTTCAATCTTAAAGGATCAGGACATGGGCAAACGCCCTTGGTCACCAAGTAAGTATGGCAGGTATAAGGAAGCAATTTCGAGCTCTAAGATCTATCACAGCTTCATGGATGTGAACTGGCAGAACGACAATCCTCCAAACCCTGCCGCCGCTGCATGGGGGCCGCAGGCCTACGATAATCATCTTTACTACGTGTGAGTAGTCTGCCCACGTCTGTATTCGAGTTTGCATTCGGTACTTACTGCAATGTCTGCATACTAGTTTTGGCGTAAGTCCTCATGTAATCCTCATAAATTTGTTCATGTTCAAGTGGATGACAGGGTGTCGCAGCCGCAGATCCTGAGGACTACATGGTGTCCATCTGTAGTAAGTCTCCCCGAACAAGGACAACTCGAACCTCTTATCTTCATCATTCCATAATTTTAGATTTGGGACGTGTCCAGGCTGATGCAGCGCTCGGAGACAGTCCTCTCTGGTTCGGAGGTGCGCTGACTTAACTTCCTGAGTGTGTTCAAAATAATCATCGTTTCCGTGCAGAATGGGGGCTTCCCACTCAGTTTGACGCTACGGACATGTTTCTTCAGGAATGGGCCGATGCCCAAAAGCTAGCATATAGTAAAGGCGCCGGTTGGATTGTGAGTTTCGCACTCAAACATGTCATGACTGATGCTGGAAATGGGTTTCTGTAGTTCTGGAACTTCAAAGTAGAGCATTCTGAGTTGGCAGGAAATCTCTCCAGGGAATGGTGACTTGATCTCTTGGTTAGACTAACAGCAACTTGTCTTACGATTTATAGGTCTTATATAGATGGTGTCGAGTTTGGTTATCTTACTAAAGATCCATCCACGGTTCATAACACAAGCGTCTGCGCTCCTTTTGTCACAAGCAGCTAGCTCAAATAGCATATCTCATTGTAAAGTACTACTTAGCTGGTATTTACATGTCACTCGAACGATTTATATTTGTAATGGAATTGAGACCAATTTTTATACATGAATCCATTCAAGTTGATGGCAAGGGTATCCTCCTGAAAAACCTAGAGGATGATAAGGAGTCACCCAAGACTGAAATGACGAGATAAGTTGAAAACTTGGAGTTGTACTAGTAGATGAGGAGATGGTGTCAAATTGCCTCAGATTGGTTCGAAGACACCTGCAGGACATTCTGAAGATCTGATAGAGTATCCCAGTTGATGGGCACGACTTCAAGCTCAGACAAGAATGGCCCCGAAAACATAGGACTATATTCGTCATGACTCCACTGAAGGAGCGGAACATCTTTCGTCGGCGCCGAAATCACCGAGAACTGCTGCGATGGATTGCCTTCGTAGCTTGAGGATCCACTCCTGTACTTCTCAGAGGAGGCGCTGGCAGTATCGCCATTGCATTCCACCGTTGATTCTAAACAGGAACTGGCGGGACGAGCAGCGCAAGCGGTGTACAAGACTTGATGGAGACCTTCGAGCATCTCAAGAGTTATCGCTGACGGGCCCGAGCCCGATCCCTCGTCCTTCGAGCTGGATTTCTCGGCGGCTGAAAATGAACTCGGAATCTGTTGATTTTCCGACAAAGGGGTCGGAAGCCATGGTTTGACCCGTTGTAGGAGATCGACCGAAACTGGAAGCGAGGAACCCTGGGCTATATCGAGACAAGGCTTTATTCCCCTTTCTTTTGCGAGCTTGTGTTCAGTGTTCGAACCCAAGCTGATGGGTATACTAGAAGGCAATGATGTATCGTGCGTCATACGGCGACTTTGCAGGGCTGAGAACATCTGTTTTCATAGGTTATATTTCGAGAAGAATACAAAGTGAGCTTCACATACCTGCTGTAACTTACGAGCTTCCTGAAGACGATCTTCTGCCGCCGGGCGATCTGCTCGGACCTGTATAGCATAGGATCGCAATCATGTCAGCGTGTTTGAAAGAGAAAGGGTTATGAAGGGTTTTACGTGCCGAGAAAGATGAATAATCAAGATTCCCCGCCAGTAGTCCTCCCTCGTTCCCAATTAGCTTGAATGCAATATCTTCAGTTTTCGGCAGCTGTTCAATGGCACGTTCTGTTTGCGGAGCTTGCTGAGAGCTTGCTCTTAATACTCCAGGATGACCCTGAGCGAGTAGACTGGGTTGAGATTCTCCAGATGCCAAGCTCAAGGGTTCAAATTGAACATTAATCTAGAGTGAGTGTCAAAGAATCAGCTTTGTATCAAGAGGGAATACTTGACTTATATGAACACACTCACGATACTGCCATCAATTACTGACCCTCTCATCTTTCGAAAAGCAGTTTGGGCAGCACCGCTATCATACTGAATAGCTCCTATCAGCGGGACACCGAGAGACCACAAAATCAAAAAGCTCACATAGGTTACAAAAACCACCCCCCTCCTGCTTATCAATTCATCAAACTGGTCTACCGGACCATGAACCTCAAATTGGTGTTTCACCATTTTCGGGTCGCTTTTATTCTTGGAGAACACACATTGATAGATATATCTCAAAGAATCACGAGGAAAGCTTACTGATAGATTGCGGATAATTAGAGTATTAGAAGGAGGATCCATTGACCTGAGGGCTTGATGTGATAGTTGGTGATGATTCCGAAAAGTGAGAAAATTCATTTATTGGCGAAAATCGTCCAGGACGTGAAAAAGACGTGGACACGTGCAACATTTGAAAGTAACGCACCTCGATGATGTCTGCTTCGTGACCGTCGTCCGTATGGAACTGTGCTGTAGGGAGCAGTTCTCTGAACAGGCAATCCGATCGAATGCTTATTACTGTACTCTTCGTCTAGGTCATCCTGATTAAAACCTTGTGAGTGGCTTGATTCTTCAAGTCGAAAACGTTTCGTTGGCGGTTCGAGAGTATTTGCACCAGTTTGGTAGCTGAAGGGTGTAGAAACACTGTGATTTCTCAACATACTGGTTCCCGGGCCTAAAGTTCATCAACAAGAGATTTTTGACGTCGAAAAGAATTTCATACGTTCTAAAAATGTGAACCACGATAGACCCCGACAGGAATCAACTTTCGAACATATGATTATGAGTGGTCAGGTTAGGATCTTTGAGCAAAAATAATCGGGTGGGAAAGAAGGCAATATGATTCATACCTGAATAAAGAATTCGAAGACTATGTACACTTTGAGTTTTGGGGGTCCTCTTCAGTCTAGTGACTATCACATAATTCTCGATATTACGCGACACCAGCTAGCCAGATGACTCTCAGAACTTGCTCAGAGCCATCTTCAATACACTCTAATCACTTCAGTGGAGGTGGATATGCCCTTGTACCCCCAGCCTTGATGTCGGAAAACAAAGATCATTGCAGACGGAAAGCACCGGACAGGCGCTCATCGAGGAGATTCAGCGCTTATGATATGACTAATATGAATAATCGGCGCCTTGCTTCCGCGTTCTCTCTTCCAATTCCGCCAGGATGGCGCCTGCTCGGGTTGTATACTACCAAGTGCTAGGGCTTTTAGTTCCAATGACTCCATGGCTCTTTACCATGGCTGCTGCGCACTCTCATGCGAACGAGTTGGACGAGGAAAATGCATCAAAAGCCGTGGATTCCATACTTTGGATACACATCTTTCTCCAAGCTTTAATCTGGGGTGTACTATTTCCTGCGGGGATGGTCTTCGGAATTGCTAGAAGTAGATGGCATGTTCCCTTACAGGTTTGTACCAATCGGCTTTACACAGGAATTAGGTAGTACATTGATTATTTGTACAGAGTACCGGAATCGCGTTGACTTTAGGTGGATATATTCTTGGACATTCTCATAAAGGGCGCGCCTTTCTCGCTAGCGTCCACGGCATAACGGCCAACCTTCTTCTCATTCCGATCTTTACTCAGCTCTTCCTCGGAATTTATCTCAAGCTACACATCAATGAAAAGACGCTTCGTCCTTGGGCTGTACGTCTACACGGCACAGTCGGAAAATGTTATCCTATCCTTGGGTGGACACAAATGCTGTTCGGGGCTATCACTTTCCGTGGTTATTGTCGTGGAGGACATCTCGGACAGTGTCTCGCTCATTATATCATGGGTAGTGGATTCATCGCATACGGGATGATCATGGCTATATTGCTTCTGGTCGGCGAGGCGTGGGTTCGTCGAAGTGGGAGGAGTCCTGAGTGGTGGGACTCTTGGTATGTAGGCCATGTTCCGGTCTACCTTCCTGTTGCTCATAACTATTAATTGTAGGGTTATAATGCTTTGGGTGGGTGCGATATGAATTGGTGTCATCAGCACTCATCAAATTTGCTTCTATACAGGGCATTGGTATGTCCTGATCAACTTTCGCGTGCTTGTTTCATCCAAGCTCAGGTTTTCTGCAGTCAATACGTTCACAGAGCACCGTGGCTCTAGTTGGTCGGTTAAAGATATGCAACACACGTCAGTGATACCTACATCGTTTTTCTTGTTTCTCATTGATTGAAACACGTTCCCAGTATTCTTGGTGTCCTTTGTACGTTCTCGACTTACGTAGATCTATGACGATGAAACTCAAATGCATCGTTTCAGGGTGGACAGGAGGGGCTCTAGGCATTTTTCTGGCAAGGAACAACCAGGTTTGTCTGTGCCTCAACTATCCTCTCATGTCGCTCTATGATCTCACTTCCACCTCAACACTGCTACAATAATTTGTCGTTTCCAGCGAACGGTGATACCCTCAATAATGTGTGTACACGTCTCACTTGATTTCAACTTGATTTAGAACCTGATTTGCCATATGTAGAATCATCCTCACAGGCTGGGCCATGTCAGAACACGCTCAGGCGCTGATGATCTCTACTCGTGTTCACGCCCTCTTCGGATACACACTTGGGCTGGCGGGTGTCACTCGTATCATCGAGATATGTTTCTTTGTCCCTACTTTTGCTAATTCCGGCGTTGGAGGTTCTGCCCTTGTGCCGGATGATAGTAATAGTGATCATACACTGGCGGATGCTTCACTCAGTCCACGAGAGCCGTACGCGCCGACGGCAGACAGTGTCATCATAGAGGCGAAAGAGGATAAAAGCGCAGCCGGAAAGGTCTTCCGCCACTTACCTCCTTTCGTGAGTTCTTTTGAAATTTTATTCTTCACACAGAAATACTCAATCTTCTATTCTTCGGTTCAGCTTCTTGTTTCAGCTGGGTACTTATCTATCTGTTAGATTATTCTTAGGCATGCTGTCTGATTGATTCATTTTTAGTATCCTTTTCATGTCAGCCACGGATGAAGAACTCGAATTTGTACATGAAAACGAGATGGATCATGTCACGTATATTCTCATCATGTTCTGGTATGTAGGCAGATCGTCCTCCCCCCTTGCTTTTACCCTTGAACATAATGACTGACGTCGACCTCTTCTCGAAATTGTAGTATCTCTTTCATCCTTTACCTAGTCACGGTTTCACTCATCAACCTATACGCGACCTCCGGACGTAACGCTTCGTCATTCCATTCGCGTACTCATCCTTCAGGTTACGATGATACTGTTGTCGGCGGAATTGAGCTGCGAACACCCTTATCTGCCAGTGCTGCGAATAAATGGTATGCTCGAGTGCCGTCGAGGTCAGGGGAACCTGTTCGGGAACAACAACATATTTTAGGTGAAGATGACGATGAGGAGAATTAGAGAGAATTGGGGTGATGGTAAGCTGTTCGATTGTCTCTGGTCGGATGTAATACATTTGGGAGTTGGTTTGTTTCAAATGCTATCATTGTTGTCGTACTACTATGTATGTACAAATCACTAGGCATTACACTAATGTTAATGGCTATGTATGTTGTAGTTAGAGATCTGTCTGAATGGTATGCTGTGTCTCAGTACTATGGTATTTATGGATATGCACTGTGCAAAGATATGCAACTCGTCAAAATTGCCTTTTTTCATAAGCATCCCTTGGCTCTAGCACTTTGAGGATTTTTTGAGATAATCATCAGATATTATACTTCAGATCTAGCCTATAATTTCATCCATTCATGGATTGAACATCAAGTACCAGAAGGAATACCTTCGAGACTGCATTGATGGCTCCCATCAATCATCCAGGAACAGAGGGTGAGCAAGATATAAGGCTGAAAAAATGCATGGAGGTCCAAGACAATATTCTGAAGGCCCTGAAACGGAACTTTGAAGGGCATATACCTAGTGGATGAAGCATGACAAGGAAAATAAGAAGAAAAAAGTGCAATCATACCCGGGCCAAGGCCGACCGGTTGCATATCCTTAATTTTGCTCGGACATTGCCCGACACCAGCAAAAAATTCACAGAAAATCCCAGAAATTCACAATAGTTGTGTTTAATTATAAGGAATCCATCTATCTAATTTTTTCTGTAACAACTGCAGTGGTTCAAGGTGGGCAAGAGATCCCGTCTTATTTTGCATATCCTAAAATACCATAGTACATGGTGTGGTTTTGAATCATGCATATGATATCTTGATAACAAGGAACAAACAAAGAACGACATTGGAGGCTCTCTTGATGCTTTGCGATATTGTGGTCAAAGCAACCCGACGACGGGGGTTGACGGCAAAATGTACATTATGCAATCATCTACATGTACACATAATCTTGGCATATAGAGACCGACCATTGGAAGTGGTAGATAAAGATACGTGATAAATAGTAGTCCAAATAGTATTAGGATTTTTTTACAGTCACGTAGATCATAGACTCATAGAATTGTCTATGCATATCCCCAATTTACACTGTGATCGCCTTCGAGAAGGTGTTCCAGCCTAGTGGGAAAAATACCAACACCGGAGATATCCTCTCGACAACCACGGTGATCATATGCATATATCTGAGAACCATGCGCTAAGTTTGTCGATGCATTGGGTAGTGTGTATGAGGCCGCGTCGTAAGGGGGTACAGGTTCGTGCATTGGGACTCGAAGAGGTCTCTGGTGACGAACGGAGGACATCACCGTTGGAGGATAATCGCCATAGGAATAATACGATGCATCGACTTCGTCTAGCCGAGACTGAGAAATTGGTATATACTGGGTGGGTCCGTGGGACTGATGAATCTGAGCTAGCTGCATGGCGTTAATCCAATAGTTGCTTGAATCAGCAGGATAGAATGGATCGGCAACTTGTGGATACCCATGATATGGGAAATGCTCGTCAAAACGCGGCTGCTCAGGGGATGGGTCCCTTTCCGGGCTACCTGCAGCGGGGGAAGTCCTACGCGAATTTGACCAGGACGACTTTGAATGAGAACGTGTGTGCTTTATTGAATGTGTGTAAAATGGGGTATGACGATCACTCCCCGTGTGTGAGGAAGAGGCTACGCAGATAACCATCAGCGCTCGACTTCGAAAATGTAAATGATATTATTTGAACGTACAGCTTGTATCGTCGCTAGACTGGGAGCGACGGGGAGGTCGAGAAGAATTCTGGACTCTAGTGAGACTGGTGTAACTGGGGATATCGTGATAAGCTAATCAGCGATTGCTTCGGAGTCGCAAAAACGGGAATGAAGTACAAACCGATTTTTTGCCGAAAGACCTGTTTTTCCAGGAAAATATGTTTTGACAATTTTTTTCCAGCACGTTCCGTGTTCGTTCACGGCATCAAGTAACGTACGATCCTATTGTGTAATAAGCAAGCGCGCACATTGAGTTCTGAACAAACCCCGATACTTACTTGTTCTGGTGTCCATCCTGAACGATCTATGGTGGGGTCTAATGTATCTGTCCAACGCTTCGCGCACTCTGTGTGCATTTAACAAATTAAGATAGAGATCGATCACTACTGTTTGGATCACTTACGGTCACTGTTCCTTGTGTGAACCATAGTAGCGACCAAGGACCATCTTTCAGGGGTACGGAGAGAAGGAGGGGTCTGAATCAGGAGACGAGAACTCTTCGACGCGACGGTTAGAGCTCACTTTGTCCCGTACTTTTCTACAGCACTCAGAAGCTTCGTATCCTCATCCGCGGACCAGACACCCCGAACGATGTCTGCAGCCATTCGAGCAAACCACCTTTTCCTGCAGTCTTTGTTCGTTCGACCAGGCACATGGGTGGAAATGGCGAACCATTTCGAGGGATTTGGGTTTCCGGGCTCCTCTATATGTAACAACGCACTGGTTTAGTGGATACCTCATAGGTAAGAAGGACGGACCCGTACCTTTTAGAACTGCAACACGAAGAAGGTCATCTTCTTCTGGTGACCATGGACGTCTTTCTCTAAGAGCCATGATAAATCGATAGGAGACTAAGGGATCGGGGAGGAAGGGGAGGAGCGTTTGGAATGATCTTCGAATGCAAGCTAAATGGGAAGTTTTCTTTCTTGCGGGCGCCGCACCGTTTCACCTTTATGACTGTTCTTTGAATAAGTCACAGTTACTAACTGTCAGTACTTTTTATGGATCCCTGTTCAAGATCTATTCACTTTGTAATGCTTTGGTGATTGCACTGCAACCACCCGAAAATGATTTTCGGGGTTCAAGATTGCAGGGTCTTTCTGATTGAGTAGTGATGGAGCATAGCGATGATATAATGCGGGTGAATTTGACTGGTCTGAAACAGTGATTGGAAAGGAAAGTAAAATAAACCGACACGGTCTCATTGATTGGAAAAAGCAATGATGAACACAAAGTACCAATCAATCCCTTCCATACTCAAGTGCCTACAGTAGGTAGTGCCTCCTCCAGAAGCATCGGGAAGGCGCAGGAACATTGAAGCATTTTCAATTTCCAAAAATGCCCAATACCGTTGCACGACCTTCGATCATTGAAGTACCTGGAAGAGCTGGAAGGGGCCTAGAAGGATCGGTGGTATGTGCTGGTATGTGTGGACTTCCGCACATCCGCTCGTCCAACACATGAGCGGCTATGAGCGGAAACTGCGGTTTCAGCGACTTGTTCTCTTGGGAGTTGCGGTGAAATAGTAGTTTAAAGGAGTGCTGAGCGCTGGCGCTGAGCATTAGTAGTGCTGAGCCTTGCCGCTCGCTCGCGATCGATATCGATTTTTGTTTTTGTTTTTTTTTTCGTTTTTTTCGCCGAGCAGTGGGGCTTGGAAGGAAACGTCATTACATAAGCGGCCCTTTAATTCCGAATTGATGATAGCAATACTCTTCTTGATTATTGATACGATCTTCCCCTTGCGTTGTCCTGTGTTGTCTTGCAAGAGCACATTGAACTTCAAGCTGGATTTGTGTTTGGTACAATAGCGCTCAAGCCTTTCTAGGCTCATGATGCTAGTCGTGAATGCGATGGGTTGGCTGAGGCTTGCCAGAGGTTAGCTAGCGCTAAGCGAACATCGAAATTCAATTTCAACGTCCCGAACAAAACGGCTGATGTCCAAAAAGAGTCGATGAGTAGGAAAGACAGCTTTGACATTTCTAATCTCATCTTTCAGGTCCGTAAGGTTCCGAATGATAAACCGACGCACAAAGAGAGATTCCCAGTCTTCCAGGTGCGTATGAGGCCCAGGTTTTGCCAGATGTGAAGCCGTACTATGGGAGTAATGATATCGAATCTCAGTGTGCAACTTCAAAATGGAATGTTGGCGCAGAAACCTTATCAATCGGTCTAGTATCAAAGATTGTTTCGGAAAGGTCAGGTTTACCTGTATTGTATCACGACAGGATACGCGCGTCTGTGTTAGGAAGCCATGAATCCTATGTAGGTGGACATTGGTGGACATCGACCATGTTCAATCTAGATTTGATGTCCTCAACGGAAGCCACATGAAGTCATGTCACCAATCTGCACCATCATTCGTGTGCAAGTCCTGCTCCCATCGGTGGAAAGAAAGCAAGTTTTTTCTTCATACGAAGGCTTGGTCGAATCATAACCGCCCTACTTATTGACTTTTAAACGTACTACAAGTCGGTGTTTATCCAAAACGCCTAGGCTTGTTGAACTTTGAATCAGGCCTAATCAGGCGTGACCATTTTCCCCTGCCATCGACACTTCAATTCACGACGGGAAGGTTTTTCCGTTGTGTAATTTCGGATCCTTTATGATGAGCAACCATAGTGCAAGTGACCTCGTCTCGGACGCGGCACGGATCACTGTTGCAGAAACCGCTGGGGAGTACAGGAAGAACCTCACTTTTGACAATACAAGGATTACACTGTTTTGCGCCGCACTAATACTGTCGGGAATCGTGTACTTCAGGTGTACGCTCTGTGGGTGTTAATGGCCTCTTTCGGTCCTACTATAGTGGACTATATATGAGCACTAGATGTCCTAAAACCCTCTAACTTTCACGCTCACGACATGTCTACAAATGTACTGATTGTGAGTTGATGATACGAGACCCGTCACTTTTTCTATACTTGACTTCTTCTACAGGTTGGGGGCTGGCCCAGGTGGTACATCAAGTCTCGCTACTAGCGCTGTCATACTGGAAGTAACATGTATGTTTCAGCCTCGCGTTAGCTCTTCTGCTACGCAGTGGCCCTTCTGTGCGAATTGTGGAGGAACAGGTTCAGTTTCACTCAGGCGAACGAGGAGCTGGGATCCAGGAACATGCTCATCTGTCTTCGTACTTCGGGCTCTGATCCCAATTTGTCACAGCCTTGAACTACGGAGCTTCACAAGTTTCTGGGGATTCTGCCAGATGTTGTCGAACGAAGTTTCGGTCTCCTGTAAATCTGAAATCTGAAACTGCACCCGATGAGGGCAAACCTCCGTATCTCGCTCCAATTTCTTAAAGCCTAGTAGATACACCGGATCACGACTCTTTCAGCCTCGATGTGGCTTTCTACCAATATTTTTGACTATATAGATCAATGCACGTATAGTAGGACAAAATCGCCACGAACAACTCCTCCGAGAAACTTGTGGACCACGGCACACAAGTAGAACTTGGTACAGGATTGTAATCTTTTGGAGCAAGATGCTGATCAGGTTGTCACTCGCATTGTGAAAATCCTCGATTCGAAACCACATCATCTGCAAAACCTGTATGTTCGCCAGAGCAAGGGTACTGGCTGGAGAGCGCTCTCCAGCATCGAAAGCACCAAAAGCAAGATTTTCAACTTGCTTTCAGTGCTTTGGCTGCTGGGAAGCGCTCTCAGCTGCTCTCGGATGGTTAGCCGAAAATACATGTTTTGCAGATGATCTGCAAAACCTGTATGTTCGCCAGAGCAAGGGTACTGACTGGAGAGTGCTCTTGGAGAATTAGCCGAAAGAACAGGTTTTGCAGATGCAGTTGAGGTGAATATAATTGTTGACTGGCTTGTCGGGGCTCGAAGCGTTGTTCGCAAGCAATTAGGATTGTCATTTCTGGGGCAATGTCATGGATTTTCATGTACTAGGAGATTATTCAATCAAACAAGATCATGTGTGTGTGTAAGTACCCAATTTCACTGCTGACTCTCAATATATGCATAGCCGGATGGCTGGTTGGTGTGGAGCAACTCCAATAACACAGTTTCGTACGTCCTTGTCCTCATATTATGATCCACCAGACCTCACCCTTTACTTGTCCGGAACAGTGTTACCATGCGGCCATGCCTTGTTCCAGGGAAAAATCCATTCGCGGGGATAAGAGAAACATGACATGGTCACAGCATGGTCAAGATATCTTCAAGCCGAGAAGAGATGATCAATGCCTTTCGTGGGATTACTGGAAGGACTATTGAATTTGGAGAGCTAATATGGATCGGTTTATGACAGTAAGGTGGTATCATTGTATGCACTACGTCAATACACGCTACAATTTGAAACCAGACCGAACATTTGGATGGTGCCGGTGAACGTTGAACAATTGGAAATGGAAGAGCATTTGTGGTGGGAGGTGGGTTATTGCGAGCGAAGCGAAGCAATACCTGGCCATAGGGTGAAAAATTTCGTTAATTCTATATTCGCAAATCCCACGAGGTCACAGCCACCGCCGTTTTTGGTAATGTCCTGTAAATCCCTCGTCATCGAATTCAGTCGCGAGTCGCGACTGACTATCTTCCATTACCCTTACTTGCTCAGTATAACATCCTTGTGTAATCATTATACACCCTTTTCTTGCAATGCTTCCACGGACTCGCAGTACCCGCCTTCGTGATGCCCAAACGCGTTTATCCGGAATAATACACCGCATAGAAAACAGTCGACTCGATGAACCTCCGAATAGCATTTGTAGTGATTGCCAACGTGTCGTTCCTCGTACTTGGTTCTTCTGGGATTCCGCTGGACAGATCTGCAAACTTTGTCGTTTCGCATCGGATGAAAAGGCTGCACACCGACGTGCTTTTATGGTTCTTGCTGAAGAATCAATTGCTCTACGAAGGACTACATCTGAGCGCCGTCGATGTACTCTTTGCCATGAATCACTTTCCACATTTTCGTTCAACAGCCCCAGCTCAGGAATCGAACACAACCTCTGCACAGTATGCCGACGCTCTTGTAGATGTTCAAGATGTCATAAGATCAAAAAGAAGAAACATTTCTCTGACCCTAACAAACGTCCCGACTTCCTTTACAAGACATGTGCTGGGTGTCGCGAAAAGGCTATGACTCACGTTGCAGAAAAACGTCATCAAGCTCAGCGCGCTGGTCAGAGGTGGTGTACTTTGGGATACCACCAGGTTACTATAGAGGACTGTACCGCTGCAAATGGGTCTCTCCGTGCATCATGCACTGCTTGTTTGGATAGAGTTGCAATGCGGTATCGACAGCGCAACGAAGCCTTACAAGTTCCCTCTTCTGCTGATCAAGCTGATGAAGATGATTTATTAGGGGATCACGATGGTGTCCAAACTGTGGATCTTGATCCCAATCCTCCCATACCGCCAGAACAAGACCCTCTTATCATGTCTGATATACCATTTCAGCCTAACGACCCTGCCTTACGACCTCCCGAAAAGGATCTTGTCAATAATTTCCGAGCTGCTCTTGCCAACATCAAACTCGAAACCTGTTCAACCTGTTTTGAATGTGCGTTCGATATATCATTGAAGGGTGGTCGTGAATGTGGCCGTTGTCGCGCTGATAAAGGTGATCCTGTTAAGAAATGGTCTGTTGAGAATAAAGTTCATCCTAGTACGTGAATTAGTCAACAGTTATGAATATATGCATAACCAACCTCATTTTTCAGGCCACGAAGTGCCTGCTTGCTTGAAGGGTTTGACTGAAATCGAGGAAATGCTTATTGCTCGAGTAAAGCCTATCATGCAAATCCGATACACTAAAGGCCGTCAACTCAGCTATCATGATCACATCGTCAATCTTCCCCAGAATATAACTGAGATAGCGACACGTCTACCTCGACTTCCTCGTGAACTTGATATGGTCATAATATGACGAGACGATGTCAATCTTGAAAATCACATAGACTACATGGTGCGACGCGAAAAGGTTCGCGATGCGTTGCTGTATAAGATTGCGCATGACCCTGGCTATGCTGATCTTGGTCGAATCGATGAAGCAGCTCTGCAGCAGCTACCAGTCAATGGATCTGTTGCAGCATTAATCCCAACATGCCGCGAAGGTGTACAGGGGGACGTGCAGGTGGCTGCACCAGCTGGTCCCGATCAGGCAGCAGCTTCTACTTTGAATGATGATATAGATGAGATGCAAATTGATACAGGTGTCCTGGATCTTGGCCCGGTGGACCAGACAGAGATACAAAATGTTCGACGCGACACAGAGCAAGCTTTGAATGGACACGTCAACTATGAGCAGCATATCGCAAGTCTTTAATGCTTACCACATACAATCTGGTTTCTAATCAGTAGTCTTTCAGATCCAAGCTCCTTTCGTAGATGACCGAAATCCAATACCTGAAAACACTCCACAATACATGGCGCTAGCATTTCCAACTCTGTTTCCTGATGGAGAGGGTGATTTCTATCGTGCTGCAGGTCGAGAAAAACATGTTGACCTTACAGATTACTTCCAACACCTGCTTCGTTTCAAGGATGGTCGATTTGGCCGCCACCGTCGGTTTCCTTGGTTTGCTTTCAATACTGTCCAACGACATCGATCCCGGAGTTCTGCTCGCGTCTTTGTGAAACAGAATCACGATGCTGCAGGGTTGACTGCTGCTGAGGTGAAGAGTTTACTTGCTGAAGGTGACCAGTCCATTGTCAGTAAGATGATGCGCTATGGTTCAAATTTGCGAGGCACTCGTGCTTACTGGTTTGCACGTCGTCGCGAGTTGATGGACATGATCCGCATGAAGGGGTCCCCTCATCTCTTCATCACACTCAGCGCTGCAGATTTGCAATGGCAAGACCTTCACGATCATATGCCTTCCGAGATTGATACTCCTGCTGCTGATGACGCATCTGCAAAAACACAGAAACGATTAGCTCTGACCAACAACCCTCACATTGCTGCTGCTTACCTCGATCAACGTGTACAGGCATTTTTCGAACACGTCGTGATTCCGCTCTTCCGTGTTAAAGACTTTTGGTACCGGTATGAATGGCAAGAGCGTGGTAGTGGCCACATACATGGTTTCCTGTGGGCTGAAAATGCACCTGACCCCGATTTGATTGACTGGAGCCTGCTCAAGAAACCTAACGCCATCATTTCCGACGAGCAGGACAACCGGATACTTCAGTTCACTGAGTACTGGGCGCAATCAATCAAAGCTGTTAATCCTTTTCCTCGACATGACGAAAACACTCCCCTCCTTGGACAACATCCATCTGCTCAACCGTCGGCACAGCTGCATGACACCAAAGAGGAGCTTGCCAAACTGCTTAATTGGGTTGAACGCCACAGGAAGTGTATGCCTGGCTATTGTCAAGTGAAACGGAAAGTTCCAGGACATAGTGAGCCTGTTACAGTCTGTCGTTTTGACTATCCGATGGCTCTACGTGACACAGCAAGTGTTGGATTAGATAGCAAATACAGACCACGGTTTGAACCCATGCGAAATGATCCAATTCTCAATACTTACAACCCTGCTCTGATAATGGCCTGGCGAGCCAACATCGATGTCAAACCAGTCCTCAGTAAGGATGCTGCATTAAAGTTAGTACACATTATACATTCCCAAATCAACGTCTCACCTTTGACCAAAAGTTATATTGCAAAATATGCTTCTAAATCAGAGCAACAGGCTCCCGAGTTTCCGCAACTTCTGGGATCGGTCCTCCGAAACATGGACGAAAATAGTACAACATCGTCTGTGTGCCAAAAGCTACTCAATAAAATGCTAGGCGAACGAAGCTATTCAGCCCAAGAAACTGCTCACCTTTTGCTTGGAATTCCACTTGTCCGAACCTCAGCAACCTTCTCCACAATATCTCTTAGCTCTGATGGTGCTATGCGGGAAGTCGGAACAGAAGATCCTGAAGCTGATTTGACTGATGATAGTCGGAAAGTAACAGGTGCATCGTGGTTTCAAAGGTTGGCATCATCCTCGATATGTATGTATCGCTGTGTTAAATCACTTGATGCACAAACAGATACATGGAACGTCCTGAATCTGCCGAAAGTTTGTCAATACAGGAAATGCTCATGAAATACAGTTGGCGAGCTGGAAGTTGGAGGAAACGAAGAAGGCCTCAAAGTGTTGTTGTTCGCGCGTACCCTCGATTGTCTCCCAATCCCGAAGAAGATACTTACGGAGATTACTGTCGGACTAAGATCCTTCTCCATCATCCATTCCGCTCCATCGACTCTCTCAAACTCCATGCTGATCACGAAAAAACCTGGGAAGAGTTGTTTGCACACTGCCGGGCTGCCAATCATTCCCATCCTCGAGACACACTTCGAGACTGGGTAGAGGAAAATCGTGAATGTCAGGAAGAGGAAGACATTGATGAGGACATACACAATCCTGATGTTGAGTTTATGGATGAGGTTGACTGGCAAATGTGGGCCAGAGACCACCCGACAACTGAAATCCCGCATTTCACACTGGAAGATCTTGGTCAACGACCCCTCGACGATGCATGGGACATAGAGGAATCTCGGAGACAGTGGCAACATCTTGATCGTATGGCGTCATGGATTGATGAGCAAAAACGCGAGGAGGATGCAGGTACCACGCAAAACGACTTACCCGAGCCACTTGACATCACCTCTTTGAATCCAGAGCAAAAGGTCATCTTTGACAGATACGTTAGAGCGTATGAGATAATTCTTGCCGGAGATACTACCCATCAACATCTTTTCAACATTGATGGTACGGCAGGGTGTGGAAAAACCTACCTCATCCGTGCCATTTGTCAGGAATTACGACGAATGGCTGCCAACTGTGGGCAAACTGATCCTATCCGTGTACTCGCTCCATCAGGTGTTGCCGCACTAAACATCCTCGGTCGTACTCTTCATTCCGCGCTTGGGCTTCCCATTAACAGTGACTTTGTGGATTTGAAAGGTAGTCGCCTTGCGCACTTTCAACAATCGTGGGCAGGAATTCACTTCATCATCATCGATGAGAAATCTATGCTTGGACTGCGGACATTGGCTCAGATTGATTCTCGGCTTAAGCAAATGAAGCCAAATAACTCACCTCTTGGAGCTTTCAATGTAGCGCTCGTTGGAGACTTTGCTCAACTTCCCCCAGTCGGTGACACCCCTCTATATTCATCTCCATCTAACATAAATACGGCAAACGGCCAATTGAGCCGAGATGGGAAGATCTGCTATAACCAGTTTAATCTGAGTTTCCGCCTTACAACTATCCTTCGGCAGGAGGGCAGCTCACCAGAACAAGTGGCATTCAAAAATGTTCTTCGTCATGCTTCAATGGGCGGTCTTAACATGGAAGATTGGTCCCTTCTACAAACTAGGGATCAGAATCAAGTTACGTCAGAGGAAAGACTGAGTTTTGCAGACAAACCTTGTTTGTATACAACCCGAGACGAAGTCCATGTACAAAATCTCAAAGAACTCGAGAAACTCAACATTCCATGTGCAAAGATCAGTGCAAAAAATGACGGAGGATCTGAAGCTAACGCAGCTTCCGCAGATGTGGCTGGGGGTCTGGAAAATACTGTGATCCTTGCTCGAGGTGCGAAGGTCATGATCACTCGAAATATCTGGCAAACCAGAGGTCAGTTTAATTGTAGTTTGCTTCTACACACTATATTCAGTGATTTTAGGCCTTGTGAATGCCACGGTTGGAATAGTGGAGGATGTGATTTGGGAACCGGGCGCTGTACGATCTGAACTTCCCATTGCTGTCATGGTGTCTTGCGAGGCCTATACCGGAAACACGCTGTGGAAAACCCAACCACGTCCTGGCTTTCCTACTGGTGTCCCGATAATCCCTATCACTCCTCTCAAAACATCTTTTGACAGCCAATCAAAATCATTGTCCCGCACTCAACTGCCACTACGTTTAGCATGGGCTGTTACAGTGCATAAATCCCAAGGACTTACCATGCCACAAATTCGTCTTGGTCTAGGAAAGCGAGAGTTTTCAACTGGCCTTACATTTGTTGCTTTGTCTCGAGTTAAAAGTCTTGCTGGGATTCTCTTCGTGGATACTCTTGACTACAGCCGTGTCAAGAAACTAGGTGGGAAACATCTCGGACAGAGGTTAGAAGATATAGAGCGAAGATACATGAATAACACACCATAGTGGATGTAGTTTTTCACTTCTTCTACTGTTAAACAGCGGATGAGACGAATGCAGGTAAAAACTTAGTATGAACCAGGTCTGAATCGAACAAATTGTAAAAATCACGTGCAAACAAAATATACGTACCCGGTACCGTATCCTACCGTGTCGTCAAAATGGTGTCCAGTGGATGTACTCAGAATTCTGATGGTTGTTTTACGGAGGTGCGCCAGCACCGACCTCCCTCGAAACTAGAATTTCGAAGCGAGCACCACATGTGAGACGTACTTGGAACGGAGGGGGCCGAAGGCCCCCTCCGAGCCGGACGAAGGAGGCTCACATGCGAATGCATGTTATAACATGGATAGCTAACAAAATACCTAATCCATTCGCCTGATTCAGTCATTGCGTTGTTCATGAGGTATGTAGAGCGCGCGCTTATTGTGAGAAAAGTACCAATTTTTGAATTTGCGTACATCTCCGAGATGTGTACAAGTGGCAGAGAAACCTCGACGTCGACAACCAAGGTGATTCCAGGTTAATTCATGGAACCCTCTTTCTACGTACATAGTTTAACTCCACATGGACGCTAGCGCTGGTTCAAAAAGGACTTGCACCTCAATCTCCTCGATTCTTACTCACATAAAACGTCTACTCGTAATCGCTTCGATGCTCAACAAAACCACCGAACTTCTGAAAGAGTTCTCCGTCAAGAAGAGGCAGGACATATTTCGAGAAAACAAACTTCTTCAGCTCGGTATCAACTACCGTGGCGCTTCTCTCGTATCGGACGAACAGTATACCGACAAGGACGAAATATTCAAGTAAGTGGCCGGAGATCGAGCCCCTAGATGCCCTTTCCTAGCTCAGCAATGTGAAAGCCACACTGCGAGCACCGTCAGTCGGTTTGATTTGTTCAGACTTATTCGACGCAGAGGGACGCAGAGGGACATGCTTATTCGGGCTATGATATCGCTTATGACTAGGACTAGTGACACCCCGACGATATTCATCGTTCGCCCAGACGGATATATCGGTGCTCTAGTTAGTAGTGGCGGATTGGGTATTCGTAGCTACTTTACGGATATCATCTTGTGATTCTAGATCGGCAAGACCTTCGAAACATTCGCTATATGTCGGCATAGTCCTGCCCTCATCAAGGATGGATTTCTCCACTCATGGCCAGTAACGATAATCAATAGGAGGGTGACAATCCTAGTATTACACAATATTCTGCCGGTAACCGGTTCAGATTCATTTATAGAGCTACAAAAGATGGCAACATGTTGTCTTTCATAGCATGTCTGTTAACGTCTTAATCGTATGTTCAGCTTTTTTAATTTCTTTTCGCCCTAATTTCTTGTTCAGGTCGGCGCTGGCCCATCTGGTTCGCCATGGACTCATCGCTGTTTAACACGAACCTGATGAGTTTCATTAATCTAAATTCTTAGGCCTCAGCTTAGCTCTTTTGCTTCTACGTAATGGCCTTTCTGTCCGAATTGTGGAGAAACAGCTTCAGTTCCATCCTGGAGAACGAGGAGCCGGGATACAAGTGCATCATACGCACTTTCCTTATTTGCATACAATCTCTCCTCCTAATTTTTTTCTTGATTTAGCCGCGAACTTTGGAACTATACAAACTTTTAGGCATTTTGCCAGACATCATTGATAGAAGCTCTCCTCCACCTACAAACTTGAGAAGTTTTGCTATGCCAGACGATGGCAAACCTCCGAATCTCACTCCTATAGCGCAATCTCTAGTCAATACTCCGGATCGCCCTCTGGTGAGTACTCTCGAGTTGATATAAACGCCAAGTTCGACACCCATCTAACTTGACTATAGATTAACGCACGTATGCTAGGTCAAAATCGTCAGGAGCAACTTCTTCGAGAACATATTTTTGCGGATTATGGCATTCAAGTTGAATTAGGCACAGAACTCTGTACATGTTGTAAACATCGTCGACTCCAAGATAGTCGAGGAGAGTTTTACTGTTGATTGGCTAGTCGGAGCCGATGGAGCTCGGGGCGTTGTTCGCAAGCAGTTAGGATTAACGTTCCTAGGAGAAAGTCCTGAGATGGACGCCGTTACGGGCGATATCTATGTCCTAGGAGATCCTCTGGACCATGTTCGTATGGGCATTTTCATTCGACTGACCGGGGTGACCTTAAATATGTTACTGAATTTTTGACAGCTTGACTTTTCGATCTGGAGACAGTCAGATCAGGCAGAGCCAGTCATGTATGTCCTCGCTTCTTGAATCTACTGAGTTTACTATGGTTCGATACAGTGTTTCCATGCGGCCATGCGCGGTACAAGGGAAAAACCTGTATCAATTCCTGATTGGTGGAGGAAAACGAAAATTAGACATTGACAAGATATCCTCCGGCCGCAAAGAAATGGTAAAGGCCTTCCATGAGCTCACCGGGAGGCGGGACATCGAATTTGGAGAGTTAGTATGGATGGGGTTGTGGCGGTGGGTGATATGATAATATGCCTTCGTCATGGTATTGATACTCGGGACTAGACCCAACATTCGGATGGTGGACAGATTTGGGGAAGGCAGAGTATTCTTGGTGGGAGGTAGGTTCTAATCGGTCAATCAACCAAAGAAATATTCAGTATGTCGTCGTTTCGATAGACGCAGCCCATGTCCACAGTCCCACTGGCGGACAGGTAAGCGCTTTTGCCCCTCCCGATACTGGCTTTCAAACCGCTAGCTTGAACTCAGGGTATGAACTCAAGTGTGCAAGATTCTGTGAGTCATTCCAAGTTCATTTTGCATTCATTTTTTGAACCACAAAATCATCTTTCTCCCCACACAGTTCAATCTTGCGTGGAAGCTTGCGCTGGCGCAAAAAAAGCTCGCCCCTCAGTCTCTCCTCAATTCTTACTCGCAAGAACGCCTACCTGTGATAGCGGCAATGCTCAACAAAACTACTGAACTTTTCCAGAAAGAATTTGTTGGTAAAGTAGGTCAGAAACAGGAATTTGTGCGAGGATATGAACTTCGTCAGCTCGGTATCAACTACCGTGGCGCTCCTCTCGTGTCGGATGAAAAGTATACCGACAAAGACGAAGTGAATGACCCGTACCGTTCAGGAGATGATGGCACTGTCCGAGCCGGAGATCGAGCCCCAGATGCCCCTTGTCTAGCACAGCTGGGTGTTAATGAGACTTCTAGCACCGTCAGTCTCTTTGACTTGCTCAACACGACGCAGCATAGTGCATTGGTTTTCCCTGGTTCTACAGGACGGGACTTCGCTGATGAAGTTTCAGGAACCCTTCGTGAATATCCTTCGAATCTCCTGAAGAGTATTTTCATTCTGCCGCGTACTTCTTCTGCTTCTTCCTTCACTTTATCCGACATGACTTTGGTCGACACAGAGGGACATGCTTATTCGGGGTACGATGTCGCTCATGACACCCCGACGGTATTTATCGTTCGCCCAGACGGATACATTGGTGCTTTAGTCACTAGTGGAAGGCTGGGAATTCGCAATTATTTCTCGAATATTTTTCTGTGATTGCATTCTGTAAAATTATTTATATGCTTGACTCGTCGATTACATACTTAATAATTGTAAGGTGCTGGAATACAGATGGATATGGTATTAGCGAGAATAAGCAGGTAGGTCATCTCCATCTCCGCTAGTACTGCTATCATCGATGGCGTGCAGGCTCCCAATAAGTCTTTCAACTCTCCACTGCCAAGTATTCCCTGGCATCCAGCGGAAGGGCTCGCCTCCGAAATTCACGTCGAATCGTGTCTTTCCAGAAACTCCAATCGCAGCGAAGACATCTCGCTCACGGCGAGGAAGGTGGGCCCCATCAAAAGCATTCGGGAGACGCAAACCGTTGTATGTGAAAAAAATCGAGCCGGTTTGAAATATGTACCCGCATCCAATGGTGGATCCAAGTGGAATATACTGTTCGCTGCGATTTTTGGGGTTCCAGGGAAGAGACAGCTTTCCCCCATCATCTGTGAAGTCGCGACCACCATCAGAGTCTTCGAAAAACTTGCGCAGATCATCTAGGTGCCATCCAGTCGATTGACGATTCCAGCCTGGAAGACGAAAGGTGGGGTATGGTCGGCAGGAAGTCCCTGCAAGAGACATGAAAATGTGTCCGTTGCTTGTAAGGATAGATTGACACACCAATCGCTAGGAAGCTCCGTGGGGGGTTCATCTCATGGATTATCACCTCATAATACACGCCTTCTCGTCCAGACGTGTCATACAGGCCTGCAACAATAGGCAGATTGCTTAACAAGCAATAGTCTTTACAGTGCTTCTCTGTTGTGACATGGACCACGTTCTGCCCTTTACTGTCTGGCGGTATGTTATTCACTCTTCCAGAGAATCTATACTGATCCTGGGGTATCTCCAAGCCCCATACTTTAGCACCCTCTAGTTTGATTTTATCGACGAAGCGGGAGGGAACAAGAGAGGCTGGATACAGTGGGTGTTCCAGGCAGAACGATATGCCATCTTGATATTCCTGATCCGTTGCTTCGTTGTAATGACCGTGGGTGTACTATAAAGTTGAAAGCCGACTATAGTATTGAACAAGCTTCAAAGCAGTACATGTGACGCACAGAAGCTTCTGGTGCAGGAGCCCATTCAGGAGGCAGTGAGTCTGAGTCTGGACGGCTACCTCGAACGTCCTGCATGTGATCGTTCGTTGACATGTGCGATTTCAGATTCTTGAGGAAATTCATAGAGACATGTAGCCTTGAGAAGAAATAATGCAGTAATATTCGGAAGCTCAGCGCCCAGCTGCATCACGTACTATTCACCGGCGCTCAACTCGGACTGGCGCTTAATGTTCGTCTTCAATCTCACTCATGATTAACTGTCTGCGGGAACCAAATTATATTTATTATTTGCTCTACGGTCTTTTTTCACCGTCTTCTCTTCTTGCACACTGATTTAGATGCACACGATGGTGATGTTATGCGCTTGTGCCTGTCGCCTTACTCATAGCCCGCGATACTCGTCGGTCTTGAAAACTTGAAATGTACAGTATGTACATACAATATACAGCTTTCAATGCGGCGAATCATCGACCTAGTCAATGGGTTCCAAGGGTATTTTTGAGCAAGCGAATCAACACTGTTGGAACAGTTGGGAGTTTACAGGTGTGTTTAGTTTTGAGTCTGTATCATATACCTGTCACTCACATCTTCAGCCAGCTTCAGCTATTACTATCGTAGGTCGGGCGTAACTAATTCGCGGGCGCACGTAAGTGTGCTTGACTTGACTTTTTGTTCGCTGTTGCCAAGACATTACAGTTCCAGGGAAATTTCCATATATGTTGTATCTATCCATCTCTGGCATCTGTTGTAGATGAGTCGACATTCATTGAGTTGCAAAAAACTCAATATATGCTGAATTTATCTTCATGTATATAGACTTCGAGGATTGACTCACGCCTACCTTGGACGTAATTTTTCACCTCCAAAGTTATTATTCCCAGACCATGGTTGACTCAGAATATCCAGCCGGTCTCTATACAATATGAGCTGGAAACCTATAAAAACCCTTGTCTCACATCTGCTCTCTTCAGGATATCAGTTCCTTCTTTCTCCCCCTACTTTCCTTGTTCTCAAAATCTCCTAGCCCTTCATCCCACAATGTTTGCTCGTCTCCCTCTGTTTGCTCTGGTCACTGCTCTTGGTGCCTTCATCGGCAAGTATTTATTGCATGCTGCGTAGCCGCTGTTGCTCACAAATAATCTTCTAGGTGCCAACGTCCTTGCTCAGACTTCCTGCCAGACAACATACACGGTGGTTTCTGGCGACAACTGTGTGGCTCTTGCGGCAAAGTTCAATGTTACAGATGCTGCCTTGTTGGCTGCTAACCCAGTAAGACCCCAAAGTTCTTGATGGAGGATGTTAACTGACTCAATACACTCTTAGGCTGTGGATGCCAACTGCGACAACCTTTTCGTGGGTCAGCAGCTTTGCATCCCCTGCACAGCGGAATACACTGTCAAATCCGGTGATGTTTGCATCTCCATTGCGAACATGTTCAACATCACTGCCGCTCAATTGGAGGCTGCCAACACCGATATTGACCCCTTGTGCGACAATCTGCAACCTGGCGAGGTAAGCATTCTGAAGCGCTTCGGAACATAGATGTGCTAGTTGCTTCGAATTTCTAATCAATACTTACTGTGTAGATCCTGTGCATTCCTACAGCAAGTTCTTGAGTTTCAGGATCATATTTCGTTTGCTATCCTGAAATCTAAATACTCTTTGGTAGCTGTTGGTAGACTCAGGCGGTATTCAATGGGATGGATATTTTATCGATGCAAATCAATGCTTCTATTTGTTTTGAGTGATGAGAATGTCTCAACAGCTATACTCTGTAATCATGAGAAGGTTAGAACGCGTTGGAGCAGGTCGGAACGTCCATTGTATTTACGTAGATTCACGTGCTCGCGTATGATGAGCCTTCGACATCGGACGATCTGAACGATCTACCTTTGTTACCACTTGTATCTCTTGTGAGGATATGTCGAGCACCTTACATGTCTTTGTAGTCTCTCCGGATACGCGATCTGAGCGTCGCTTCGATCCTCATATCACAATCGGACAGCTGAAGGTATGTTCATGATCATGCTATCGACAAAAGCGCTTACACATCTCTGCGCAGTCTAAACTTGAGCTTTTTACAGGAATACCTGCCTTTAGCCAGTTAATATCAGTGTTAAACTCGGACGACGACCCAACGGTCGTTGTACAACTTTCGGACGACAGTAAAGCCCTTGGTTTCTATTCGCTGAGGGACTGGCAAGTGTTGAAAGTACGCTGTTAATTAAAGCGAACAGGCTGATCATTGCTCAAAGCTTGAACCAGGTAGATGATCTGAACCCATCTGCGAGCTTCACTGGACAGTTGACTGATGTATCCCAAGTGGAAAAGTTTGAACTGAGTGACGATGCTTATGCTGAACGGAAAGGTCAGTTGTCCTTGTTGTGTTCTCATTGAGACCAACAGCAATATTCGATTCATTCAATTCAGACAGTGTCCTTGCGTACAAACAACAGCATAAGGTTGGCAGATTTGCACCCAAAACCGATCAAGTAAGGGAAGCGTCCCCGGCAGTTGATATTGCTCTTGGTTCCAGATGTGAAGTGGAATCCTCCGAGCCAGGTTTGTCGAAAAGAGGCACAGTACGGTTTGTAGGAGAAACAAATTTCGCTTCCGGCGTATGGGTCGGTGTCGAGTACGACGAGCCGCTTGGCAGGAATAACGGATCGTACGTGCTCTGTCAGTCAAGGATGAGGCTCATTGTCTGACCATCTCCGTTCTTATAGCGTCCAAGGAAATGTTTACTTTACCTGTCGACCAAATTATGGAGTTTTCGTCAAACCGGACAAGGTCAAAATTGGGGATTTCCCCGAGCTAGATCTCGACCTGGATGAGATGTAACATGCCTCCTGTATTTCTTACACGATAGTACTTTTTATAAACACAACTACTTTACCTCGGTTATCTTGGAAAGTTCAAGAAGGTGCTTGAAGGCGTACTGACAAGTCAAACACGTGGCGCTGGCCTGATTAAGTCAGCTACTCCGCGACGCGCGTCGCTTTGTTAAAGGTTTTCCACTCTGACTGTATCTCCCCAAAACTCTTCTCATTTCCTGACTATATCACAATGGCGGATCCTAGTGGTGCAGCGCCTCAACCCGGTCCCAATGATATCTCTACTGCTATTTTGAGACCTAAGAAATCGTACGAATCACTGTCCTCTCTAAACCTGCATACTTACTAGTAGTTCTAAAGCCCCAATCGTCTCATCGTCGACGAGGCCACCGCCGATGATAACTCTGGTGAGGCTCATCTACCGCTTACTGCTTAGATCACCCAAGTGATATTTGTTTAGTGGCTAGTATGAACCCTGCAACAATGGAGCTCTTGCAGTTATTTCGTGGTGACACAATTATCATCCGGTACAAATATCTTTGGTTGGGTTCTCGGAAGTTTTACTTACTCTGTGCTTACAGTGGCAAGAAGAGGAGGGACACCGTGCTCATTTGTTTGAGCTCTGACGATGTGGAGGAGGGCAGAATCCAGATGAACAAGGTCGCCCGAAACAATTTACGAGTGAAGCTCGGCGACCTCGTCAATGTCCATGCTTGCAATGACATCAAATACGGCAAGCGCGTCCATATTCTGCCATTTGACGACTCGATTGAGGGATTGAGTGGAAACATATTTGACGTGTACTTGAAGCCATATTTCCTCGAAGGTCAGTCTGGAAGTTTTTTATTTCCCTTGATCTATGCTTATCTGTCAATCTTGGTAGCTTATCGTCCCGTCCGCAAAGGTGACACCTTCCTCGTGCGTGGAGGTATGCGCACTGTGGAGTTCAAGGTCATGGAAACAGACCCTGCCGAATTCTGTATAGTCGCACAAGATACTGTTATTCACACAGGTATGTTCTCGAGTATTTCTTATAACCGTCAAATTTCTGACTCCGTTTTATCAGAGGGTGATCCAGTGAAACGTGAGGACGAAGAATCAAACTTGAACGATGTTGGTTACGACGACATCGGTGGCTGCCGCAAACAGATGGCCCAAATTCGTGAACTTGTTGAGCTACCTCTTCGTCATCCTCAACTTTTCAAGTCCATCGGTATCAAGCCTCCGCGCGGTATACTGATGTTTGGACCTCCTGGAACAGGCAAAACCCTCATGGCACGCGCCGTGGCCAATGAAACTGGTGCCTTCTTCTTCCTCATCAACGGACCTGAGATCATGAGTAAGATGGCAGGAGAGAGCGAAAGTAATCTGAGGAAGGCTTTCGAGGAGGCAGAGAAGAACTCACCCGCTATCATCTTCATTGATGAAATCGACTCCATTGCACCTAAGCGTGAAAAGGTGAGTTTCACAGTCACCATGAACGTCGAACTATTGGTCAACTTTTTCGTTTCAGACCAACGGAGAAGTCGAACGTCGCGTTGTTTCGCAATTACTCACGCTCATGGACGGTCTTAAAGCACGTTCGAATGTTGTCGTCATGGCCGCGACCAACCGACCCAATTCTATCGACCCTGCTCTGCGTCGATTCGGTAGGTTTGATCGTGAAGTTGACATCGGCATTCCCGATCCCACCGGTCGTCTCGAAATTCTTCGTATCCACACGAAGAATATGAAGTTGGCTGATGATGTTGACCTCGAACAGGTATGCCGTTCCCCTTCCGTTAACCAATTCTCTCTCATCTCAAAAACTTATCAGATCGCTGCTGACACCCACGGTTACGTCGGTTCTGATGTAGCATCACTCTGTTCAGAGGCCGCCATGCAGCAAATCCGTGAAAAGATGGATCTCATCGATCTCGATGAGGACACCATTGATGCTGAGGTGCTCGATTCTCTTGGTGTGACCATGGAGAACTTCCGCTTCGCGTTAGGAACTTCCAACCCATCCGCACTGCGGGAAACCGTCGTAGAAGTGCCGACTACCACCTGGGACGATATCGGTGGCCTCGAAAAAGTCAAACAGGAGCTCCAGGAAACTGTCCAATACCCCGTCGACCATCCGGAGAAGTTCTTGAAGTACGGTATGTCGCCGTCAAAGGGTGTCTTGTTTTATGGTCCTCCTGGTACTGGTAAGACACTGTTGGCGAAAGCCATTGCCCACGAGTGTAACGCCAATTTCATCAGTATCAAGGTGACTGATATATACTATGTCCTATTCATTGACCATACTTAATCATTGTGTTACAGGGTCCTGAACTGCTCACAATGTGGTTCGGTGAGTCTGAGGCCAACGTTCGTGACGTTTTCGACAAGGCTCGCGCAGCGGCGCCTTGTGTCATGTTCTTTGATGAGCTCGACTCTATCGCCAAAGCTCGAGGTGGTTCTTCTGGTGATGCTGGAGGTGCAGGTGACCGTGTTCTCAACCAAATTCTTACGGAGATGGATGGTATGAACGCGAAGAAAAACGTCTTCATCATCGGTGCCACAAACAGGCCAGATCAAATTGATTCTGCCCTCCTCCGACCTGGTCGTCTCGACCAACTTATCTACATACCTCTACCGGACGAGCCCTCACGTGTTTCTATCTTGAAAGCTACTTTGAAGAACTCCCCACTTGCGCCGGACGTAGATCTCAACTTTTTGGCAAAGAGCACGCACGGATTCTCTGGTGCTGATCTCACTGAAATTTGTCAGCGGTCGGCAAAACTTGCTATTCGTGAGTCTATCGATGCAGACATCAGACGAACACGGGAGAAGCAGGAGAAAGAGGGTGATGATGCGAAGATGGAGGAAGACGTTGAAGACGAGGACGACCCTGTTCCGGAAATTACCAGGTATGCCTTATCTGCCTGATGTATACCAATGTGTTAACCGAGAATTTTCAATCAGGGCCCACTTCGAGGAAGCGATGAGATATGCTCGTCGTTCGGTATCTGACCAAGACATTAGACGATATGAGATGTTCTCCCAGGTAAGCTAAAACATTGACATGCATCTAAGTTAATAATTTAATCTTTCTTTTCTTCGTTACGTAGAACCTGCAACAATCCCGCGGCTTTGGTAACAACTTCAAGTTCCCAGAGAGCGATGGCACCACCGCCACTGCTCCTGCTGGGACGGCGACGTCCAATACCGGTTTCACTGACGATGCCGGAGATGACGATCTGTATGCATGAATAATGAGCTAAAATTCGGACCGATGTCAAGACGTCATGAATGCCAAACGTTGCTGTACTGTTTTTTTTCCCTTTGCAAATAATATAGACATCGATATCAATGTAATAAGTGTTTTATGGGCTTGTGGAAGGAAACTGATATGTATTCTGAGAAAACGCCCCTGGAATTGCCGTACGTATAGATAGGCACCTGTGGTCTGTACTTTAAAAAAAGGCTTCAGAAGTCGCATCCTCTTCCGGTGCACCACACCATTAGAATTCTTCATCAGGAATCACGTGTCAGACGCGACTCTGACCTCATTGTACCGCCCATTTGATATTCTCTCCACATTTCATGCTCTGCCCACCATGGACGTTGGCAAGAACTTATCCAATGCTTCTCGCTCGCTTTCAAATTCATCATTGAAGGAAAAACTGTCGAGCTTGTCCGTAACACCATTGAAACCTATCACAATACACTCCAATATCGAGTCCGTCAAACTATAGAGCTTTCCTGTTCGTTCTGTCTATCCTGAAACGATATCTCTACAGATTTGCTCCAGCACGGATACCTAGGAAACGGAGGATGCAGATGTTAGCCGTGGCAGCTTGGTCGGTAGCGATAGCCCTCACGACAGTGTTGTTTCTTCTCTTATGGTATGTATCATGTTCTCAAAACTTGTCGAGTGAGTATAACGTTCATCTAGCTCAGTGCCGTCGCTCTGGCCTTTTTTAGCCATGTATCAGATATGGATATGGATAGACCAAAGTCCCGAACATGGTGGAAGAACAAGTCGGTGGTTTCGGGAACTCGCGTTCTGGAAATATTTTGCCGATTATTATCCAGCTTCGTGAGTGCGTGAATAATTTGCACGTACTACTTGTGCTTACACAACATTCAGCCTCTTGAAGGTTCGTTGCACCAGGAATAAGGGCATAAGTAGAGATTCAATCGCGTTTTAGGAAGCGGACCTTCCTCCTGATAGACCATATGTTTTTGGTTATCATCCTCATGGTGCGTATTCTAGGCTCGTCTCTATTAGACGGTGTTCATGATTGCCACCTTATAATTTCTGCAGGCATTATTGGAATGTAACTGCTTCAGTCACTTCATCCGTTTCGCGTGCGTTGAAGGACATCTTACAGGGGAGCGTTAGCAACATTTGCAACCGAAGGTGCTTACATTATACATACATGTGTATTTTATCTGCTTAATGTAAATTCCCATTCAGCTACTGGTTTTTCGGCAGCATTTCCTGGAATCAAACCACATCTCTTAACTCTTGCCAGCAATTTTCGTATGCCTTTTTATCGGGATCTGATCCTTGCTATGGGAGTATGCAGCGTTAGCAAGCAATCTTGTTCAAACATACTCAAGTCCGGTCCTGGATCTGCCATAACAATCGTTGTTGGAGGTGCTGCTGAGAGTTTGAGCGCCCACCCTGGAACTGCAGATTTGACGCTGCGAAAAAGGTTACACTCGTCTCGTGCTTCCCTGTCTGCCCGTTCTTATTTCATGAGATGCTCAGGCTAGGATTCATCAAAGTTGCAATTCAACATGGGTGAGTTTGGCGGATGGTTGGAGTGCTATCGGTCTTCAATCTGTTCTTGCAGAGCTGATCTAGTCCCGGTGTTCTCATTTGGAGAAAACGATGTGAGTTGCTCTTCTGGCGTATGATGTTGAAGAAAATCGAGTTCTGCCATTATTAGATCTATGAACAAATGCCGAATCAACCTGGTACTACGATATATACATTACAGAAGAAATTCCAGTCTGTCTTTGGATTCACCCTCCCTTTATTTCATGGTCGAGGATTGTTAAATTGTGTGTTCCGGCACGTCTTGGTCTAACTCGCCATACTGATACTGAGGGTCTGCCATTACAGACAATATTGGCCTATTGCCATACCGAAGACAAATTGTCGTTGTCGGTGAGTGAACTAATGCATCATTCAGGTTTGGTAACTTCTGACCACCATGCAGTCGGCAAACCAATACACGTCGAGCAATGTGGTAAGCCAGATATACAAGAGGTTATGCGGATTCAAAAAATGTACATAGAAGAATTAACTCGGTATGCATGCCATGTCGCTGTGTGGTATGTTCCAGGTTTATCGAATGCTAACGTGTGTCTTAGTATTTGGAATTGTTACAAAGACCAGTTCGCGAAGGCGAGGACGAGGGAATTGAGTATCATTGAGTGAGGCAAATTATAGGGGCTACCTTGTCGAGAGTACATACATCATTGCCAATCGGACTTGAGATTTCTCAAGGATGCGACGTCCTTATAAACCCGGGCTTCCATGAGCCAGTAAATCTATGAGATTGAACAAGTAACAAATGCATGTGAATGTATGTACATGCCCAAAAATACATATGGTATGGATATGATTAGGAGAACGAAAGCATGAAAGCGTCCATAACTTTGATTAGAAAGATTCTAGAGGATACTATCGATACAGCGAACCGGGTGGTGCATGCCAAAAATGGTACTTGTTTAACCAAGGTTGGATTGCCTATAACCCTTGAAGTAGATGTTGGTCTAGGCAGCAAATGGTAATTGAAATTTAATAGTACTAGTCGGGGAAGAAACTGAATCCATGCAGACTGAACATTGAGGACCACGACAGATGCACCTGTAAGAAAGTCATTATCTGTTACGAGGTGCATAGTTGTAAATCGACGTACGAATCACAGGTATAATGTCCGCATGGAGCGAGGGTAACTTCGCGAGAGGATTTGTGACAAACGGAGCACATCTGGGTTCCAGCAGGAGGACTAGACAAGACCATTGTCCCTTCGTCGTCGAACCTGCGTTGCTTTTCGAAATCACTCATTCGTTTGGCAGGCCATCCGACGTAGATCGAATCAGCTTCAGCGACTTCGCCAGAGGTAAGCAAAGTGTGTTCGCAGAGCATGCTGTTGTCTTCCATAGACGCCCCGGAAAGCAATCGAGAGCCAGTACGCATGGCACATCTATAGATACACATTGGTCAAGCAGAATGCAAACTCATCAAAAGTTACTCACCCATTACCAATCTTAAGCGGGTTCAAAGCAAAGTTACCTCGGGAGTTGATGTGCGCGACGACAGAACAGTTATCCAATGAAACGTCGTCCCCAATCTGGAATTGTAATTCAGTCAATTTTTATTGGTAAATGTTGTTATACTCACTTCAAGCAAATCTGGCTCTGTCATGAGCCCTTGCTTTCCACCTGGGTATAGACAACAGTTGCTGCCAATGCTGGCACCCATGGCTCTGAAGAACCAAACAATGTAGATCGAACCGGTTATAGGAGCTAGAACACCTCCAATACCGTAACCTTTGTATAGAGGGCGCGATAGGACAAGATGTAATTGCCATCGTTGACAGTAATCGCTCTCGTCCCAAGCGCAAGGACCAGGTTTCCTTCGGCCAATGACAATCCACTTCGTCAAGAGGACCCACAGCACACACAAGAGGGCCTGAATGTTGAGCACAACGATGAAAGAGGCGGATATGAGACCGTACAGAATCCCGAAGCGGTACCAATGGTCTTGGAAAAGACGGAAGTGAGGCAGATAGATATAACATTGGTGAAGGAGTTGGGCTGCAACGACGGCACTTATAGACCAATAGGCAGCAGAGCAAGCAGTCACTATGAGGTTGATAGAAAGGATAACGAAGTAAGGCCACACAAAGTAGTTGGCCTGACGCCTGTAGAAAGCCCGGCCGAAAGGAGTAATTGTATCGCCACCTGAGGAAGATGGAGAGCCCTTGTTGAAACAAATAGCCTGACCACGGTCTGTGTAGAGGTCACATTAATTGAAATTCTCATTGATTGCTTTTATGTTGCCTTACCGTTACCCATCCAGGTGGAGCCATCTTCGTACGTAGCGTTTCTCTTCGACAAAGCACCGGAACCCATTACCGCGCGCGAGCCTACGGTAGTGCCCGGTAGAAGAACCACTCGGTCTGCGATCATTGCTGATTTGGAATTTGGTTAGTTCTGGTAGACAGGTGGATTGACATATGCTAACCCCCATTTCCAATGCGAATTTTCTCGGAGCCAAGTCTGTCAGTGGTATAAATTTCCGATCTGGAACCAAACACGACCTGAATAGGAATATGAGAGTGTGTAGAACGTTTAGCCCAACTATGCTCACATCGTCTCCAATTTCAAGCAGTTCGGGGTCTAAGCAGTAGATTCCTGAGCCAGGCCAATACACTCGGCGACCGATTTTAGCACCCATCATCCGGTATACGAACTAGCAGACAACGTCAGTTGAATGTCAGATGAGAAGAAGAGGGAACTTACAGAGACGCCTTCGTAGTGCGTTCCAATGAGAGAAAATGCCTCTTTCAATTTACCTTGAGAGAGTAATATTGAATTGATGTATCTCCTAAGTAGGACGAGCTGGGTTGCGTCGCTCGCCCGATGCTCGCTGTTGAGCCCCAAAGTGCGCTTGACCATAATTCCGAAAACTACCTGCAGCAGGGGAGTGCAGATTGCTCTAACCATCCTTGAGACAGCATGCCAGAGAACTCGCTCGGGATTCGAGAACCAGTAGACAACGGAGACAAGGGCATTGTTCGTACCGGGTTCGACGATAGCGGTCTTCGACACCATCAACCATAGTATGATAAACCAAGGGATATAGGACACAAAAGTGACAGCAATGATGATCGGCCAGGCGACAAAGAATTTGAGCGGCCAATTGGGTTCCATGAACAACGTCCGGTTGTAGGCAGCATAGGATGGCGGTGAAGGAGACTCATGAGAGGATGCGTGAGGTCCATAGACAGAGCCTTCAGGTATTATAGCACCGGGCGAGATTTGAGTGTAGCTATTCACAACCGCTCTTCGGCCAATAGTAATGGGCGCCAGACGAAAGTAGCCTTCACGCTCCACGCAGAACCCGCGAACGAGTGAAGAATCGATCCTGCAACCATCTTCCAGAGTCAGAAGATCGAATTCGCCAAGATGGGCATGCTTGCTAATCGAAACATCTTTGCCAATGTGCGCGCCTAGCAAGCGATAGTAGAGTTTGTTTAATTCCGGGTGCATGGCGAATATACCGCGCCCAGCCGAAACGAGGCTCTGGTTCACCAGCCACCATCTTAGATAGTAGAGTGACCACATCCGATGGTTGCCAGGCTTGTATTTCCCAATCACGACCCATTTGCATATTATAGCCGCGACTGGAGCACACACTCGCACACAAAGTCGAGCGATCACAATAGCACAAATGAGGGCAAGCATGCGTTGGAAGTAGTCCTGGTTGATAGCAGGAGCCAGGTATGAAAGAATGAATAAAAGAATGGACCAAGTAACGGCAGTCTTCAGAGGATAGAAGAGAGCCATGGGTATAGCCTGGACGATCAAGTTGAGTGGATGATTTTGCCCTCGTTCCTTTTGCCCTTCTGAATTAGGGCTACGATTGCCGTTGGACCCCAATGTCAATTCGGAGTTGTTTCTCGTACTTGGATATGGTTGCATCCTTTCATCTACCAATGATTCCAAAGATAGCTTCCGCTGCTCGACCTCGACAAGAGATGCTATTCCATTAATAGAGCTATTGGTAAAGATGGCTGCGACAGCGATGCTAGCATTGGTTCTCTTCCGAATGAGATAAGATAGCTTTCCGAGAAGAAGAGAGTTGCCACCTAAGAGGAAGAAATCAGATTCCCCGGAGACCATCCCCGGCTCGATATCCAGAAGTTCAGCCACGATATCGCGCACAACAGCAGCGCTCGCGGACATGGACGCAGTATTCTGTTGGATGATGTCCGCTTCCATAGATGCAAAATCGAAGTCACCCGCAATTAAGGGTAGAGGACGAGCTAGGACGTGAATGTCTGGAATGGCGTATCCAGGCAGAAAATTTGCAAGGCTGGATTTGATAACGGTCGAATCAAGATTCTCTTGGGGACCCACAGAAACGAAAGCTTCCGGGGTGCCGTCTTGACGAGAACGGACAGCGACATTCTTAACTCCCTTGATATCAGCAAGAAGTCGATTAATTTCACGAAGATCAATTTGAACAACAGTGCAATGGATGGGGTCAGACAAGGAGGCACTGGGAGGAGGAACAACAGCCTCGAAATGGCGATCCAATGCTGGAACGCTATCCGACATGCTCCCTAGGTTGAGGCGTTGAGCTAGCTTGATGCGCAAGGGCTTCCCAGCGCTAAACAACATATCATTAAAATTAGTACAAATTCTGTAGATTATTCAACTTGCCTATTTTTCGGGAGATCTTGCATGTACACTATGGCGAATGGCCATTTGGAGGGATGCAAATGCTCCTTCAACAAGTCGAGCAGTTGGGCCAAGCCAATGACGGGTCGGCCTGGAACAGGTACGATCACTACACCGATTGCTTCTTGTAAAACTGAGTGATCAATTGCAAACGCTAAAGTGGTCTGTGCCGATTCGGTCAGAATCGAACCAGTTGAAATATGTGCGAATGGAGTTACCTTCACATGGTCTCTAGCTGCTGTGATAATGGCCTCTTCAACTTCAAACGGTGAGATAACCTCACCACCTTTGTTGATGATTTCCTTCGAACGACCAGTGATGAAGAGATAACCGTCTTCGTCCATGTATCCCATATCCCCAGAGTCAAACCATCCCTCACTAGAAAACGCAGATGTGTCCAGGGGAACGTTGATATCGGGTGAAACCTCATATCCGGCAAACGTAGGTAGCCCGCGAACTGAAACTGCGCCAGTTTTTCCCCGTGGTAGTTCATGTTCGATGTTAGACGGATCTCGGATAGAAAGGTATGGACCGCAAGCAATCCCAGAGCAGCCTGGGCGTTCCAATTGATACGTTGTAGGAGGAGACGCGATGGGCATACACCTGAGACACAAGTACGGTTAGTTACGGGAATGACTGAACAGAGAGGCGAACGTACTCCGTCATTCCGTAAGATGGCAATATAACAGCATTGCCAAACCGTTCCTTCATGTCAACCGCCAGCGACGGCAATAACCCTCCTGCAGCATTGCAAATCATTCTAATCTGCAGATCGCGCTGTGGGACGATGTTTTCAGGCTGGGATGTGAGGATAGCATGATGGATAGTGGGTGCAGCATAGTACCTTCAGATAATTCAGCAGAAGCGGGGATCAGTGCGGAACGCGACGCACCAAGTGGCCTTTAACTGAGCTGATAGATTCCAAAACGCGATAGCGTCAAATCCGGAGCACATAATGGCGCTGCCCCCGGAAAGGATTGGTGCTAAAAGATTACGGACAATGCCACCGACGTGGAAAAGAGGCATCATGTTCACTACAGGTTTGGGTGTCAGAATTACGAATGAAACATGTGTTGCCACATACTATTGACATCGGTCGACCTGAGATCCCAAGAGTGTACAACGGCCCATGTACCCACAATAAGAGAATGCAATGTGTAAGGGACGACTTTCTTCTTGCCACTAGTACCAGAGGTATGTAAGACCAAAGACTGGTCTGTGAGACGATGAGGTTGTGACGGCCTCCTTATTATAGTATTCTCTTGTCCCATGACAGACATATCAAAAAGCCCAGGCGGTCCCGAAGAACGCTCCTGAATGAATATGATATCGCAATTAAGCTCGTCACGCATAGCCTGAAGTTCAAGACGTTCTTCAGCGTCTCGTGTCGTGATGACCGCCTTCGCATTGAGTCTCAACGCGTCTTCTCGAAGCTCCGGCCCAGTACAGCTGGCATTCACCGGTGCGCAGGTATGATAGGTGGCTATAGAGAGGAGCGCGAGTGCGTTTGACGGACCGGTTGGTAGTACAACCATAACTCTGTCATTTGGACCAAGGGGACGTCCAGAGGTTGAGCATGGCATGGTAAAGTTTGTAATAAACGAATGTATGATATCATGGCACAAAGGTGGCCTCGATGGGTCAGAAGAGTAAAGAGCGGGTGTAGATGTAGAGGGGATGCAGTGCAAAAGGGATTTGACATCCGAGTCAGCGATACGCTCAGCAAGGAAGTCTCCAAGTGAGGTACCAATTGACGGCGTAAGCTGTGTGCGCAGAAAGTCCAGAGGGATAGACATTGCACGAATGGCTTGCTCGCCTTCGAAGAAAGAATGTAGGGGGGTTTTATTGTGGCTGCATCCCTTATTCAGTTAAAAACGAAGAAATGGTATGAATTGAGGATCTCGATTTCACAGGCGATGTCGTGAAGTGTTTGCGAGGTATCGTCTGGTATCGTAAGCGATTATCGCCTATACATAAATCACCGTTGGACCATTGGTTTGTTTAATTTGACGGCATGAACCGAGCTGATCTGCCAAACCTAATATGTTACCAGCAGAGGACTCAACTTTGAAAAATCCTTGTGGCCACTTCATGAGAAGCCACTTCACCTTGTGCAGTCTGGCGATGAAGGAAAAACGGTGAATGATTCGCCATAGGGACTTAACGTGCTCACTCAGGTGGAGGTGGAGTCAAATGAAGTTTACGCTTGGCTTTGACTTGGCCTTACTTGGCCCTTATTTATCAATTGAGCTGGTTGTGAGGTGAGGAATAAAAAGATTCCGATCAACATTATAAATCCCACGATTGTGTTGCTTACGAAGGGTTCTCAGTTCTAAAGGCTAAGTTCAGTAGAGTTCAGTCCGCCGGGTTCAGCCAAAGTTCAGCCTCGATATCTTTGTCCTATGTATCTCAGTTTGAGCACTTATCCTTTCTTTCTCTTCCCATCCCTATTCATTCTTCTCCCCTCTTCTTCCTCCTCCTTCGGTCGAGATTCTACCCTCGTCTTGGCATCAGTTAATCTCGGCTTGATAGTCCTCCATTTTTTTCGTTGATTAAAGGATATGTACTGGGTACTATCAAAGTGTACTACTTTGTCAGCTCTAGCCCGTTTCGGCGTGTATCGATGGAGAGTCACGAATTCCGTATCAAATCTGAAGATTGTGGAGGAGGCGCTGTGAAGAGAAATTCTTGAGCATCGCAGTACGAGGGTAACACGTTGCATGGATAAATTTGCATCTTGAAGTTTGCAGCGACTCTACCGTGGCTTAGCCTAAGCCACCTGAACTCATCTGTTGCCAAATCCAAATCGCAAAAGATTGCTTTGACTTGTGGGTACTAATCACGCTTATATCTGAGGTCGGCACTGGTCCGTCTTGAAGGATGCCAAGATTATGTGCTCTATTTTTATTACTCTATGTACATACGTCTGCATGCAAAACCTCGAGGTCGGTGAATACTTGTGATTACCTGTGATTACTCGACCTTGAAGTAGTCCGAATAATTTTAGACAGGAAAAATATTCCATCGAAGCAATAAGAAAGTAGCGGCTCCACGAGCGCATATTTCAGCCCCCCTAAGGCTCACTAAATGCTCTTGTACGAGACGGCGATAGACGGAGAGATGCAAAAATTGATATCCTTGCTCCGCTCCCTCCGCTCCCCCCAAGACAATTACATCGCAATCAGCAAGACTCGAAGCTTCTACTGCATACTAGCTTCCACCCCGAAACATCGGCACTGAAAGGAAGCTGGCTAAGGCAATGCTCACGGATCGGGAATTGCGTCTTGGCGAAGATAGAATTTAAGAAAGCGAGAGAATCGGTTATACGTTCAACGTCATCGAGCTCGGAAAAAACGCACCTATCAAGGTTAACGAAATATTCCTCAACTTGCATGTCCTTGTGTATCCTAGCTCCTATCGAAAATACTTTGAGTCCGGAGCCGTGGTAGTTCTTCCGACCGAGTATAGCGTTTGCTATGTCTCACATTCCGAAAGATACGGTTTGTATTACGATAAGAACTTGGGATTCGGGCTCGGGAACTCTTTTCTTTTATCGTTAACGGTACTATTTGCGAGATCAGCTAGGAAAAGAAATTGTATCAGTTCATGAAGCTTCTTTTCAGTCTTGGCCTCTAAGGAAGCGAGAACGTGTCCTCCTCACATCTGTCCGATTCTACGTGCATGTAGCCGCCAAGTGAGGATCACGACGACAAACTAATGCATCTTACAAAAGATAAGCAAGCAAGCCAATCACGGTCCCCACTACCGCTTACCGCGTAGGCCAATATACATCGTCTTGATTATTTTCCAAAGCCCCGGCACAACGGATGTGCATACTCTATTCTCTGAATGGTATCATGAATATCAGAATATGTACATGTGGAAATTAGGTGAAAGGAAGAGAGAATACACACCTGTGATATGGCAACATGGGATTCGGGATCGCCCACAAGGTGTGTGAAGAGTTGAACGGCCCAATCAGAATACGATTAGAGAGTTGGAGCTGCGGGTATCTACAACATGATTTTTTGTCCTTAGCAGCAATTTGAGTATTATACATCGACGTCGGGCGTTCTTGCGCCTTGAAAAGATAACAATTAATTGATTGATATCATGTTCAAGAGACCATCCTTCGTTTTAGGTGATTCAAGCTAGTTCGGTGGAGGAGTACCCAGTCCGAAGAGTGAATCAGTCCGACTTCATCTAATGAAAGAAATTTTCTTCGACCAACGTTTCGAGTTTCTTCGAAAGCAGATCCGGATTGTTGCCGTCCCCTTCGACTCAATATGACTTTGATAAATTTATCCTGAAATTCCCTAGTCTTCATATCGAAATTCGAACGTTACCAGACGCTACCACCTGGCTGATGCATAGCGGGAAGATGCGAAGAAAGCAAACCAGCTTGCATTAGCTTCCCTGGCCTGGGGTGATATTTCTTTGCGCGAAGAACTTGATCAAAATTCCGCTTCCTCGCATATTCTGTGCTCAAGACTAGGAATGATATCGTCGAAACTGTTTCATAACAGGAAGCCGAATGCAGAAAGGACTGCGAGATATTATTGAGGGGTACATAGGTATAATGAACAAGAGCTTGTGATGAACTTTAGAACTTTTGAGTTGAAGTTTGCGAATTGATAGAACACTGTATTGATTACAACTTACATCCGACGATAGGATAAAAATCTTTACCCCGAGGGCCCGACGACTCTCTCCCGTCCTCTACTTGGATACTTAAGCTTGAACATGCGGAAATATAGAACAGACTGATAGTAGCCATCCAAGCATGCGGTATGAACAGTATCAATCCTTCCCAATGGAAGTCTCCTGCAGATACGGCTCCCAAACAGCGGACCGATACTCTTCACCCGGAGCGGATTTTCTCAGCTTTTTGTAATCGTACCAGACAAGTGTTTCATGGCAATGTGCGACGAAGGCTTGTTGAGTTACAGAGAAGGCTGAGGATGTGAGAAGGAGAGCTGCGGGATCTGATGATTGTTGAACTGAATTTGACAATTGGGCTGATTGGGTAGGAGGGACGGGTTTGTGCGATATAAGGAGCTGCGGGGAAAATTGGACGATAAAATTTTGTGAGAAGGATGAACGTAAGTACTATTAAGAGATGGTGAAACGCTCATAACGAGATGATAGGAAGAAGGGAAGAGGACTGAAATGGTGCTCACGGTATCAGGATAAGTGACCGGGCGTCGGTAGTTGACATTGAGTGATTTGATGATTAACGAGATGCCTTTTCCTTTGCGAAGAGCTTCGGCCTCGTCGGGCCCACCGAGACGGTGTCCTAGATGATTCATCCAAAGAATACGACTCTGCAGAAAGAAATAAATCTACAGGGAGACAATGGTAGAAGACTGCGCATACTGATTCGAAGTAGCGGACTTTCGGGATGAGAAAAGTTGATCCAATCAGAATAACTCTCTCCGCGAGAATGCAAATAATCTTCACCGTATTGGACATTGTTAACATGTCTATTGAGGTTCGTCAGTTCACAAGGAGTAACCAATGGGGAGAAAGAGAAACGAACTGGAAAGAGTCTTGATCACCCCAGGCAATTGGTTGTTCCCATATAGTTGGATGATGAAATCCGGCTTGTACTAGTTTCATACGGCCTTGTTCTACCAGTTGTTGGAAGGAAGACGTATCTGATTGCATATTAGAAGATTCCGGGGTTGAGTCTGGTGGGAGCTCATATTCTTCTGGTGAACCTGGGCCCTTTGTCCCAGGAGCCAGATAGAATGGTGAAGACGGGTCGCGGAAGGCTGCTTGAAGAGCCTGAAGGTAAACAGTGAGTGAAATTTGTAGTCAGACAGGACTCCCATACGCGACCTTAACACTATTGTACCTCCTAGACTTCCGCAAACTTTGCTTCGTATTTGAGAGAATACGAAAGAACATTACGACGGTATGGAAGCCCGGGAGGACCGGCTTCGAAGTTGCCGAATCAGAATGCTTGATTCGTAAGCAGGAACTCGCGCACGTCTCTGCGCGTCTTCGACAACGACGTTGACTGAACGTCCAGCAATTCTACTTGTCTCGGAATTTGAAGCCTTCATATTCGATGGAAAAGGTGAAATGGGGGGACAGGGATAAAATGCGTTTCTCCACAACTTGCCATATCCGGTCGGTTCAAGCTGTACATACCAGGTATCCCAAACAAGCAAATACGTTTCCATTTTCGGATCTCCTCGCCTTTGCCAAACAAACACGGAAAGTATAAATGGCATAACTGCTCTTATCCTTTCTTCCTTCCTTACCCCCACGACTATTGATCCTGGTGATCCTTGCTGTACAGTGTACATTTCTATCTCCACGACAGGCTTCGTGTTACATCTCTACTCCGTCTATCTCTGTGACCTTTAACCTTGACGAATATCTCTCTTGCTCATCATGATTGCCTTCAACGCCCGCTTCACCCTTCTCGCTGCTCTTCTCTCTCTCATCGCCGTTTCCCTTAATCCTTTGGTCGAAGCTGCTGCTATTAGCGCTCGCCGTCCTGACACCTCTTCCTCCGCGTCTGGTACGCACCACAAGACGACACGTGAACCTGTTCTTCCTCTTCCAACTCGTTCAGAGAAGGCCTTGTCTAGCAAGAAGTCCGAGAAAGGCGAGAAGAAAAAGAAGGAAGGATCTTCCAAGGGGCATAAACACGATGGGGTGTGTTCATCTCGCTTGAATTCAATCCAGTAATTTCTGACTGCATATATGCACTTTTCTTACAGCGAGCTTTGGACGAATCTATCCAGGTTTTACCTTGGGATCACACACACAATGTGATCTCCGTCAACATCAAGCACCGTGACGAGCTCAGGGTCTTGCCCGGTCATCATGATCATGATGATGGTCACAGGAACGATTTAGTTGACATAGATATCAAGAAACGTGGTGAACAGGCTCACTTCCATACTCGCAGACATTCAGAGTTCCATGACGGTAAGCTCATCATTGGCGGAAAGAACGACCATGTCCACATTCACGCCCGCCGCCATCACGACCACGACCACGACAAGGTAGTCGTAAAAGGTGACAACGACCATGTTCACATTCATGGACGTGATCATGACCATGATCATGACCATGACCACGACCACGACCACAACCATGACCACGACCACGACCACGATCATCGTCGAGCCCGCCGTTTCCGTCCTCATCCCCGCAGTCTGGAGACCATGCAAAAACGTGCTTGCCAAGCTACTCCAGGGTACATCGATATCAATGTTAGTATTATATATTGTGTTCTCTGTTTTCCTTCGCTCACCTTCCGTATTCTCTCTCTTTCGCAGAGCGACGGCAAGAGGCTCGCTTCTATGGCGTACAATCAGACAATGCAGGAGTATGACGTCAGCGAGAGCGAGGCTTCCACCTTTAACCTCATGAACTGCGGGACCTCCGAGGCTTCTTCTTTGGTTACTCTTGCTTGTAATGACATTCCTCAAGGCGGCTGTCTTACTTATATGTACAACGGTACTTCTGAGGACATGACCTGCCAAAGATGTGTTGACCAATCCTCCGTTCCACCTACCGCTTGTCAAACCTTCATGTACAACATTACTTCTGGACAGGTGAACCCCACAAACTGCAACATGGTTGCTGCTCAAGCTGACGATGCCGATACCGAACCCAATACTGGCGATGGACCTGACGCTGGAGATGAGATCCCCGACGGTGAGGGCGAAGAGCCCAATGCCGAGCAAGCTGCCAGTATCAATGCCAGAGATGCGTCGTCCACCAACTCATCATCTGTCACTCCTGTTTCCTTGGTTTTCAGGCCACTTGCTAAGGAACTCGAGGTGGAGGACACTGGATCGAACAACACTTCGTTCAACTCGACGAATACCAGCGGAAATTCTACGTCATTCAATGCGACAAGTATCGACTCGGACCCAGATTCCACTTCACCCAATAACACGAGTACAACTTCCGCCAATCAAACGTTCACCACTACGATCACCGTCACCTCCACCTCCACCTCTACGGGCTCTTCTTCATCTGCAGTCCAGTCTGCTGCCGTTGCCTCACCTTCCACGACTGGAATGAAGGTCGAAGTATTCAATGACCCCAATGAAACTAACGCTCCCCCGTTCTCGAGTTCCACGGACTCGCCCCTTTCCTCGACCATGACCTCTTCGTCGGCTAACACCACACCTACCTCGAGTATGATGGACGCCGATGCCGTTGCTTCAAGTATCGCTGCCTCCTCCTCTACTGACATGATGGCTGCGTCGTTTACAACCTCTTCCTCTTCGACCGGTACTTCCTCCGTTTCCGCTTCTACCTCTTCGTCGTCGTCGAACTCTCCTTCCGCAACTGCTGCGGCCGCGGGGTTGAATGCAAGGTCGACGGAGCCTTATCTGTGGCAATTCAAGCGATTTGATCAGGACTAAAAGTAGAGTAGCGAACTACGTAGGGTGTGACGGGAAATAATGAAAATCAATATTCGTTTTATCAAATTCGCGCAACAAATCTGAGGATCTTGAGCTAAATGAACGAAATTTTACACAAGTCAAAAGAAAACACAAAAGGGATTTGACGCAGTTGGAATCAAAAATAGGGCCTGACCGGGAATTGAACCCGGGACCTCGTCGAATAAGTAGAGAAACCCTAACAACGAATCATACTCCTAGACCATCAGGCCACTATCCCAGAGTTGGGAACAAAGATCAATAAGACAATTATGTAAGGCGTTGAGGAGAGTATAATCAAAAAGCGTCGGTAGCTCTGACATACACTTCGCATATATTCCTACAAACAAATCACATAGATCAACAATAAAAGAAAGAGGTTACCGATATAAGCTTCGTGGATCAAATTTTTCACGATGATTTGAGTTGATTTGAGCCGTGTTGACGCGCATTCCTTCCGCCGTTCCTTGGCCATATTCCTGCACCAATTTTTCATATAAGAGGCAATACATATAGCTGGGATGCCCACAGGAAATCTTCATTCAGTAAAGGACTAGTACTGGACTCTACGTATATTGAGTAAAAATCCTCCTTTCTATCAAAATTCATGAGATGAGCCGGACTTCCCGCCGACGCCAGTAAGGCAGGGAATCTAACTGACGCGAAAGTTGACTTGCGTACATAGCACAAACCAATTTTATTCGCCCTCGGAATTACTGAACCATCTCTTCGAATTCGATCAGCTCACGGCGCATATAACCGCCTTTTATACCCGCCCATCGAATTTACGTTGATATAAGTTATCCGCGTGCAGATTCCTGTGTACATTTTCCAGGCTAAACATGTCATTTTATGCCACTGATCATGAGCCACATACACACCCTTCATATTCGAACTCTTGGTTATGATACTCTATGATATGACCCCTGTGTTTGAACCGTGAGCTAACCCACAGCCATGAATTACTTGATAGAACGACTTACCACACGCCTCCGTTCAGACTCTGGTACGTCAGTGCTGTTCCCTGCTAAGACGCGAACAAGCAAACGAACTGGACCGACAGACAGTGTTATATACATAGAACATAAATTTAACTGCCCCAAAATTTCAACTAGTACTGTACATAGCGACACTTACACAAGTAGCCACAAGCGGTCCCACATATGTGTATATGTAGATCGAAAGAAAAAGAATAACCGTTATAGGTATAGGTGGAGGCCGCGAGAAAATCAAAGTGGGAAAGGCGTTCGCAAGAACAAGAGAGTAATTGGGGAACTCGAGTGTGTCGAAAAGGATGCCGTTTCAAAATCTACCGGACAAGATCGCTGGTTCATATTGTGGTATAAGTAGTCAATAGTCCAACGGGACTCAAATAGTCGTGGACAATCGCAAGAGGATATGAATGGTCGGGCGAGGGCAGACAAACTGAAATCTTGAGAGAAAAAAAACTCGTATCGGCACAATTTACCCTAATGCCAAAGAGAATTCGTTTAGAAAAGAAGAGGAACTTGTGGAACCCAGAGAATAAGAAATCTTTGTGGGGAAACGGGACAGGGGAAATACAGCCACGTCTGAAACTCAGATACCACCGTATGCATCACTCTCGTCAATGATACTCGCCCTGCTAGCCTGTTGACCAGAAGGATGAGCCCCAGCAGTGTGCGCAGTCTGAGGGGGTGAGTAAGCTGCGTAGTTGCCGTACGCTTGAGAATTATCGTAATATCCTGCGGCAGGCTGAGAACCGTAAGCAACGTGTTCACCATCGTAATCGTCCACACCGAATGGGTTTGCATTTTCAGCGACGGCCGGCTGTCCAACAGAAACTTGACCAAAGGTATATTGTTGTCGGGGCTGAAGCGGAGCACGCTGCATAGGGACGGCAGGAACAGGAGGAGCTTCATCATAATATTGCTGGCCAGCTTGGTCACGGTAATATTCGTGCTCGGTGTCGAAGCTGGCACCGTGGCCTTGACCTTGGTTGACATCCTGATGATCCTGCTGGAAGCGGTAAGCACCAGCACCGGCCATGCCAGGGCTAGTGGTACTGGTGACAGAGCTGATGTAGTTGTTTTCCCTATTTTGAACCATCTCCGGGGGACGAGGTGTAAATGCTGGTTCGTCTAGGACCATAGCCGAGCGGCGGAACTGTGAAGCCTCGAATCTAGCTGCACGTTTCTTCCTGTTGTAACGGCGCTACGACTGAGATGAGATAACTTGTTCGCGTATGATGAATTGAATTGAAACATACCAAAAAGAAGGCCATAAGGAATCCGACGATTGCAACGGCAGCGAGACTTCCTGCGATGCCTCCAACAACAGCACCAGTGTTGATTGCGCCTGACACTTTGGCAGAGGAAGTCGAGCTAGCAGCGGATGCAGAAGAGGTAGTAGATATGTGTGAGACTGAAGCAAACGAGCTCGTTTGAACCTCTGTCGCGAGAGCAGCAGTTGGAATCACAGTTGAGAGATGGGTCTAAGAACCTCCATTTCAATACTGAGACCTCATTCGAAGGAGATATGAATACTTACGCTGGTAGAAGTCGAAGCCGGAATTGAAGACTGGCTAGTAGAGGAAATTGTAGAGCTGGAGGTCTGAGATGTAGCTGAAAGTGTCGCTGAGGAAGTAGTAGAAGAAGAGGTGGAAGTGGAAGTGGCGCTAGATGTGGAGGTAGTGGTAGGAGCTACCGAGCTTGAGCTTGAAGACGACGAAGTTTGAGCTGCGGCAGCCGATGCGCTCGTAGAGTTACTCTGTGAAGTACCGGAAGCGTTCGCGGATTGAGAAGTGGGCTGGGTATTGGCACTCGTAGCAGCTGCAGTAGTCGGCTCTACTCAAGGTTGGAAAAACTAAGAAGATTTGGACATGATCATACCAAGAAACTTACCAGCAGTAGACGAAGAGGCAGCAGCAGAGGATGAACCCTGACCAGAACCATTGCCGCTCCCATTACCAGTATTATTGCCGTTTCCATCGTCATTATCACCAGCACCATTCCCATTAGCAGCTGCAGCAGTGCCAGCACGGCGAAAGTGGCCCGTACGGCGGTCAATTGCAGCGTTGTGAAGAGACATGTAAAAAAGAGAACTCGAAGGAGTCTAAACTGAAAAACAAGTTTGAAGGGTTTTCGAAAGACCGTATAGAATCAAAAGAATGTGGTGTCCGTAGAAGGGACGAGAATTGCTGACGCCGCTGTTGAGCTGGATGGGCTCGATGCCTTTTCGAGGTTGTGAGAGAGAAGAAAGAACAAAGTGAAACGATAATATCATAATCCCATCAGAACGGTAACCAGATGCCGAAGATCATGTGCCTGATATAAATAACGCACCGGGGTCCCACTCGACGTTCTCTTCTCATGCTTGCTATCATAGCCAGACGCGAAATACTACATACTTAGGTTATGTAGCTCGAGTGTCCCAATTAACAGTAAATCCCAACCGCTTTTCGGCCCCCCCTTTCGTCCTTACCGCATTCTGGAGAGCACTTCCGGTATCAGATCAAGGTATTTACTATCCATGGCACGGTAAGTATTCCCGCGTCAATCCAGTTAATTTTAGTAAACCAGCAAACGTACACCACTACGAAAAACATGATCAAGCGAAGCTCGAATACTACTTGCTTCAAGCCAGGAAGAGGGACGTATCCGTCTGCACATCTCGTCGTTCAATCCAGATATTACATACTACTAACTTCAGCTTCAACAAGTCAAACGCTGTAAATGATGGACATCCTTCTCCGTTCGTTTACATGCGCAGTGCTTATCAGAGGCAACGTCTCATCTGTCGATGCTGTCCAAAGTAGGATCAGACGGTACAAACGCACGCTCGCAAACCTAAGCTGATCATTGGCCAGCGCCAGATTGAAAAGTGACTATGTATGCTGTTTGTACTCAGCATGCGAGACATCGAGTCTGTGAACCTCAGGGAACCTCTATGTCACAAAGTGGCCAAATCCAAGTTACAGGGTATGTGCAAAGGGTGATAAAGTAGGGTTATTATCTTCGTACAAGGGCGATGATAATTGCCTCTTTCGTTTATCTCGGACTAAATCGAGCGCATGGATTCACAAATAATCGTTGCAATTGTATTACTGGTGATGCAAGTGTATAAATATCCTCTGATCCACGCCGTCCAGACGAGGTGTCCTGCATTGAATGAGCTGATTACGTTCAAATCTCATACATCCATCTGGGAATATGCATGTGAGTGGCTGTAAGAGTCGAGACGTCGTACGCCTGAAGCTGAACTGAACTTGTTGGCTGAAATGACGCGATGGAGAACATCACAGCTGCTACTTCAAACAGTCGTTTCGTGTTGATCCCCCAAGTCCATTGGTGATTCATTTTTGAATGCTCGATGCAATGAGTATGATATAATCTGCCGGTTTTTTGAAATTGATATGCACATTTTTGTACAGAAAACCCTACAGCACGATGTACACTACCAATGCTACTGCACAACGGTGTACAAACTTGACTCAAAAAAGTTCTGCCGGTCTGCTACATATATTCTCTCAATTCCCTGTTGGTACGATGCACTTCCTTTCTTCCACTTAAACATTTTGAATTCGAAATTTGGGGTCATCAAGCGCAGATGAAAATCTTTACACGGGTTGACTGCGATGATATCAATATGGAAGTCGACAACCACCGCAAAATGAAAACCTACGAATCAGCAGCGATGCAGGTTCCAGTACCAGCAAATGCGTTCAAGGGTACTGTACTGGGACATGCAGCCCCAGTGGTCCCAATCAGCAATACACCGTCGGAATTCTTTCGTTCAAAATCTATTAGTAATGCACTTGAAACTTACACTTGAGGTTTACCACTCACAAAATAATCGCAAATCGGGATGTCGTTATCGGATTCAAGATAGCTTTTAAGGATCTGGGTCAGCTTTGTATCATGGAAAAACGAAACGGAAGTCCTACACGCATTCTACGGTGTTCTCTTCCTCCTCTGTTGCATGCAAAAAAGCGGTCGTAATTCCATTGTGAACGATCGTAGCAGGACAGACGGCACAGAAGAATGTGGCTCGTGCAACTGAAATGGAAGAGAGCAGAATAGCAAGTGTGTAGGTGAGTTTCATGTTAGCGTTGGCGTTGAGACGTGGCCTGTGATAGAGCTTGTAGCTAGTTGGACAGATGCCACTGAGACCAATAGGTATTGTCGTGCTTCATTTATAGGGCCTACCGAATCTGAGCTCACCGACTTGTGACCTTGGAATTTTCTTCAGATTTTTCATGGAAGCTCAGACTGACAGGTTGGACGTGTGCTCACCAGACGCCAGACATATCAAGGATAGCCATCCAGGATAATTGTAAGAAGGAGAAGAATTGAGATGTTCCTTGATAATGTGAATTTTAATCCCTAGAAGAGGACTGGAAGCCACCCGAGAATAAATCTGGACCTTTGTTGAACCAGCGATAGTCACGGTATCGTTATTGTAATTGCAGGGATCCAGAGAGTATAGACAGTAGAATAGACAGACAGTACCTGATATGATTGTGAAGCTACTAGAAGCATCTACGCTTTCCTCATAAAGTTGGATGGCTGCAATCAATCATGATCGCAACTCTGGACTGCGTCCTGTAAGAGGGCTGGATGAAGCGGGCAAGCTCCATTGAACGTACCAGGGAAACACAATATAATTCGCAAGTCTTGAACATCGTAGAATCAACACTTACCGTAGTCCCACCGCCAGTCAAGTTGTTCTACAAAGTCGAACTGACGATCCTGTTGTACCTTGTCCTGGGTCATAGGCAATCTCGCCTCAAAGTGTCAAGAGACTAGGTATAGAGTCTGCCTTCGGGAGACTTACTCACGGGCAGGCAACGCACACAGGAAGGGAATCATTCCGTTCAGCAGACTTTTCGAGATTTCGGGAGTGAAGGATATCCTTTCCTCCGAAATTCCGAAAATTTCATTATGTCGATGGTCACTATCGGTCCTTCCTGCTCGGACCCAATAGTTATGTGAGGGGTTTGAGACTTCTAAATTTTAGTTGTGGAATTAATCCTGCGTGTAGAGTAGAGTATGTATCATAGCGGTGCGAACTGTTCAATTCTACGGTATGTTCCATTCTGTTCCATCATTCAGCATAGAGATAAATTGAGATAATATAACACTCACAAAGAACCTAAGCTCTTTTGAATGATTCGGAGTCATCTTCATGTTCAAAGGCCTCTATAAGCCTCAATCATATGTATGCTAGTGAAATCGATGAGCAGAAATCGTGCCAAGCTCCCCCACGTGGCTCGAATCTTTTTTTGATCTCGGCATCGCAGGTTGCTCCCGGACTTCCAAGACTGCAAACTCACTGGCCTCCAAGCCTCTGCCAATTCTCATACTTTCTTTTCTACACACTCCTTGAAATCACTCTCTTTACCTTTTCCAAGACGGCATGAGCCATCAACTTGAACACAAAGCACGTTCTGCGGAACTTCATCACAAGAGAGCTCATCTCAACCGTGCTGATATCCTGGACCCTCTTGATGTGACGACTAGCTCTACTTCGGTAAAGACAGCTAGTGGTGTGTATATCCGTCGAATTTTGCTTCTACAGGAAGTACTCAAATCATATCTATTAGCGACTACTACTTCAGCCGCAACAACCGCAGCAGCGGCAGCGACTACCACCTCCCAGACAGCTGCTACAACGACTAGTAGCAGTCACGCAGTAACCTCGGCGGCAAATACGACATCGGCGACTACTTCGGCTACTACCTCCTCGAGCAGCAGCTCAAGTACCAGCGCGACCAGCTCTCCTACTTCGAATACTACTTCTTCGACCAGCAGCACCAGCAAAGCTACCTCTACCGGCTCCTCGACTTCCGCCGCATCTACCCCGGCTGTCGCTACCTCTGCTGAAGTATGTTTGTCAGTCTCTTTCTGCATCTTACGTTAGCTTAGAATGTCGTTAGACCGTTGTCGTGGCTAGCAGAACCGTTGCGACGTATATCACGTATACCCCTTCTTCGTCGGGCACCGGTACTGCAGCCGTTGCTTCGAGCTCTACCACGACTACCTCCAGCGGTGTGAGTGCGGGTTCCATTGTAGGCGGAATTTTCGGTACCATTGGTGGTATTCTCGTCGTTGCAGTTATTGTTGCATTCATCGTCGTAAGTATTGTTTCACTCTCCTCTATTAGGAAACCCCATTCAATCGCTGTCCCATTCAGCGTCGTATCCGTAATCGTCGCAGGGATGACGAGCATTTCGATGCTGCCCAATTTCGTAACTCTGCTGTCCTTCTAGACGACGAGTTCGGCACCGATAACTTTTCTGCTCGTCCTCCTACAATGATTGCTCGCCACATGGCTAATGCTCCTGCTGCTCCTCCTGTCACGTACGGTAACTATCCTGGCGCTGATCCCTACGCTGGTGGCGACCCTTTTACTACCGGTGAACAATTCCACACCGGTGACCCATATAACCACTACAATGCATACCCAACCTATACCCAAGAACCAGTCTACACTCTCAACCCTGGAGAGACATTCGCCCGCAACCCCATTGCTCCTAACGGTAGCGCAGAAATGGACCCTACTTCTGCCCACAACTCGTACCTCAATAGGCAACCTACTCTCCGCGGACCAGATACCCAATTCGCAGGTGCTCCCCAGCAACATTACCTCGACATGAATCGAGTCGGCAGTCCTCCCAATATGCCTGCTTCTGCCGAATACAATACCGGAATGCCATCGCCTACGTCTGCGACTCCTTTGTACAACCCGCACTCCTCTGCTGAGCATAGCTCTGTATTGCCGACGCCGACAACCGCGACTGTCTCGCAGAAACCGCATGCTCCGGTTGAGTATCCTTCTGTTGGCACCCCTGCCCCTGCTCCTCCAGCATATTACGGAGATGCCCAGAAGAGGCCCGAAACTGTTTACGATCCTGAAGATGCTTATGGTGGAATGTAAATCCTTTGTTCCCGTGATCATTCCCAATCGTACAAAGCAGCGGGCTTGCTTTACAATTCAGTCTCTGCGTTTATATTGTATCTCAGAACATCTCTTGTGTTGCGTTTGCTATTCTATCATCCTCCGTCTCTTATCTATCTTTCCTTACTTATTCAAATGAAGATGTGTATGTGTATTGATTCCCTACCATGACATTTCCTGATCACAGTTTGCAGGGATCCGGCTCTATGCCATAGCTATTTATCCTTTGAATTGTCTTCCATTCTACACCTCCTTTTCACTCGGAGGGTTCCACCTGCACTCACTTCTTATGCGACGTAAGCTATTGCCCTTATGTACCTATCACGGTTTGTTCATCCTTTCACTCCGGAGGGTACATTTCGCTTGTTCACTGGGTGGAGGAAAGGAGTTTGAGAATCATGATTCTCTGATGCGTGGAACGAACTGAACTTCTGAAACGTACAACTTGGATTTAGTTTTGAAATTTCTTTCACTGTACATATGTTTAACTACGTTCAATCGTATTCGTTTGTTCGTTCGGGGAGTGCCAGTGTTTAAGATTTAGGTCTTGAATTATTATAACTTTTCTGGACCGTGATCCGGTCAAAGCTGTATATATGATCCTCATTTGGGAATTTCCCATGTAGTCGGCAGACAATTCTTTTTTTGCTCATTTACGAGATCTCGTATCAAACGGTAAACTATATAGGACAGTTAAACATCCATAAACCAAGCTTCATTGCCTTTTATTCTATTAATTTTTTGACAATGCTCAAAGGTCTACGGCAGCCCGTCTTCCTTTCTAGTAAGGCCAGTTTCAACTCACGCCTTCACTCCCCTCAACGTCCGTCGTTCAATTTCTTAGACCCTGCCTCTACCTGCCGTGTACTGAATCTTATTGCCTTGCTTCCGTGACCCACTATTGAGGTACAAGAAGTTGCGGCAACAATTCATTTCCACGCGGGAATGGCGCAATCACAATAAGAGCGTGGCATGTCGTCTGCCATATCCCTATTCATGCTGCAATTTATATGCATCACTTGCGTATTCGTCGGCGAACTTCCCATCCGCATACCCTCTCCAATAATTATTTTGGGGTGGGACGAATGCGGTGTCTTGAGATACCGTCGAATTAGAGGAAAATGTGGTGGGGGATTGGTTATGTTGATACGGCAAGTACGGAGGAGGTACAGTGGTCATCTGCCAATATGTACGTCCAGTGGTAAAGTTCGAGTTCACCTGAGCTTCATGTTTATGAGGATAATGAGACGTAAGGATTGAGGGCATAGAAGCTCCAAATTCTGGAAGGGGTTGTTGTGTCTCAGGATATATCTCAGGGAAAAAAGAGGGGCTCGCTAGCGAGGGCGGGTACAAGTGAAGATGCTGTTCGGGTTGCTGAAGATGATCTTGCTGGTATTCTATGCCGTGTGTGCGATACAAGGATGAAGTTGCATTTGGGACAGTAGCAATGCCATGTCCTGACTCTTGGCAAATGTGGGTCTGTGATTGCGCCAGAGCTGGACTAGAACATAAAGAAGGGAAGGGATGAGGCTGGAGATCCGAGAATGAGTGAGTAGTTGGGTTGTAAATCTCCTTGTCCTCGTAGCATGCCGCCCATTCACTAGGACCCATCTGTGGGATAGGCAAGTGTGAAAATAAAGGCTTCGGGGAGCTTGATGTATGCACAGGAGAAGGCGGGAAGTCATGAATAGAGAACGTTGACAATACTCTGTTGAAAGAACGGGGATTCTCAGGTGACAAGTTTGACGGCCTGTCTCCTCTCGTCTGACACCCCACATCTTCCAAATCAGTCAACATGGTGGACTCCATTCTTGGAGGAATTTTGGGATACGTATTGCGTTGTGGCTTAGACTTGCTGACCCTATCCAAATGTGCGGAGTCCCCTTTCCTGACGACGTAGGCATTAAATCTGGACACGACCGCTGCAAGGACACCTTCATTTTCAAGATGTGCGCGCATTGCATGCCAGACCACCTTGTACGATTGGTACTCTGGGAGCCTGGACGCGGTCCAGATTGCACCGAACAATGTCATGCCGTTCAAGATTAATTGACTACTGGGTTGTTGCCCTGCCCGTCTCAAACGATCTTGGAGGGCAGGATGACCCCAGGTTGTATCAAAATTGGCAAAGAGCATACAAACGAGTGCCTCTTCTCCAGAGGTGATTTTATGGACTGCGTGAGGATTGGCATCGAAGACGAACATCGAAGACCCAACCATGGTGAATCTAAGGAGAAATAGGTGGGACGTTCTTATGACCTTGAAATAGCAGGACTGACCGTAAATAGAAGACAAGAAAGTTGCGGGGGAATGGACTCGGATACTCGAAAACACTACGTTCCTTATACTCAAAAACAACAACCTGAAGAAGAGAGATTGAGAAATACAAGACCCGGGGGCAGCCACAATTTTGATTCCCTTGCGAATGACGAGGTTAGGTGAGCTTCAGATATAGTTTCTCCATAGGATTGGTTTTCGCCATGTGTTTCGGACAATCAGAACGTCCGAAAACTGATGTTGTCTATGCAAAGCCTGATTGGTAATATGCGTTTGGTTCTTCTGGTAAAAAGGTTAGATAAATTTGCTGTCAGAGTTTCACTTTTTCTAAGAACCTTGTCAAAGGCAGTCAAAAACAAGTTGAGAGGTGATTGACACCGATATGAAGCAAGCCGGCGGTTAAAATTGGTAGCTTCTCTCAATAGATATAATAAAAACGAACACTTGTTTCTAAGTGGTCGAAAGGAGCCCATTGAGAGCCATTGACTCTGAGTAAGCATTCTAGCGGTCACGGTTCAGCAACGTCGCTTCCAGAAAATTTCACAATGACGGTTCCTGAGGCCTGAAGAGCTGTATCAAAGAGTTCACGCTTTATTCGGATATTGCCCTGATATATATGACATCATAGGAATTTGAAGAAAACATATCGTGGTGCTGTCCGCGATATTGTCTGCGGTTCATTGCAGCTATTCATTCTCCGTGCCCTTATGTATCCGATACTTTTCCACACAAGCCGAGGAAAACAAAATATACTCGGTTGCATCTAAAATGTTTGCCCACCGTCCCATACGTTCTCGTAAGTTTTGCGGGTACTTTCAACTAGGAACCAGACGCGGACGTGGGTTTATCATTGGGGCTACATAGTATTTATTTTGAGGGAAGAACCCAGGACCTTGTCAGACCTTGTCCCGGTACCGGGTTGTTGCTTCCGAGATTCATATAACTATCAAACTCAAAATGTCTATGCTCCACTGCTTCATACTTTAGTGCGTGCCCTTATCCCCCTAAAGCCTCTCTTGGCCACTCAAACTTGCTCCAATAATATAATGAGCAAAGATCAAGATTTCACAGAAACCTGATAATCCTTCATCTATACTCGGTCTATACTTTTCAGCCTAATGACAGGTCTAAGGCTGTCTGAGCTCCCATGAGCTATCGAAAATCCTATTCATTCTGAATGTCAATCATAGACCCTTGTGCCGTATAAGGCTGTATACTGGACCAGTATATCAAACAGAAAGAATGTTGCTGTTACCGGCAATCTGTTGTGGTCAAAGCTGTATATATCACCTTTATTTGGATATGATATAGACGTGAAAGTTATATCTTGCCCAAATCATGAAGTGAGATCAGTTGAATGGTGATATCTGCACTAAGTAATATGTGATTGCAGGCCACGCCCACTGCACCACTGTGCCGTAGAATATTATGTAATTTAAAAAAGAGAAATGCATTATGGGGTGCTGATGTTGAATGTCATTTTGGACACAGAGAAAACACACCAAATGGAGAAAAAATTCTGTTCAATGAAAAAAACAAAAGAACTGAATGAGAATGTACACGCATTTCAGTTATCATGAAATACAACAAGTTGTATCATCACGCAGCAACCAGATAGATAGATTGATTGATACTTGGCTCTGGCCAAAGTGACGGGGTCCTGCATTAAAACAGCCAGTCACGGTAAGTCAACAACCGCAAACTCAAGCCACACAGAGGGAAGGTAGACTACCGCTGATGTACTGCATACAAGTAAGAGTAAGAGTGCAACAACTAATTACGAGAGTACAAGTTAGAGGAATACTAAGGGTAGAGAGAGTATGGAGCTGGCATTGAAGAAGGTTAGTGATCTCCCATAGTTCCCTCCCAGGTTTCCCTTGTTGTTGTTGTCACCATCAGTGAGAGGCTATGCATCTAATGAGCAGGAAAGGGTAACAGAGGTCACTGATGGAAAGTATGGCAAGTTAGGAGGCAGAGTGTCAGAGTGTTTGTTGCACAAGAGGGTCATTAGATTTTACGAGCATTGAGACTGTAGTTTACGGGAGTCTTTTCCTTATGTATGGCAGCTTCTGTAATTCATTTCCCCTTATTTGGTGATATTCTATGGCACCAAAAAAAAGAAGCTTAACATTTGCCATGCATGGTGAATTGTGATGTAGTGACCTGCAATAGTACGGGCGGTAGACAGTCACTGTACTCTAAGACAGCCCTAGAGTGTCATACCAGAAACAATAATTTACCGCCTAGAATTTAGTAATCACTGTCGGTGTTGTTGATCAAGCAAACTAGTGAAATTTATAATTCAACACCTCACTCCATGTGTGGAGATTTTTCTACTTCTGGTGTAGAAGCAAAATAAATCCATGCATGAAAAAGAATGATGACAGAAAGTCACAGCATCGTGTGATATCAAGTGCCATACTGTGCCAGTAGTGGTTCCTCACACTACTGCAATTTCTTCTCGGCAGTTTAATGATGAACTTTCATCTGGTGAAGTGGAGGTCCGTGTAATCAAAGATTGATATAATCATCTGATCACTGTTCTCTTGTTCTCGATGAGCTTTCTCTAGTCATAAATACCCAGTCGAAAGGTCGTGGTACCGGTGTCTGCGGTAAAGACTCGGAGGATCTGGATTTGATCTTTTGGAGGAGGACGTATGTAAGAGATGCTGACCAGAAAGCTGGACAACGTATGAGTGACTTGACAGACTTCTGGGAAGGTTTGAGGAAGTCCCACATAGCTGGGCACATCAATATACCAGCATTTTTAGTGAATCGAGCCCTATTTATGGTTTCGGATCCGCCCCTGTTCCGAGTATGCCATCTCGGGCCAATTATTGACTTTGAGCAGTGCAAACGGTGTTTCAACCCGTCAAGAGCGTGCAAACAAGAAGATACCGATAGTTTTATCCATTCATGCGCTATTAGCGGAGTGGGATATGTCCTCATCAGATAATGGTGAGAGTACATTGTGGTAGTTCTTATCTCGAGTTGACGTGGAACTGATGTGGAAAGGGGACTTGTCAACAGAGATGACAGATAATGAGAAAGTTGCTGGTTATATAAGAGGGTTCGATCGTCTTGGGCTCACCAACCAGAGCGAAGAGACATGGCACCATTCCCATCTCAACTTGTTAACACTGCTAATATCTCTTCATACTTCAGCTCCTTCCCAGTGAGGAGCTGCGAGCTCGATGCTCTACCTACTATCCAGCAGGCCTTGAACGACACAATCTACGGCTGTACGGCTCCAGGGTCGAAAGAACGGAAAAAGGCTGAGTACCGTCATACAAACCCAGCAGGAAACCTATTTGGCTTGTCCTTTGCGTTATGCGAGGCAGATCGTCTTGGTTATGTTGGGAAGCTGATTGAGTTTCTGTGTATCGTCGATGGTGAGTACTTGGGCATGACAAGAGTATGCAAGGAAGTATTCTCACCAGCGCTTGTGATAGATGTGATGGAGGATCTTCCCTTTGGAGAAGCATGTATAGAGCATGCAATTCTACGACAAGCCCTATACGAAAGTTATGACGACGACCAATACGGCGGACGAGCTGTTGGGAAAATGAAAAGCTATTTGCGCGAGTTACGTATGGAGCTCGCTAGCCTCAATGATCCATGTACCCCTCTATTACTAAAGACCTTGGACACCAGTCTTCGCGACAGAGACAGCGATGACGCAGAGTTCCAAACTCTTGCAGAGTATATCCCCTATCGAAAAACAAACTTTGATTATGAGTATGTCCCCTTCCTTCAATTCACTATGATCACAGGCCTCAGCTGGAAATCTTGTAGTTTTGTGTGCCAATTAGTGCGGTGGGCCATGAATATCTCACCCAAAGTCCAAGAAAATCTCATAGTCCGGAGTTACGAGCACACTGTTGGCGTCATCGTTGGCCTAACGAATGATTATTTTTCTTGGGAGATGGAGCGCCAACAGCCTACAGACAGAATACGGAATGCAGTCCCAGTCTTGATGAAGGAACATTCTATTTCCGAAGTACAAGCGAAGTCAATGCTGAAGGAGATCATTATCGGGGAGGAGAGTAAAGCAAGGGAACTGAAGAGCGAAGTTATGAACCAAACAGAGGAAAGTGAGCAGATGAAGCGATATGTAACTGAGATGGAGCTTTTTGCAGCGGGATACAGTTTTTGGTGTGCAACTTGTCCCAGATACCACCGTTTGCAAGAGGAATATTTGATCTAGAGTATTGTTTTCCGTTTCCTTCTGGAATGATACACTAGAAAGAGGAGTCGTGTAAGAGTAGAACAAACACGAACACGTACTTACTTGGATACAGTCCAGATACATCATCCAAGAATCGGTGCACGGTATAGCATCAGCAAATGCCGGAAAACTGGCAAGACTTCACCGGTTTTTCAACTAGTCACCAGAATTCCTGGGAAATGTGATTGATACCGCAGGGGACGAGAGAGGACGTCGCCGCCTGTCGCCGCCAACCATACGTAGTAGAGGCTGTGGTTATCTAGAACCACTCGACCCTTCTTCGATCCCCTGTGGAAATGATGAGAGCGAGAACGCACATATAGGTGCATACACATTTTGATTTCGATAGACCTTCTTATTATTGATATCGCAGTCGGGTTCGGAGATTCGATTTTCTTTCGACTTTGAAGTTTTGTGCGTATATTAGGTATAAATATGCACAACTAAAAGTATGAATTTAGAGGTGCGTTTCACCGCATAATGATAGGAAGCCAACTTCTTATCGGATTAGCTGGTGACTTGATGAGATCGACTTCCTCGGATGATTGAGAGTTTCCAGGTTCATAAAATGGGACAACGTACTGTGAGATGTCCGATATTAAAACCCGGTCATAATTTGTATTTGCTTCCAAGGATTCAAGTCGACTGCAATACCTCTCTATTCTCCCTGGAAGGACCTAACGAGATGGCATGTTAGGGACAGTTGTCGGATAAGAGATATCGAGCAACGACCAAAATAATCAAATCACGCAGAATAGGGGAGGTCGGGACCGCCAAGTCGTAGCGTCTGTGCCGGATAGGTACCGGATATCGATAAGTATGATTATATTATTACGCGTGTGGTGTTACTATATACCTGGTGTTACCCACTTTTGAGAGACGGAATGCAGGTCGGGATAGAATAGCATACAAAGATATCGGGATCTTGTACCTGTAGGCTGTGATAAAACTGCTTGAAGAAGATGAAAGCGGAATCGAAGCAAAATGTAATTTACCAGATACGGCACACCTCGCTGTGAGTTATAAGAACTTGGATATCTATGGGCTGCGAGCGAAGACTACATGGCACCATTCGCATCTCACCCTGTTGATACTACTAATGTTTCTTCGTACTTCAGTTCTTTCCCGGTCAAGAGCTGTGAGCTTGACGCTCTACCAGCCATCCAACAAGGCTTGAACGATACAATTTACGGCTGTACGACTCCCGGGTCAAAAGAACGGAAAAAAGCTGAATACCGGCATACCAACCCAGCAGGGAACATTTTTGGCTTGAGCCTCGCGCTATGCGAAGCAGATCGGGTCGGTTATGTGGTAAAATTCATTGAGTTTCTCTGTATCGTCGATGGTAGGTCCGTCAATATCATCGAAGAAAGTGGCCAGGTTCTCACCGCTTGATATAGATGTGATGGAGGATCTTCCCTTTGGAGAAGCATGCACAGAACATACCATTCTACGACAAGCACTACACGACAGCTACGACGAGCACCAATACGGCGGGAGAGCAGTCAGTCTGATGAGGAACTTTCTCTACGAGCTCCGGATAGAGCTCGCTAGCATGGAAGACCCAAGCACTTCCCTGTTACTGAAGACTCTGGACACCAGTCTCCGTGACAGAGACAGCAACGACTCAGAGTTTCTAACCCTCGCAGGATATATTCCCTATCGAAAAATGAATTTTGATTATGAGTGAGTCGTCGTGATGCCAGAAGATATGGTTAACTGACCTGTTTGAACGTGCAGCTTTGTGTGCCAACTACTACGTTGGGCCATGTGCATCCCGCCAACGATCCAAGATGATCCGCTAGCAAGGAGCTACGAGCACATCATTGGGGTCATCGTCGGCCTGACAAACGATTATTTCTCTTGGGAGATGGAGCGCCTAGAGCCTACAGATAGAATTAGGAATGCAGTTCTTGTCTTGATGAAGGAACATTCAGTCAATGAGATGCAAGCGAAGCCGATGCTGAAGGAAGTAATCATTGAGGAGGAGAGAAAGGCCAGGGAGTTGATGGGCGAAATCATGGACCTACCAGAGGAACATGAACCGTTGAAGCGCTATGTGGCTGGGATGGAGCTTTTTGCAGCGGGATATAGCTTCTGGTGTGCAACTTGTCCTAGATACCACCGACCACAGAACGAGGAAAGTTTTGTAGAGCAAGCTAAATTGTAACAATATATACATATTATAGAAATAGATAGATAGAATTCTGAAAGAATCATGATGCATGTTCAAGTCAAAGGTTTCGGCGCCAAATTAGTCTAACCTTGTCAGTTGCCTAGCACTTACATACTTTCATTATTTTTCGCCCCTTGTAAACTCTTCAAATGGACCCTGGAATACCGCTGGTAGTAGATAATGGCACAGGTGTAAGTTCAGTGAGATGATCTACCGATAATCGTTGACAACATGTGCAGTTCGTGAAAGTTGGTTACGCAGGCTCGAATTTCCCTGAACATGGTATATCTCAAATAAAGGCACTCAGACTAAAGCTTAAATGCACTTCATTTCATAGTATTTCCGTCTATCGTTGGCCGCCCTATCCTTCGAGCAGAGGAACGGGTTGGCACTGCAGTGATCAAGGATATCATGGTTGGAGATGAAGCTGCCCAAAATCGAAACTATCTCCAAGTAACACAGCCAATGGAGCACGGTATCATAAAGAATTGGGAAGATATGAAGCATCTTTGGGATTACACGTTTGATGAGAAGCTCAAAGTTGATCCAAGAGGAAGAAAAGTGTTATTGACTGAGCCGCCAATGAACCCAAAAGCAAACAGGCAAAGGATGTGCGAGGTGATGTTTGAAGAGTACGGTCTTGGAGGTGTATATGTTGCCATTCAGGCTGTGTTGACTTTGTATGCTCAAGGTTTGTGACGAGTACTTGCATTCAGAGATATCCGCTCAGATGTTATCTGTCAGGTCTTACAACTGGTGTCGTCGTTGACTCTGGTGATGGTGTGACTCACATCGTCCCCGTTTACGATGGATTCGCCTTACCTCACTTAACGCGTCGATTGGATATCGCTGGACGAGATGTCACCAGATATCTAATTAAACTGCTTCTCATGCGTGGTTATGCCTTCAACCGAACTGCTGATTTCGAGACTGTACGAGAGATCAAAGAGAAATTATGTTATGTTAGGTGAGCACCCTACTCGTGAACCATGGTTGCGTGATGCTAATTGAAAATCGCGTTAGCTATGATCTCGATCTTGACACCCGTCTTTCAGAGGAAACAACAGTACTTGTCGAGAGTTACCAGGTGCACACCAAAGTTACAGAGCATTGTCACCACTGTACTCAGAGTTTTCCATTCAGTTGCCTGACGGACGAACAATCAAAGTCGGTTCAGAGCGATTCGAAGCACCAGAATGTATGTTCCAGCCGCATTTGGTCGACGTAGAACAGCCCGGTGTAGCAGGTCTGCTTTCACTTTCGCATTGCACATGCTCTCATCTTATGTCATTCAATTCCAAGAAATGCTGTTCCAGACCATTCAAAATGCTGCTGTCGATATACGAGCTGAGCTATACAAGCATGTCGTCCTCTCTGGTGGATCAAGCATGTACCCCGGTCTTCCTAGCCGTCTAGAGAAAGAGATGAAACAGTTGTATCTGACGCGTGTCCTGAACGGTGATCCATCGAGATTGAACGTACGTTTTCTCCTACTCAACTCGAATGAAAATTTGAAACCCTTGGGTCCTTTAACACAGAAATTCAAGATCAGAATCGAAGACCCTCCTCGACGAAAGCATATGGTTTTCCTCGGGGGCGCAGTCCTTGCTGACATCATGAAAGGCCGTGAAGAATTTTGGATATCACGAGAGGAGTGGTTCGAGCAGGGTGTTCGATCCCTCGATAAGCTTGGCCGAGGAGAAAATTAGATGATACATTTGTTTAGCAGCTGTGCTGTTTTCCAGTAACCACTGTAATATACGGACGGCTTAAAGTAACATACAAAATATTTGGAACAACACGCAAAACGAATCACGAAAATAAAAAATCTCTATTACCTACATAGTCTCTATAATTTCTCTATAATTTCTCCCAGAATCCGGACCAACGTTCTAAACGCCTCGTCGCATCACCAAAGTCACTTCGGATAATGTCAATGCTTTGTACCAGCCTCAGCTCCCTCCCTCTCATCCTTCGAACTTTGCGAATAGGCTCAACTGCATCCTTCTCATCATCAGTAACGAGCCGTTCCTCCTCGGGCAGCCGTTCGGAGTACTCAAATGTCTTACAAAGCACCGCATGAGTTTTTGTCAACGCTTGAGATACAGCTTCGGACAAAGATGTCCGAAATGGAGGAAGGACCTCCGGTAATGATGCCTCAAGCGATGGTTTGTAGTGCGCCAGGACAAGAGAAGAGAAGAGGTCCCCAACGCCGGAAAAGTATCCAGGGAGTAAAGGAACACATTGTACATGTACTTCGGAAGGTGAATTCTCGTTTGATACGGAGGATGTTATACATAAGAGGTGTTCCGATTCTGAAACGGCGGGAGGCCGAATAGCATTAGGAAGAGTCTCGGAAAGCCATGGTGCAAGAGGAATAGAACTGATTGCCACATTGGGAACGCCAAAATCCTTGTGAAGTTTGGTTAGAGCAAGTCTGAGAGAGTGTAGGTCGGTCAAAGAGATTCCAGTCAGCGTTCTGGGAAAGGATGTCAGTGAAACAGGGTATGAATGAACGAATTATATCCTCACTCTACTTCGAACCAATTGGGAGTTATAATTGTTGAAAGGGGTAGCAAGCTACGATACACTGGTATCACGTCTGCTGAAACATACAATCGGCCTGCATCACCCATAACAGCTAAGCATGCGAATCAATCAACGAAAAAAAAATAACGAGATGATAAGCTACAGTCACTCACGGTCTAACAGATAGATCAATTCTGGATTTTGTTTTCGTAGTTTCTCAACCAGTCTGGCAACAGCAGCTAAAGCTTCAGCATTAGGGATATAGCCTAACTTTTTGAAATTAACTTTCATCCGCAAAGGAAGTAAAAATACGCTTCACCAGTCAGAACTCGAGTTGGACATAGTAGTTCATTGAACTCCATAGCTTCGAATATCGATTCGAGTTCCGCTGCAGACGTCTTGCTCCCACCAGAACGGCCGTATCCTGCGCAATGATGAGTTCGGATTCCACATATTTAAAATTAAGGCCTGAAAGACCTGCATGGTTGGAGAAATTGACGGTATTCACGAGCTGTGATTAAAAAAAACCTAAATCAGACAAATATCGATTATAATTTCCATGAGACGTACATCGACATCATAGCCAAGACATTGCAGAGGGAAGGCAGCAGCTTTACCACCAACGTAGCCAAAAGCAACATGGGATTGAATGCTGAGGACTCTTCCTTCCATTATTTATGTTGGGGTAAAATTTGAGATCGTCAGTCACTAGTCACTATTGAAAATCATCCGCCGTCAAACGGGTCCGGCAACGAACGGCTGCTTCGGAATATCGGTTGAAGCGGTATTGAAGATTGATTAGGGATTATTCAAAAACAAGTTACAATCAGCAAGTAGACTATAAGACAGACAACAGTCAAGTGTAAAGAAAGAGTTGAAAAAAGTAGAGAACAAGCTTGAGAGAAATAATAAATGACGGTCAGTAGAGTTGTATAAAGTCGAGGTAGGAGAACTGAATGGAAGTGCACAATGGGAAGAAATTACGATCTAACAACAGTTACTACTGATTCAGGATGATTGCCCAGCCAGAAAAGATCAGGTCAAAGTGAGTTACGGATGAAACTAATGTACACCTACCACTCGCCTCCCCAAAAGTTAAGAGGGGAAAAAAGGAGTGAGGAAAGCAGGAAAAACACAGATTTGAGTGGTTGATAAATAATGAAGGATAAAACCCCTGCGTATAACGAAAAACAGGTCAAAGCTAGATAGAAGAAAAAAAAGAGAAAGTGAGAACAAAAACAAGCACAGCGAACAAGGACCAGGGATGGTATAGTACAGTTATAGCAGATAGGGTAGATAGACATAAAGGGACTGCGTTTTGCGTACGCGCGAGTGGAAATGGTTTCCTCCTTCCAAAAAAAAAACAGATCGAGTCAAATCAGTATCGTCCTCCCAAGTTGCATCTTTTTTCCTTCCTTCCTTAATTCCGTTGAGCAGCTCAGGCCACTGCATACGGGTGATCACAACCTACTTCATTGGATCCAACGAATCATCCAGTCCCTGATCATTCGGATTGAACCATTGCCCAAAGTCTCTTTCGAAATTCAAGTCCCCTCCTGGATCCCGAAAGAGATTGGGATCGAACGTATCAAGGCCGCCAACTTCGATGTCGTTCATAAAGTCGGATCCGAAAAAAGGAATGTCTGAACCCGCACCATTCATCGCATTTATGCTAGAGTTGATACCGACCATACCAGAACCCATGCCGCCTGGGCCAATGCCATTGGGCATCCCTGACATCGGACCAGACATGCCTGACATTGGAGTATTGCCGAGCATCGAACCTGGTGAAGGGTCCATGTTTGGCGGAGGTAGAGATGGCATACCTGGGTGAGGACCAGAATTTGGGGTGGGATTTTGGGATGATGGAGGTCTACCTGGTGGTACAGGCGTTGATGAAGGACCATTAGCAGGACCTGATGCAGTAGGGGTCATACCTGCACTTGAAGGAGGCAGTCCACCGCGAGGTGAGCCTTCAATTTTCATATTCATGTCCTTTGCCGAACCATCCTTGTTCATCCCAGGCGATGGAGGTGGCATTGGTAATCCTGGACCGTGTTTCGATATACGATTATTAGGCCCTGGTCCTCCAGGTACTGGGCCGCCACCGAAAGTTGAGCCTGGGTCGGAAGGAGATCCAGCGCCACCACCACCAAGCTGTCGTTGGTGGAAATTGGCAAGTGAGTTGCGGTATTGTATCGGTCCATCTAGTGGTGGCGGACGACCGGGTGGGTTCATGGGCTATGAGAGAACATACGTCTTAATTTGAAAAAGAAACCGGCGGATGATTACAGTTAGTTACCGACCTGCATTTGAGGCGTCATCATACCCGGCTGACCCGCCATCCCCCCGCCCATTGGCGGTGACATTGCGTTCATTGTATGTGGAGGAGCCGGACCATTCATGCTATTCATTCCTATCCCGCCCATTCCCCCCATCGGCTGACCAAACCCATTTACATTCATAGGGCCACCCGGGGGTCCTCCTGAAGGCATTGGTGGACGCATGCCTCCTAATGTTGGTTGATGTGGCCCGGGACCTGGACCTGGGCCTGGACCACCAGGCGGGCCCATGCTTGAGCCCGGTTGGCCTGGCTGGGCCGCGTGTTGTGGGTAGGCTGGACCTAGTGGTGGATCGACGGGCGACCGGCGAGGTTTCTTTGTTGGAGGTGATCCTGTCCCAGGGACGTTGTCCGGCTAAGGAGCGGAGAAACAAAGTCAGCGTATAATCCTCGGGATAAATGGGGATTTGGAGTTTGGGATTGATTCCTTGATGAAGTATGATGATGTCGAGAAACTGATTACGTTACTTACGTCTTCTCGAGGCGACGTGCTGTTCCGCTTCCCAGTTCTACGTTGTGGTGGATGCATTGTTGAAGGACCTGCAGCAGCATTTGGGGGACCAGGTTTGCGTCCTGTGGGACCTTTCTGTCGCCACATACTATTGATACGTTGCTGTAAAACAGATCACAAGCAAGGCAGGTTGACGTAAACGATTGTGGATAAATTAAAACTTCAGTTCAATCAGTTCAATGGATGAGAAATTGAGACTTGCCTTTTCGTCCAAGGTCATGTTTTGGATTTCTTTTCCGACCAATCCAAGCTCTTCCCTCAATCCAGTCAGGGCAGCTGGCGGGATTCTCAGCAGTTCCTGTGTAAGGGGATCCTGTGAGCTACGAGGATCATTGGATACTAGCCGTGAGCTCATGGATGGGCTCGAATGTATCATTCCGCCCATCTGGCCTGGACTTGCTGTTCTACTTGGAGGCCGGTTCATGGGATATCCAGGTATTTGACCCGGCCCTTGATGTATGCCGTTTGGGGGTGGAGGCGGCATACGTGAGTTGAGATGTGGAGACTGACCGATGTTCATCGGAGGTTGTCCGGGATTGTGAGGCGAATTAGCCATCGTAGGTGAAGGAAAAGGGGGACCGCCGCCGGTTGAGCCTCGGGGACCTATTGCAGTCCGTTGCGGACCTGCTATTGGTTGTTGAGGAAACGATTGGTTTGGTGGTTGAGGGATGCCATTGACGTGTGATCCTGAAGGAAAACCGGGTGGACCACCGTTCGTCATTGGGCCAGTTGCAGGAAACGGCCGGCTGGCAGGTAAAGGAAGACCATTTACACCTGGACGCGGCTGACCTGGAGGCGGCAATGGCTGACCTCTCATTCGACTGTTACTCTGGTTTGCTTGATGCTGAAAAGAAAATAATGGATGCCAATCAGAGGGAAAGTGATAATGAAAATTACCTGTGTGTAAATCAGCGCATCGTCGGATCCGTTCCCGCTTGCCTTGGCAGTGAAAAGAACCCAAAACACAGACCACCATCTGGTTTTAAAAAAGGTCATAATTAGTCGAGGGAATGTTCAAAGGCGAAGGACGCACTCGAATAAGAGGCCTTGCCTAGCGTTTATCGGCGGCTGGGATTCTGGTGGTAAGTCAGCCTCTAGAAGTAGTTCGCGGGCTGTTTTCCGAAATCCCCGTTTGAAGCAGTAATCGTAGATGTAAATATTAAACCTGTAACCAGTCAACCAGTAAACCCAGAAGCCAGAAAACAATCACGCACATTCGGTCACCTTCCCAAGACAACGGGCTCTGCGGATAGTTGGGTTCATTATGCGCCGACAAGTGGCTCGACCCCGGTTGACTAGCACTGCTCATCGCCGAGTTGTCCTCGCTCTCGTCGTCTCGTAGATGTAAAAATCCAAATTAGATTCCGCAGGATGGCCAAGGGACAGATACCAGTCGAATTTACTGGCCCACCAAGTCGGTTTTTATGCACAAACAGTCAATTTCTAATGGACAAAGGGCAATGAAACGACCAAGTTTGCTACAGGGAAACAGAGAAAAGTGAAGGAAGAAACGGGGGAGACAGACAACAAGTCAAAATGATAGCCAAATGGTCCACTGCTCCGGTGCTTACGGCGTCCAAATTTGCACTGCTTTTTGCCTTTTTGGTCAAAATTGTCTGTACAAAAAATCAATATATCGCTACATGAAAACTAGTATTCTACAGTACTCTATGGACCGTTATCATTATACATTTATGTACTATATATTCTTTGCCTCGCATTAATGCCTTCTCACCACTGCAACTTGAAAATCCCATCCAGCAAAAACATACTTGATCTCAAATAACCTCCGCATTTCTCTCCATCCAGTTCCAGTACCAGCCACATCACCCAGAATTTGTGCATCCGCTGCCTCCCCGAGATCCCTCACCACGTACACAAAATCAGCAGGCGAAAGCAACGAGCGAAACAGGGAACCAATTAGAAACGCAATAAGTGCAACGATCATCAAAGTTGACACCGGATACAGTCTCGTGGGATTAGCCACTGTGGGTCGTTCAACGCTGTCACTCGTCTTCCTCAGTTTCGGTCCCATAACCGCAACTTTTCCACCACCAGTTGTATTCATATTCCCACCCGAGGAACCATTGGGACCACTAGTCTCAGCGGGTGTGATATTAGTCGCCGTTCCGAGTGTTATAAATCTGGAGAGAGGATACGGATACGACGGGAGGAATTTGAATGAAAAAATGCCTCCACCAGCGCTTCCCTGCTGCGTGAGATTAAGTCGTGGCGTCTCTGGGGGCTCTGGCGCCTGCTGTTATACACGATACATGTTTACACGTTTGTTGATTTCATTTCAACAGGGGGAGAGGAAAAGATAACAAACACAGTCAGTACAAACCACAACAAGTAGCAAGAAAGGTAGTCAACTTACCGTGCCCTGCTGCACCACACCGTCACTTGTCCCGCTCTCGGTTCTGGAGCTACTGACCTCTGTCGAATCGCCTAAAGACTGTCGATCCATTCCATCTGCCACAATCATTTGACCGTACACATCCGCTGTCTTCGCATCGAGAAGACTATCTGCGATTCCGACAGGCGTTTTGAGATCATCAGGAAGCGCTTCCGATTCATTTGTCGCTCTGAGTAATGAGGTCGGTAATGAATGGACATGAAGTTCATCGAAGATCAATGAAAGTAAAAAAGATTGGAGAATACCGAAAGCAAACTTGACGCCAAAGGCCATGGAGGTAGAAAAAAGATAGCGAACGGGACACTGACCTCAAAAGTATACTCATCTTCGACACCCTGTCATCTAACAGCTCCTCCCTTCCTAACGTCGTCAATGACTCCTTTTCACCAACAACCGCTACCTCCCAAATATTCCTCTTCGCATTCCATACCTTATTTTTTGTGTCATGACCGACTTTAGAATCATTTACACCATTTCTTCCATCAACGACCCACACTTTACCCTTTACCATCCCAACGCCATCAGCATCTTTTTGCACAGGTTTAACTTCAACATACACAACAGCGCCCCCTTCCTCCATCTCAAGTAACCAACTCGGTTTTGGTGGCGCAACTTGTGTCTCGCCCGTTAATGGATCCTGTATCGTAGAAACACAATACTGCGCAGTAGGCAGCGTTAGTTTGAGTAAATGTCTCGTAGGAGACTCAGATTCGTAGTCGTAAGTATAGTGCGAATCGGAACTTGTCCCCGTCCCCATCCCGGAACCCGAGGAATGAAGCGGGGATAATGGGATGGTGTGGAGGGTGTAGGAAAGGGGAAGTTGGTGTTCGAGGAGTTCAGAGTCGGAATTCAGATTTGAGTTTGATGCTGGAGGGATGGATGGCGAGGAAGGGGAGATCGACGCTTTAGTTGCGACGCCAGTCGAGTATGAGGTCGAGCTTGAGAAGAGCGAATCCAAATTGATCGGTGTGGCGTTAAGGTTAGCAGAACTCTTGGTTATAGAACTATCATTTGCCCGAGGTGGCGATTTAGATTCGTCACGCCTTTCTCCTTCCTTGACCCCCTTCCCCTCCTTCCCGGTAATCTTCAGAGTCTTGGATTTTAATGTAATTATATATCCCTCAGGATAAAGTTTCGAATCTATTACGACTTCGCCTACCAGCAGGTCCGTAGTATGCCTAACCTCGCCTTTGAGGGTAAAGGCGGAAGAGGAGCGACCGCGGAAGCCTGAGTTCGACACGGAGGCAGTGCGTTCGCGTTGGCCTGGCATGGCTTGAGTTAGATTGACATTGTTAATGTTATTCAAGCTGTTAAAGGTGCCATTCGTAGATAAATGGGTCATGGATGAGAGAGATGACAAGGATGCAATGTTTGAGAAAGAGGGCGGTGTGGACGAGGGCAAAAATTTGGTTGGGGTTATTGGTGCGGATAACGGAGATGATGCTGAAGTTGAGATCACACCTTGAATGGTATGCAGGCTGGAGTCACTAGATGAAGACTCAGGAAGAGTGTTTAGCTCCACCCTGCTCGCGCGTGGCGTGACCTGCTTTTCAAGGGGAAACTGTCGTGTAGGACTCAAAGAAACATTACTCCTAGATGCCTTGCCTCCCGCCGAGAGATTTTCAGATTTAGCCCCGCCAGGATAATCTACGAAAATTGAACTGGTATAAACCCTAGAAGAAGAATCGTACTTCGTTCGCAACAAAGTCTTGTACTCGTCCCGTTTGCGCAATTTCCATCCGAACTTAGCATATGTTTCGGCCTCCACATCGTCGTCTTTTCTATCAGCCAGTATAAAACCAGCGGCAGGTAAACGTGTGATAGGCATTGATGAGATACTCTTGACGTAGGACTCCACAGTAAGAATAGCACGGGGAATATTGGTATTAATGAGTGAGTTCATGGCCGCAGGAAGAGACCCAGCATAATCCACTGCAACTAGTCGTGTACACTTCGACGACGGGACAGCGTAATTCTCTTTCGTATAAGGGTCCAATGTTTCCAGAATCCACGCATCTATGTACACCCGCCCGATGGGCAATCCGTACTGATTATACTTTGCAGCAGAAAATTGGCTAACCGAGTCGGGACTAAAAGAAGTAGACACGCAATAAATTGCATTGCGGCAACCAGTTCTACCGCTAGCGTCCCCGGAACCACTTCCAGGGGTCCCAGTGTCTGTATTTCGCATAGATCCCAAGGGGGAGCCTTGTGCTCGAGCCACCACGAACGCAATATAAAATCCTCGATCCCGGAATGGAAATCCGCCTTTGGACACCATAAAACTCGTCTTGCATCCACTTCCATATGACTCAAACACCGTTTCCGAATCGAACCTGTCATCCCACTTCTTCCTACAGTCAGGTTCGGTGATAACTGCTACAAGTTCCTCCGCAGATATCCCCTCAATGACTTTCTCTCCCTTGTGTATCGGAATGACGGGAGATATATCGGAAACGAGCTTCCGCCGAACTGAAAGCCCTTTGTCATTCACAGGAGCCCAGCCAGCTTGGGGCGTGGTGCTACAGTGATAGTTCTGTGTCCAGGACAGGGCATCAAGGACGTATTGCATCGGGAGCTTGGACGAAGAAAGTAGCGCGTCATTTGCTCCCGCTGCCATAGGGGAAATAGCTGCGATAGTTTGCTGAGTAGTGGCAGTAGCTTGATCGACTGCGTACGTGAAAAATCTTGCAAGCGGACTGGATACCTTAGGCAAGGTACTGGAAGCTCCGTCAGTATTCAATACGTTCTCGGACGTTGGGGAATCCAACACATCAGCATCCCACTCCGCCCGGCGTCTCCGTATAACGCCCATTACCGGAGGCTGATCCAATGGGATTCGAGGCGGTTTAATGCGTTTCCTCCGTACCAAAGTTTTTATCTCATGTTCGGGAAGTTCCTCAATATCAACACTAGTTTTGGCTCCATTCACCATCACAAGACCCTTTTCTTTACCTGGGCCACGTCTGACGATCACCTGAAGCCGTTCATCATCGACAAACACTGCATCATGGGTAATCGTCAGCCACAGCCCACCCCCCTCGTCTGAGAGTTTGTGTCGTCTCAAACAAGAAATCGACTGCGGGGGCGGATCCACCACAATATCCAATGAATGTCCCCAAGTATCCATATCGCATCGTATTTCGCATTCGATCACTGGAGAGGTAGGTGTACTGGAATTTTCGTCGGAAGTAGTCGAGGTCGACGTTGCCGCTGAATTATCAGTAGGTGATCCACCCACCATTCTCCGACTAGCATGTGGCTCATATTCCAATCTGAAATTGAATCGTTCATGATCATATCGCAAGTCATTCGCCTTAGCACCAGCAAGCCGTGTGACAATGGGTGGACCACCGAATTTGATAGCGAACTCTCCAATACCAGCGAGAGCGTTGATCATTTGAATGGGAATTGAAGTTTTGTTCGTCCAGCCTTTGGGATCCGATTGCTCCAGGAGGGTCAATAATGTCGTATTTGGCGACAAGGCTTCGATAGCCCATCCTTGTAGATCTACTTGTGTTCGAATAACATTGGGATCCACTGATGGAATGTTGGGAAATAGGTGCGAGTCATCCGCTGAGAAGGAGAAGACGTGTATTGCGGTAGGTGATTTGTAGACTGTCTTCAGAACGACAGAATCCCGACCACTGACCGTGGGTATGTTTAGCAACATAATGTGGCAGAAGCACTACGAACATACTTTACAGGCCATGCAGGTTTTGTCTTTATATGCCACAGTTCGGTGAGATCATTAACATCTTCAAGAAGTGTAGCGTCTTCATGCTGCTTGTCCCAGAAATTTCTGGCGCCCGGAGAAACAACAGCACTATAGAGATCCCAGAGCCCGACGCCGACAAACGCAGCCTCAGCTCGGTAAACAACTAATGTCGGATCTATGGAATCAAGCTGGGTTATCGTGACACCACGGGCCTCCGTAGCTTATATATATAATGTAATGAATATAAAGTAAGATACTTAGTTGGAAACAAACACTTACTACGCTTCCATTTCGCTTCGGGTTCTTGAAGCAACGAAGAAAAGTAGATGTAATTTCTCTTTATCCTCGATAAGATGGTCTTTTCAGCTCCTATACTCCTCTCCGTTGCTACGCGGATCAATGGAGGCGCAGATGACGATGAGGCAAAGCTGGTAGCACTAGATCCATGAACAGATGATGACGACGGTAAACTGACGTCTGCTGCACTTCCGACGTCGAGCATAATAGACTGGGCTGCAGCATAGGAAGAAGGATCACGCTGCTCTTCAGGCTCCTTAATGCTTTGAGGAACTCCGTTCAACCGCAATCCACTGGAGGGACCCGAAATTTCGATTACGACTTTGACTTTCAAGACGGAATGGTCGTCAATTAGAGGCGCATGAGTTAAACGGAGGACAACCAGATCCAAAGGTGAATCCGACGATGAATTATATGAGGTACTACGTGTCGCATGTGCAGCCCATGGAAGTTTCTCGACCTCTTCGGACGAAGCTTTTGTGGTGAGTTGTACATCCCAGCCTTCTACAGAAGGCAAGACACATTCTATGGCCCGAGTTAGACGTCGCTGGTCCCGAAGAACAAGAAGATCTTCGAATCCTCGTGATTGATCTGTGTGACTGTCATCTTCGGGTATGACTGAGTACTCGATAGTCAACGCCTCCCTGTCAATTTGAAAGCGGATCTTTTCAATGGTTATGCCATTGCCATAACCGACAAGTTTGGGAATGCGAGTAGCTCGTTTGGTAACCGTTTTCAGCAGACCTATTATCATCGTTGAAAGCTGCTGAACGACGCTTGAGGAGGATCCAATATTCCACATAGCGCGGAGGTCATGCTGCCAGAAACAAGTTACACGTATTATCCCAGCGGGTGATGATTTGCGCTTCGACTCTGACGGTGGCTGGGAAGGTTTGATATGTTGTATACACCAAGCAAGCACTTCAACCACATCAATCATTGGTTGTGCGAAGGTAGGTCAAGACGTACATGATACATTCGATCTGAGATACGGGGGGGAGGGACGGAGGTAAGCAGGCTCATCCGAAGACCGTGGTAGGGAAGTGGTAATGTCAATAACAGTCGTGGCGTCATGAATTGTCCGTGAAATTGTGACAGCATCTCGAGGACTTGGCCTATCAGCAACTCTTCAGAATATCATTATTTCATCAACACTTACCTCGCAGGCCAACCCAACGTGAAGTTCGTCTTGGATATTCGTGTGTCTTGATTAAACATTTCCACCAAATGAGCATCAACTACTGCAGGGTCCCACTCTTGCCGAAGCTCTGGAGTAGTAAGAACTGCTCTCCAGGGCTCAAGTGTGACCATTTCCTCCTCGGCCGGAACGTCGAGTATGAGTCTGTAGATATCATCTCCGGATTTACTTGAATGTCGATGAACAATGACATTGGATAGTTCTGGTAACGAAGAGACCTTTGCTTTGCCTTTTCTGTTGACTGCAGGATCTACAGATGTCGACACACGCTTCCATTCACTGAAGGAAGCAGAAAGTAAGTGTTTGAAGCGTGTTTCGGCGTCATTTAGTGCATTGCTCCAGGAATCCCTCAATCTATGAACCTCAGTGAGTTGCATTGAGGTAAAGAGACCAACCAATCACTCACTTGGAACCATCCGACATCACCGCTCTTAGACAGAAGAAAACAAAACAGTGTTTAAAACAGCGTGTTCCTGATCACTCTCCCTGGACGGAAGTAGGTTAAATCACGTGACATTCATTCTAAAAAGAGTAATATTCAAATAACAGACAGATGACTTGAACAATTTGAACATGGATAGCAAGTACGACTACTAATAATGACAGATAGATACAATGCAAGAACTCTCTCTACGATTAATCCAATGCCCGTGGAGCTTCCGGTACTACATTATGTATCTGGCCGTCAACCATCTTCCGTCTCCTTTCTCCAACCTTCCAGATAACATCCTTCAATTCCTGAACAACTTCACCTCCAGGACCCCATCTTTCACTAGGAATTGATGATGACTGGTCTCCTGACTGACGCTTTTGACCTCCCTCCTCATTCGCCTTCTTAGCTAGCTGAATCCGTTCCTCCCTACTAAGCTTAGAACGTTCTCGCCTGTAGACACCAGCAGCACCAGAGTCACCTTCATAAACTTGTTCGATTCCGGGAGGCGGCAAGTGTTTGGAAGTGGATGTCAGAAGGAGATGCGACGTAACATCATCCAAAGAGTTGACGATGGCAACGGGGTCGGCAGGGTCGACAGAAAGCTCATACTCTAAGGGAGCCATTGACTCGGGTCTGTCGGATGATTCGTCGCTGGCGTCATGTCCTAGCGTAGGAAGGTCATGAGGGGAAATTTGGGAAGAATTTTCATCTTCAGATTCATCTGAATGTTGACGAGGGGGCGAAATGATATCCAATAAACGTTCCCGTCCTCGCTCACATTCACGCAAAGCAAGTCCAAGTTCGCGCCGAAGTCGCTCATAGGCCTGTAGGGCCGGATGTTCTTCCCTTACGAAAGGTTCAGCGGAGGTTGACAACTGTGGAGTCGTGACTGTGTCATCATCGGCCTCGGACCTATGTCTGCTGGATTTGATTGCAGCAACGCACGCTATTAATTGCTCTCGCGCATCATCCAGAGCAGACGATATTGCTTCTACATGGGTGGCAAACCTACTGAGGTCGCTCCGCATAGGCGCGAACGACTCTCTATGGGAATTTCTATGCCCAGAGGACCATTTCGTCTCATCAAAAGTCAGATCAACGCGTGATGGCCCAGGACTAGGCGTCTCATCATTGAGCCTCTGATCTTCTACAAAGTCCAAAGCCTCCGTCAGTCGTGCACTCGCATCCGCAAATGTACTAGTCAGCAACATCATAACACTCTTCACGTTCTCCCAGTACGTCTCGTCATCTCCTTCTTCTACAAATCGCAGAGCGAGAAGATGTGAGCATGTATACCGTTTCGAAGCTAGAGCATTCTGTAATGCTGTGTTAAGTGATGAAAGAGATAAAGGATGCCTTGGTGCCTGCATCGCAGTAAAACGGGAGGCCGATGGCACGGTCGCGAACTGCGAAGTACGTGGAGAGCGAGCAGGAAAGTTGGTCAATGAACTTGAGGAAAAAGTGGATTTCACAGGAGGTGAACTTGGTAGTGATGTGGATGCTCCTAGAACTTTGAGACCTCCAATCGTACGCGTTCGGCGCAGTCTCAACGCAGAAGGGCCAAATGATTGATACTCTTCTGAATCATGATCATGATCAAAGATTGCAGCTGCCCCGCTTGCATCATTCTCTGTCCCGGATCGTTCTTCTAGAACGCCTGCCAATTGCTCCTCCACGAGGGGGGTAGCCGGAGCACTTCGACTCTGTTGCAAGGTGCTGGTTGTGCCTGCCGTTTGGAGAAGTGCGGAAAGATCCGATCGACGCTTCTCTCGTCGTCTAGTGAGTTGCAGGGAAGGGCTCCCGGCATTGGCCAGATAAGAGTACGAACCATTCCAAGTCGCTCGCTTGTTCTCTACTGAGTCCGGAACAGAGCGTGTGCGGGTTCGTAATTGTATTGCTTCAGGATAAGAAGAGGGTCGAGAAGGAGAGAGGGGAGAAAATGACTTGAATGGCATCGGGGAGGGAGGTGCATACATTTCTGATATCTGTGACAGTTCAGAATGGGATGCAAGTGCTGAAAGTAGTTGGCGAACATTGTCACACTGACTCTGAGTCGTCAACAAAGCAGAATGAAGGGCTATTCTAAGAGTAGAGGCGGGGGAGAATGGCGTTACTAATGTACTGGAGGGAGGTGTCAAACAAGAGTGTGATATCTGTACAGAAACTCCATACTTTTCTTCATTTTTTTCTAGTGTTGTCATGGCTTCTTGGACTGCCGAGTCCCAAACATTTCCGGCTGCTATAAGATCATTAAGTGTATCCAAATACTTTGGCAAGAATATGATGAGAAGGCGGCATTAGAAGATTCCAAAGCACGTACGGGAGTCATATCATACTTTGATGAAGATTCTGGATTGCATATATACAAGAGCAACGTTGAAATCCCGAACAACACAAGACTTGCGAAGTAATAACCGGCACCAAATAAAACAGTAACGAGTGCGAGAGCCAGAAAGAAAGTATAGTATTGATGATCTTGGGGTAAGGAATGAATAGGTCGGTGTGAAATCTCTGAAGAACCGAGGCTTGAATCTCGACTGTGGTGGCCTGGTAAGCGAGGCAGTCGGGCAATATGAGGTTGAAGTAGAGATGGAGAGAGTAGGGGCGAGGATATGACGCTGTACTTGAAACGTTCGACGAAGGCTGAAGAGGACTCTGTGAATATCATGGCGCGTATGGTCTAAATCGAATACAGTGAGCCAGTGGTAGGAATTTGATAATTCGACGACTCGCCTGAGCAAGATCTTTCAGGAAATTAGGACAAGTCTCATGATTTGTGACATCTTCAAAGGGAAAGTTGTCTGTTCTGTCTTCTGGTTGAGGCAAAAACTCGGCCACTCCACCAGGCATTAATTCTGGAGCCTCGCCAGCTTCTGAAGAAATTTCCTGATATTCAAAATTGGTGAAAATAACTTCAAGTGTTGTCTACAAACCTCTAAGATACTGTTCCAATGGATGGTGATCGAATACGGGCTGCGCCATAAGTTGGGAAAGGCGCCAATTAGGTTGTCAAAGAGTCGTGAAGGAATATCGTCGCAGGGGCAGAGAAGATGAAGGAACAGCGATGTGTTCACTGTTGAAGGTCGGAACCAGAGAGAGATGGCCGTAGAAGAAAAGCTGAGAAGTGCTTAGCTAGGATCGTGCACAAAAGACCTGGGCGCCTCTATATTTACGTAATATGTAGCCCCCTTCGTCCCATCCAGTATGATGGCAATTCCTGATTTTCAGGAAATGTCACAAATACGGGAACGCTCGAATATCTACCCAATCTGTGGTAGTGCATACCTCCAGCATCCTGAAGGCTACATCCCCTAGCCTTTTCGCGATCTCGGCTAATCATCTTACCAATCACAACTCAGTTGTCCGCCCACGGATAATCTAATTATGTTTTCGTCGAGAATATGCATGCACCATTGGAAGAGCAAGAAGACACCGAAGCAGTAGTGGCCACGAAGCTCACGTTTCCGACTCAAATCACACAAGATCCTCCATCCCTACTACTCTCTAATGCTCTTTCACAGTCAAAGTACCAGAATAATCTGTCTCACGCTATACAACCAACTCAGCTTTCGAAGTTGTCCCAGTCTCAACTTCAAGTCGCTCAGTTCCTTGACGGAAGGTCCGGGTGTTCGAGCAATATGGTTCTGCATGATCACGACTTTCCCAACTTCTCGATGTCGTGGATCATAAACTCGCCCTGCAGAGGATCTGTCTCCCTTGCGTGGATCCTCTTGGTTTCTCTGCCTGCACCGGTGGCCAAAGACATTGACGGCTTCTCGTCCGAGATACAGGCAGTCGAAGATTTCAACATTTCACCTTATTCTTGGAGCTGCTGATGGGGAAAGTCCTCAGACAGCACCGCGTTCAACGAGGGAGGTGCTTTGTGTGTTTCGCGAGTTTGAATCGAGGTTTTAACATATAAAGCGCCTCTGTATAGTACACGGCTTCGAGGGACCCAATGTAGTCTTCACGCGGTAGCAGTGTATAGTTATTAGGACACGGAGGGGAAGCGAGTTGGAAAGCGTAGGAAAGCGTATACATCAGAGGGTGTAGCGAGACCCTCGGGGACAATTGTGGTGTGAAGAAGATATATTGAACCAGAGAGACCATTACGAGTGATTTTGGCTCTTGCCATTGGGTCTAAGTACATACATAACTTCAACAGCGCGGCGAAAATTGTGGACGTTCTGCCAGTTGTTTAGTAACTATGATACGTATACATATACATGGAAAAATTTCATCCTTTATGTACTAGACTCTACCGATTTACACAGTATTTTCCCTCGTACATATAAGGATAAATCTGGAATGCTGTATGACAACTGAAAACATACCGCAGTATTCTCAATTTTTGAGCGGGAAGACCTCTGAAGACCTCCGATTGACATCGCATCTGTATCTGAATTAGTAGGCTTCTTCCAATTGCTACTTCCACATCCTTGACGCGTCCGTATTAAGCGTAGCGCGCAGCAATGCAGGCCCGTCGATTCAACGAGTACATAGAAATAAGATAGCGAAATTATCTCGCTCCTATGGGATATGTTAAGTATATTGATAATTAGGTCTCAAAACCATCGAGTTGTATCTTGATTATCCGTACGTCGTCGAAGACTAATTGTCCGTTGGTCTCCACTATGTCGCCAGTCCGCGTCACCCTGTCGCCGGCGTCGGCGTTTCCATGTATAGTATCCGAGGGATGCGACAGGGGGCTCCTGACCGAGAAATCCGATGAAATGACTATATGAATGTCCGAATCAATCCGAAATTAAGCGAAATCAAACCTCACCCCCTTAGTCATCAGAGCCGGACTGCCGATGTCTGTCTGCTTTCATTGACCAGAGCTGAGTTCATTCCGTGTTCAGTTGGAGTAGTTCTATAGTTATCTACCTCTAACACTCTTGTGAATATTCCATTATGTACAAGCAACCCATAACATTCATGATTTTGATGACTATTAGAGTTGTGAGCTTGAACAGAACTATGATATCGTACCTGCTGTTGATGCTCGAGTTCATCTTTCTCAGCTTTTCTTCTCATTTTTTCCCTTCTATTCTTTGCTATATCACATTGTTTCGACCCTCGATGCCCTCGGAATGAAGTTAAGTTGCCATTCAAGGTTGTACCCTTCTCACTTCCACAGAGATCGCATACGACGTAGTATGTACGCGGTACAATAATCGATGGAATGTCTCTGATGTGGCTGCCAGGTGGCTGCCGTCCATCGGCAGGATACCGGACCGGCTTCAAAAAGTGTACCCCCCTGGTTATAGTTGATATTCGTCGCTTACACAACGTACCCCCCCTGGGATGCGACAAGTGTCAAGCCGAGCCCGAGACCCACAGTAAGACCCACAGCGTCTGTAACTAGTTGCTTATGACTAGAATCGGAAGATTGTGAACTTGGAGTAGATGTACCAGAAGGAAGTAGAGAAGACGTAGATGAAATGAATGAAGGGAGGGAAATTGTGGGAGGCAAAGTTGGTGTTGGTAAGACCGATGAAATTGAGCTTAAGTAATAAAATAATCAGCATTGCGTGAAGAGCGAGATGACGGGAAGAGCCGCATACGAGTTATCTGTCACCGTTATTGTGATAGTCCCGATGTCTAAATGGGAAGGCAGTTCACCGGGTATGAACGTCAAACTCAGCGTCGTAGTCTCATTCCCGGGTAAATTGAGAATGGCAGCTGCACCGATGCTGGAATTTGCTGATACGGAAACTGATGTATTCCCGGCAGAGACAGCGATTTCAAACGACGCATTCGAAGACGGTGAAGTAGAGAGAAACAGCGCCGATGCTAGATCGGGCATGGAGGTCAATCAATTGATTGACCAAGGAAAATCCAACCATCCTCACCGCGAAATTGCAAAAACATTTGGGGAATGATATTTGCACCGAAAGGGCCTGCACCTTCAGTTGACACTATCGTTCCTCCTCCAGACGATGAAACTTGCCTAGAAGAAGAGATGAAGTTGAAATATCAGTGACCCATCGATTAGCGCTCACCATCCACCGAGGCAATTGGGGCTAAAGGAATCAGAGCCAGTGACATTACAGACAAAGGGAGTATAATCGATTTGCGGTGATGTATTCGCTATTGAGGTATTCTGCAAGGATCCACCTTGCTGAGCTAGGCATGGGATGATGGATGGGAAATAGAGAAACGACCAGGTCGAGATGCTGCATAGATGATGTGACCACCGTGTCAGCATTCAATGCAGTGAAGGGGACGGGGGGTTATAAATCAATGAAAGAGTCCCCAAAACGGATGTCAGAGTTTAAGTATGTAGTAGGGGGAGGAAGTAATTAATTAATAAAAACTGTTTGGTTACCAGTGGCAACAAGGAGAATTCGACTTTCTGATACTTAGGTGAAGAATTTTATCGTGGGTCGTTGATATAAGTAGTACGCGGTCCAAAACGGCAGTAGAGAGCCACGAAAAACCAAAGTGGGTAAAGTACATACATATCTCAAACAGATTGGGATTGTCAGACGATAGGGGTACAAGATTGGCTTAGCGTTTCAGGTGGCCTCAGGTTGTTCATGTGAGCAAGGAAGGAGACAGAGATGAAGTAGGAAGTAGACTGACAGTAGATTCCAGGTCCCAGAAGATAAATGTTAACGTCGAAATTTTCCCTAACCCAACCTTTCAGAGGTGGGCACACTGCGAGATTCAAAGAGAATCCTGGAAACCAAATTTTGAAGGAGTTCGAAGCCCGTAAAATCAAGCGTAACTCACCTTTGCTACAGCTTGCTCTAGTTTGCTGCTCAGGGAATCCAGTGATCTTCAGAATGATTGGATGGAATCAAGTATGATCGTAACCACTCATATTGACAGACGTCTGAGAAGCCAGATGGAATATCACCATGCTATTGGTGGATATGTATGGGCCTCAAGGACTCGTTAAAGAGATATGTACATGGAGATTAAGCTCAATGCACGTTATGACTGCGTCCTTTCCACTAGAAGGGAAGCCCTCAACGTGAAGATGGATGTAACAAAAGGGCCCAAAGCCAAAGATGACATGTACGACGTACTGAAACAGATGACTATACTGACAGAGGCTTAGCCATATGATGGCTTGTGATGCATGTAGTATTGAAAGTAGGCCAATTTTGCATAAGCGTCGCAGAAACAACTCAACTTAACAGAGAAGGGCATTTGCTCAGACCAGAGAGATTAGAATGAGATCCGACACGGCGGGCTGGACGTTGACCGGGAAAGCATAATCTGAAGAGCACGAGGACTTCAGGAGGTAAAGATGGAAAGACGATTGAATTCGCAGTCGTATGTATCTAGTTTCTGAACGATTATACAGCCTTGTTCTTGACCATCTCTAAAGTTCGAGAATTAGACCACTAGGACATACGAGACGGAATGCAAATCAGACTTACGCTCAACCTCTGCGACCGCCGATAAAAGGAGATCCCGCTGTGTCTTCTCGTCCTTTAAGTTGGCCAGGACCTTGTCAATGACAGATTTGGTGAGATCCGCCTGCTCACTCTCCTTCTGCTGTTGCTCGTAGCGTACCCAACTGTCAAGGACAGACTTGAGCTCAGATGCCATAACCACCTTCTGCTTTTGAACGAATGCCTCAGCCTCAATCTGAGCGGTTTCCTGTGCCATTTGTTCAGCAGAAAATATGAGGAAGTGTTTTTTCCGAGAACGCACTTTGGAAAGAGCAAAAAGGCTTTGGGTGAGGGCAACAACATCCTTCATTTGGCCAACAGAGTCGATACGGTCTTTGACAGCTTGAGTATGCTCTGCCCGAGCTGTATCCAAAACACCTTTGATTTTTTGTACCTGACTTTCGGCCCAGTTGGCGTAGGGTTCACGGAGAGCCTACGGCAAAAACATCGAAATTGATAAAAAGATTGTCATATATAACACGCACCTTGGCCATGAAAGCAAGGAACATAGCAGAGCCAATGAGAACGATAGTTTCCTCATTCACCACATACAGCTCCTGAGAGATTGCAGCAGCAGCCAAACCGGTTCCAAGAAGAGCGGTACCAGTCTTCGTGATGAGGTTAGGTGACGAAGGAAGTTTGTTAATAATTTCCGAGGCGCGTTCGGAAGGAGGTGGGGGATTGGAGGAACTCATAGAACGCCTAAAACCGAAACATGAGAACCTCAAAAAATAGGCGTGTTACAACACGTACGAAGGAAATGCATTTTGTACTGCAGCGACCACCCTGGGCCGAGCTAGTTAGGGAGGTCAACGTCACTGTCGATGAACAAAACATTCCTAGTCCCACCTGCAGCCCTCAAGTTGCCGACAGCAAGTCTAGAGGCCATAGTTTCAGAAAGAGCGTAAATCGAGGTTGTGGGAACTTTGGCATCCGAAATCGCACGAAGGCGTCTGTTTAGGCGCTTTCGGAAGGCCACGCTTTTGTCTGTTCATCCTCATCTTAAGTACTAATTTGCTTTTCTTTCCTAACAGAATCGTGTACGCATATTAAACGAAAGAATTTATAAAGGTAACTCGACTACAACATTTCATGCTGTATCTTTAGGCAGATTGTACTTGTCTGCGAAAGGATCCCAAGAAGGATCTTCATGCCTTTCATACTCCATCTCTCCCGCAATTTTCTGTGCTTGATCCTTCCCATATACCTCCTCGACAAATGCAAGAGCTGAGTCCATTCCTGCAGTGACACCGGACGCTGTCCATATGTTCCCATCGACGACCCATCGAGCATGTGCTATCCACTTCACATTCGGCCCAATTTCTTTTGTCATCGCCCAACCATTCTTGTTTGATGTGGCACGTTTCCCGTCTAAAACTCCGGCACGTGCGGCTATCCAAGAGCCGGTGCAGATTGTGAGAAGGTACTTGAGGGTAGGGTACGTGCGTCTGACGAATTCAAGCAAGGGATCGAGATCGTCTGCCAGAACACCGTACCCTCCAGGGATAATCAGTACATCGAGGGGAGGAGCATTGGTGAAATCATGTGTGGGCATAACTGATTCCCCAAAGTTTGACCTCAAAGGATTCAGAGAAGGGTCTCGAGGTTTGGTAGAGACTGGCTCCAGAGTTCGAGCGATGATGCTGAGGTTCATCGGAAAACTCAGAGACAGCAGATTGAGAACGTCCAGTGGGCCAAACGCATCCAGCGCCTGAATCCGAATTGATCAATATTCATTTTTATGCGGGGGAATCGCCTACCTGGAACGTCGGGAACACCAACAGCCCAAAATTCACCGGAAGTACTTATACATATAAGTACGTTCTCATCAGCATCGAAGAAAAGTTGCAGAATCTATCTTCACCTTTAGGTTCTGTGCTTTCAGATTTCGTGCTCATAGTGTTCTAAACGGTTGTGGAAAAGACAGAAGAGGTATACATACTATATATACATAAGGAATCCGGACATTGACCTCCGCTTCACATGCTGATATACTCACATCGATATTGAACTTCTTTGTCATAGCAAGCAGAGCATTCTACTCATTACATTGAAGCAAAAGCCTTGGCAAGCTGCGCATCTATAATGCTAATGGCAGACTTGCATGCCTCGTAGTTAAAATTATCCCTCGGTTGATCCCAGGCCTGTGTCCCACTAATGGCAATGACCCGTCCACTATCTTTGCTATCACCCAAGAGCGACTATGGAGATGAATTGATTAAGACCGAAAACTAGATTGATCGAAGCGGGGCACTTACCATGTATTGCTCGACAACAAACTCAACGGTGCACAAGTCGTCTTCACTGAAACCTTTCATGAATTCAGCTGATACTTCCGGTGGACCCGCAATATTTGTCGCTAATATATGTATAACTCAGTCCTGACACACTGAATATCAATATTCAAAAACTCACCAGCCATGCTGGGAGCAACTGTTTCACGGTGAGACTAACCCTTCTAATACTATCTTTAGATAATCACTTACTAGTGTTAATAGTTATACCCTTCTCTGCATACATTATAGCTGCACTCCTAGTGAAATTCACGATCGCTGCTTTGGCAGAAGCATACATTGGCATGATCGCACTGGGGAAAAATCCATAGACAGAAGCAGTCATAAGGAGCTTTCCTCTGAAACCGTGTTTGTTTGTGCTTTGACGTTCAAACGTCTGCAGTGCCAAAGCAGCTGTGTAGAGCTGCCCGATGAGATCAATATTCAACGTCGTTATATCGGGCTTGATTATCGGACGTTCTGCAGCAGTCACTGGGTCAAAATTGGGAAGCCAAGGGCGCTCTGCAATCCCTGCATTAGCGAAAACTAAAAGCAACACAAATATCAGTGATCGTTACGCCGAAATAGGACAAGAAACAAGTCACAATAATCGATGTGGCCGAATAATTCTTTTCCAGCCTCATATGCAGCATATTGCTGTTCCCAGGAAGTGGTATTGGCTTTTCGGGCAATAACAACACTTGGTAGAGGTTAGCAAGTTGAATCCGTATCATTCTGCGAATCGCACGTTTTGCTAGCTTTGTTGTTCAGCTCGGATGCTACGTCGTCACACTGATTTATGTCAACCATAATGACTTTAGCACTGTAGTGTCGATCATGGCTGCTCAGTAAAGTAGTATATGCGGTAGAAAGGTGATCGAAATCCGCACCCCTTCGAAACAAGTGCCTTCGTTATGGCCAACCCGAATCCTGTTTGCGGTCAAAACTGAATCAGTGCACAGAGTCAACCGAATCAGCCAGAACAAATCGCTACAGACCTGAAGCTGCACCTGTGACGAACGCAACATCTCCATCTAGTTGTAAGGAGGTCATTGAAGAATAACTAACTTTGAATGACCAAAGTAAAGCTGTCTTATAACCGACGAATTTTCTCCGATCTGTGGGAGCAGAACGGACTGGAATGGAATTTACAATTACTCACTATCAAGCGGGATCCCCGCAGAGCCCCGCAGACTTTACTTAAGCAAAGAACGGAAATATCCATCGATGAACACCAAAAGGAGTTCAATATAAGCAGTTTTAATATCTGATTTGCATCCCTGGGATGATTTACCATCGGGACCGGCTGTTCCGTCCTGGGAGAACACCTACGGGTGGAGCTTACTATGCTTTACTATGACTCGAGGGCTCCGGACCATGAACACCCATTATTGTGACGAGGTTCAAGCTAACACCTGTCGGAGGAGGTCGGAGTCGCATGAGGTCCGGGAGTTGTGGTTGTAAGACTTAGACACCTAGTGACCACGCTTCATGATATAGTAGTGAGAGGTACACCACCAAGGTCGTCGCGGTTCCCCGCGCCTTAGTACTAGATTTACTTACTTGCGGTTAATGAAGAGTTTTTAAAAAAAAAGTAGTAAGGGTACGTAGACGACGGTTACGTAAATATCACTTCCATTTTAGGAATGGGACACACCATCTTTACTCCGATTTCTTTTCCATCTCTTTTGCATTCTGTTGAGCGTGTCGGTAATCCCTAATGGAGCCAATCTCAACACCACACAATCTTAGGACAAGCAGAGACAAAGACAAAGACAACTCGCCCAGTGGAAACGAAAAAGCGAACCATGGCGGCGACGAGAAGGGCGTCAAGGTTAGCTCTGAACTGGCTTCCGTGGACGCCACTTGACTCCTTTTACGTCCTGGCTACATAAGTTACTGAATATATGCTTAGACGTCACGGACGACGCGTTATAAAGACAAGTTCGTGTCCCTTTGGCTTTCAAGTGAATCTACTAAAAATGGACTATAGGTTCACTGCTCTCCGGGACAAATACGAACATATCATAATGGTAGGTGATCTGTAATCTCTGAGCGAGCAGCTTTGAAATCATTATAGCAACAACAAAATTATCATCGGGACCTGGAAAATGCTAATGCCAAGATGAAGAAGATGCAAGAGGAAATAGAGTACGCCTGGAAGATCTTCATCCTTCACCCTCCGTCTCAACTGCACTCTTAGCTTACTTCTTGAGGCTTTGATGCCCACAACGCCTCCGGCACCTTCAACCTCTTACTTCGATAGACCTACCGAGCATCACGGTCGGTTGCATGACATGAACTCAGAAACGCAAATGGAAAGTCCCAGCCAAGTCGTTCCACGAGAGCATCCTGCGATTCGAGATAATTTGCGTCCCACGCGTCCTCAGGCTAATGGAAATACCAACGGAAATATGACGAATGGTGCTCAACGTTACTCGGCTGAGGTGTGTTTTGCTTTGTCTCATTCATGGAAACGAACTAATCTCGTACGTAGCCAGAACTAGAACCCACTACTTTATATCCTCGCGAGAGTAATGGACGTATCCCTATCTTATGATCGCAGGCTTCACTTACCTAGTCCAATTCAAGCCTTATCTTCATGGTCAATTATTCCAATTTTCGCAATCGCCGTTCGTTATCTGTATGATCCACAGTACTGGGATCTGATGTCCCTCGATAAACGTAATCTAATGAACAACCTATACTCTACAAGGCATCAATTCCATTCCCGTCGTGAAAACTTGGTTGCCATTTTTTTCGTCTTCCTGTGAGGCATGTTATCCTTTGTAGTACATTAGAGTGTTGCTTACCTCCATCGCCCTCGGAAGCAATTACATTGTCAACACCCATCACAAAAGCACTCGAATCAACAAAATGGGTCCTTCGTCGTCAAGTCTATATGTCGATTCTCTAACGAGTAGTACATATATAACTTCCGGAGCCCCGTAGCGGGGATGTGTGACAAGCCCGATTCGCCATACAGTTAATCAAGGCCGAAGTGAGCGCCGCACGTACATTTGGACACTGGTAAGCTTATTTCATTCGCGACCCAGGCCGATACTGAGGCATACAATAGAACGACTCCATCGTCAACCCGTCACTTTAATCCTTCGCTGCCGTGGATCCTGTGTGATCCATGGTGCGAGCAAGGGCCACCGTGACGAAGGTACAGGTTTCTGAAGCTTCTTCACTACTGAACCTTGATTACCTGTATCAGAGGCTGTCACGAAAGATTTCGGAATGTATAAAGCGACAGTACGTTAAGCTAAACTAGAACTAGAAGGTGCTAGAGAATGGTCAGAGGGTGCGACGATTTGCTAGTTTCAAGAGGCAACGACCAACTTTGCGAAATTCATTCATAGCAAACTTAATGTGCTTGAGCGCCCGGTGAAGCATCGTCATCGCGGAGACTTGAAACCAACAAATAGTTCGATGGTACCTGTTTATAATTATTCATCTGTGTCTTGGGAGGACTAAGGCTACATGTAACCGAAGCACCAGACGTAAGTAAGTGCCCAAATATATCAGTGAAATGTATCACTTGGTGTCAAATTTCACTCGGTGCAATGTGAACTTCTCTTGTTGTCTATCACTCAAAATTATACAGACATTTTCAAAGGAATATGAATGTATTTCTCCATTATCTACGTTAGTTGATAGAAGGAAGATACCTATGTGCCGGTGGACTGCTATGAAGGTAGTTATACCACTGGCAGCAGGTCGAGGTTGTCCTTTGAGTCTGAACAGAACTGGAGGCAGACAAAGATGGCTGTGGCCCAAGCGAGTCCTTGTCATCTTAATTCAGTTCCCATTCAAACTGAAAGGGAGTTAGTTTACCTGCTGCTCAATATTCCCAACCTCCTTTAACCTGCCTTTAAAGCAGTAGAATGTGAACTGCCCTGGACGCCCCTGGTGTCAGCGTCACTGCTTAAATTGCTGTCAAGTGCTTTCTGGCCTTCCAGCTGAATATCCAGTTTTTGTATAACTGCTGAATAGTATCAGGATCGATGCCAGAAGCCCCGTTTTTCCAACTGCAATGAGGCCATCGGTCTTTTTCGTAGGATTGCAAAAATAAGCAGAAAATTCAAATGTCCCAGATCCAGTTTCTAGCTTTGTTACTGCCAAATAATCTTGAATCCTGTTGGTCAGTAGGAATGGAAATTTACCACCACTACAATCATTTGAGTCTTCGTGGGCTCGAAAGCAGCGCATATACTCAGGTATCTAGCTGCACCCCCAGGTCATCGTCCTAGAATAAAAGCAAGATGAACACGTTTTTCGAAAGTATTTTCAAGTCTTCAAATTGAATCCACAATTGGGTCTGAGCAGTGGCGGGATAGGGCGGGATATTACGAGCTCTGTGCTTGGACGAGGTCTAGAAGATCTTGAGCGGTAAGTCCTGCCAGTTTCGTATTAGGAAAATACAGTCCAACACGAATGATGCATGAAACTGGCCCATGTGTTCACTTATCGATGTAGAATGATCTGAGGTTAACAATGATAACCTAATCACGACAGGGAACATGAACTATACCATGACAGACATTTTATGTGTTTGCACGCACGATTCAATTCCTTATCGTTCAAGGAGTTTGGATCATTATGAGCTTTGTGAGCGTTTTAAAATGGCATATATCATAGGCGAAAAGTTTTTGGAAAGTTTTTCGGGTTTCGTGATTGATGTTAGAGGCCTAGTCTGGTTGGAGTACGATGTTGGAAGCAGGCAGCCTGAATAAGAGGGTCGCTGGCCTCGGGCACCTGCATTTCTCTATCTACCGGGACGGAGTCTAGGTTTTGCATTGGCCTTTCACGATTGAGATACTGACCGTGATTGCAGTTGAACGTGAACCAGGTGGCAAAAGAGCGATTTAGAGATTTCGAGGGTTTCTTGCAAATATTTATTATTAATTTAAAAACATCGATTCCTTTTTCGTGTCAAAGGAGGCCCGACCGGGCGGTAATCCATAACTGTAAAAAGAAAAACCCCGTCCGTCAACTTGGAATCAAGCACATGACCAATCCGGGCGACAATGATCGGAACAGGGACGTATTTACTTCTCTTCTTAATCCAAGCCGCCGGCCACCACTGCCAGCGCTCATAACTTTTCATTTTCCTTCCTTTCACCTGGACATTCAAGCTGGGCTTTCACGGTGTGCGCTACTCCACCCATATCTTCAATTGGTATTGGACGATAACAGAGCGAGAAACTTCGTGGAGAACTACACAGGAGCAATCTTTTGGTCTGGATAAGATTCAATATTGTCGTGGCTTGCTCAGCAGACATTATAGAAAAAACAAACACGCTGTGGAAAAATCCTCGTAACACGCAGGACTGGGCAAAATCTGCCACTGGACTTGGTATTTCGCTTAAAGTCTTGCAAAAATTATCATGGATAGCCCGTACGATGAACATCCGCCTCACTCGTTGCCTCCTCCAGCCCATCTTTCTCATCTCTCCCGTAATCTTTCCGGGCTCAGTATGAATCCTGGCTCTTCTGCGACCAGTGCTACACATCCACACCATCCTGACAGGCCGTTTGGACTACGAATCTCTACATCCATATCGAATCCAGGATCACACAATCCCAGTCCAAATGCTCCGCCTTCGAGGAAGCGAAGTTTTACTTCTAATCCTCCATCGTTGCCTTCACTGTCAACGACAGTCATGGTAGGAGCTGGTCTGGTTTCCGGCTCAGCTACACCTCTGTTAGAGGAAGACATATCAGTACGAGGGATGGATCTGGATCTGGATTATGACAAGTACGACAAATACCACGAACCAAAATATGAAAAGTACGACCCAGATCTACCTCCGAACAGTGGCTTGACCAGCGCACCACCCAGTGCGTTACCGATCAGCGCAAGTGGAAGTAGAGGAAGTATCACACCTAGTGGAGGTACTAGCCCTATAGAAGGAGGTAGTGGTAGCGGTGAGGAAGGAACTGTGAGCTCGACAATGGGTCACAGCAGAATGGGTTCCGTCCATGGTAGTGGAATGCTTACAGGAATGGGTTCGATGGGTAAGCCCATGCCAACGAATAACTTTGTCACGAAGCTGTATCAGTGAGTGCGATTTTCCCTTCTTTGTTTTAGCTCACAACTTGACAGGATGATAAATGATCCAAAATCTGCCCATTTCATTGCTTGGACCGAGCACGGTACTTCTTTCGTTGTTTCAAATGTTGGCGAGTTTAGTAGAAGCATTCTGGGGAGCCATTTTAAGCATAACAACGTGAACATCATTACTTTGCTTGCTAATCATTGCTTCTACCGAATTATCGCATTAATTGGCTTCTTTGCAATAGTTTTCTTCGTTTGTTCGCCAACTCAACATGTACGGTTTCCACAAGATAAACCGTACTCCGCGTGCACAAAGGACAAGCTCGGATGCGCAGGCGAGTTGAGCTTTCTCAAATTTCGGACCCAGTTAACGAATACCCTAAAATTAAACTTCATTGCTGTTCGTTAACAATGTGCGCCACATTCATCGATGACTCTTTGCATCCGATGGTTTCGGGTGTTTGTTATAGACATGGGAGTTTTCGCACCACAAATTTCTTCGGGGTCGTCCTGATTTACTCGATGAAATCAAACGGAAAGCATTGCTCGAAGGGCAGGGCGGTATTAGCGTTGGACCTGAAAGTGTAAGAGCGAGGGTCGAATTGCCTGGGGAGGTAAGTGTTGTACTCATCGTGTCGAAGGACTTGGCTCAGTGAGCTCTGATTTTTCTTTCCTAGGTTGCATCTCAACTCGGATCAATGAGAGAAGAATACAGACGGGTGTGGGAGGTTTTAATGGCAGAACGGAGGAAAAACGAGCGTCTTACGGGACTCTTAAGGTCCTTATGGGATGTGGTCGGGAAAGGGTTTCCAGGAAGTAGTGAGTTTGCCTTTCCTTAACTGCGGAGCGAGAAAGTCGTCATTCTTCAATTTGTCCACGCTATGTGCCTTTCTCACATCGCTCTCAGTCCCCCCTTTTCCGGTAGACCTCGTTGACGCATCTCCTGATATCGGCCATAGCAGTCCATCCATCGGCGCTGGGACTATTACCAACCCTAACGTGCACAGTTCAATGGGCGGTGCTGGGTCAAGTAATGGTCCTTCTAGTCCCAACATCTACATCACCTCGCCAACAGCCACTTCTGGACCTAGGTATCAAACGCCGATATCTGCACTTGGCCATGCACATAGCCAAAGCAATCACAACAGTATAGGACATAGTCCTTTCGCCTTCACATCTCCAGGATCCAGCCCTACTGCACCTGAATTTGGAGCGAATATACATCAACCATTTTCTCAAGGGCATCACCATGGACAGCTTGGACACCAGCAGCATCCGTCGATGAGCAGAGCACACTCCTTCCATCATCTGCAAGGTCACGCTGGGCCCTTTGATTCCTCTAGAAGTGGATCCCCCATTGGAGCCGGCGGTCAGCCTCACTCCTCGTCAATAACTGGTGAACGAGGCTCAGACATGAACCTGGAGATGTTTGATGATATGTCTCCTGCGGGGCAGTCGGGTGACGGTATGAACTCTGCTTCCAGCTCCAGTGCAAGCGTAAACCTCACTGGCTCAAGTTGCGGAGAAGGGCATAGCCCTGATGAATCTAGTACCAGCGGATTATCCGCTCGTCACGGAGATGGACCTGGAGATGAACCTGGTTCTCAACCAGTAACGGGACGGGGTAGTGCGAAGAGGCAAAGGATGAACGTTCTGGATACAGTGTCTTCCAGTACCCACAGCCACGAACAGGAAATGTTGATGAATGGGGTTTTCGGAGGGATGAATACCAATATCGGCTCGGTTCCGAGTATGCTTGGGGGCATGAACAATTCACAAATGATCAATGTCGGAAATATGAATGGAAGTTCAGCTTCATCCGATTCTTTGCTCAGTATGGAGAGCGGCATGGCCAACATGAATGGTCATCCTCTAAACATGTCCCTCAACAATGCTTCACTCTCCCCACCTGACAACCCCAAACGCTTTTCTACACGCGCCAGAAGCGATTCTGCGCCCTTATATCATCAGCAACATCTGTCTGCATCGCCTTCCTCATCATCTGTATCACCCCAGGGATGGGGTGGTGTTGGTCGTCCAAGGAGTGGCAGTGGACTAGGCGTTCTGGGAAATCCTCCACACGGCCAATACGGCGGAAGTCATCTGCAACGTGGTTTGACAATACCTAGCATATCTATGCCACGAACTGGACTGAATGGAGTCGGAGGGATGGGGGTTCAGACTGTGCCCAGCAATGTGCAAGGACAGAGTAGATAATTGAAACGAACAAACACGGTCTCAAATTTGCGCTGAGCTTTGCCGACACCGAAGTGTCCAAAATTAATCCCCCTGTGTAGCCCGACGGCACAACTAAAAGCAAATGACACCATCTTCAGAAACGATAAAAATTGCGATTCGCATACTCCGTTTGACCAAATTGTACTTGTACAAATATCATCATCTCGGTGTCTCTTGAAGCCTTCTCATCTTGGACCATAAAAGGGACAGTCTCTCGTTGTTGTATGCTAGTCTCCTTCCTTTCGTGTTTATTCGCTCACATTCTTTTGAAAACCATATATTTCCTTTCGGCTGTACATATTCCCTTTTATGACCATACTATTTAGTGAAACTCACATTCATTGTGGATACTTGTCTCTTTCAACATTTATTCTCTGACGTCGCTCTTTCCAAAGTAGATATCTTCAAGTCTTGGAGTGCATATTTCCCGTTTTCGCCCGATCTTGATGCTGATTCTCATTATCATTTTATAGCTTTCTCGAATCACCAATGGATTCATTCTCCTCACACTCTGCTATCAACACCTTGTCATTTTCCTGTTTAGATTCTATCTATTCCTTTATATATCTCGGAGCCCGATCCCTGTTCTTTATTGTTCACCGAGTTGTCTTTTGACAATTCTTCTCTCGTTTTCTTTGCTATTGAAATCACTGCATCCCTCTTCAAAATCCAACTCAAAATCACTTACCTCTCATCTATTCCCACACTGTTCTATTACGATTTCTGGTCCACATTCCATAGAGTTGAACTTGTTTTCAAAGATCAAATGTCACAACTTGAAAATAGCCTGGATGAAAATTTTTCAGAAATTTTCCTTCTACATAGCAGTCACCATGAGTCAGTGTAAAAGATACGTCACGTGGTATCCCTTTGCGCTTTATCTTTTTGAACTTGAACTTGAGCTTGAGCTTGAAGTCTTAAAAGATGGCACCTATGTCACTACTGAGCTTGCCTCGCTCTCCGCTTGTACACGGGCTCGTTTCTGCTCTTTTATCGTGCATTTCTCTTCCTCGCATTGGACTTCGTTTTGAGAATCATTCAATGCACATCAGCAAGAGGGCTGATAGTGACATTCCTGGATACGCACATATATTTTACCCAGTCCTCATCGTATTACTAGTCCTGCTGTCTGGATTGTTTGCCGGCCTTACCCTTGGTGAGTTTGCGGGTTTAAATACATATATGCGTTATTACCCCCCCTCCCTCTGCTCGTTTAACCTTTGAAACACCGTTCGCAACCAGCAGCGTAATGGCTGACATTTCTTCTATGAATAGGGTATTTCAGCTTGGATCAAACGCAACTGAATGTCTTGAGTGGTATGTGTCTCCACATCTTCATCAGATAAAACTAGTGGTCCAATCTTTGCTTACAGTTAGCGGTACACCGTACGTGGAATCTGGTTCAAAATCAACGCTCCTCAACCTTACAGTAGAGATCAACGCAAATACGCCAACCAGATCAAGCCCATTCGCGAAAACGGGCATCTGCTTCTCGTCACACTTCTCCTCGCAAACATGATTGTTAACGAAACATTGCCCATCATAGCCGATCCAGTCCTCGGCGGAGGAGTTCAATCCGTTGTTGTCAGCACGGTGCTCATCGTCATGTATGCGAGATGCCGAATCCAATCTTATGTTCACTCACAAATAAATGGTTTGTGATAGATTTTCTGAAATCATCCCTCAGTCATTGTTTACGAGACATGGTCTATATCTCGGTGCTACAGGAGCCGGGCTAACCAGAGTGCTAATATGGGGACTAGTAAGGTTTTGTGCTTTGAGGAGAGTCAGGTCCACTGATTTCATTACTTTTCCCATATGTCAGGGTATCGTTGCCTGGCCGGTGGCCAAATTACTGGACTGGATCCTTGGCTCAAATCATGGTATCATATACCGTCGAGTAGGTAAGTAGTAAATGAGTTCCTTATTTTTCTCTCTTTTGACGCGGGCCCCAGAGCTGAAGGAGCTTATCGCAATGCACTCCTCAACGTCGGCGCACGGGGGTGATCTGAAGACTGACACAGTGGCCATAATCGGTGCCACACTAGATTTACAGGAAAAGGTCGTCAGCCAGGTATGCCCTCTTTAGTCGCTCTGTTGACTATTTCCATGACCACCTTTCATAGGCCATGACTCCACTATCAAATGTCTTCATGCTCTCAATTGATGCAGAACTCAACTTTGATCTCCTGAAGAAAATCGTCAACACCGGCCATAGTCGGTGTGTAGCGCTTGAAGTCGATCATAAACGAGGCTTATGCTACTTTTCGATCAGTATACCAGTATATGAAGAACTCGACATTCCCGTCAGTGTAAAGACTGTCGAAGTAGGACAATCGGGCCCATCGATTCAAAAGGTACAAAAGATCATTGGCATCTTACTGGTGAAGCAATGTGTCTTGTTAAATCCAAATGGTGATTTAGAATGAGATATATTGATTATACTTGCTCACTGACCATTGAAGATGCAATACTTATCCGCGATATGCAACTAAACAAGGTTCCATTCATCCCGCAAAATGAGTCCTTGCTGGGTATTCTTGATAAGTTTCAAGAAGGTCGTTCCCATATGTCTGTCCTCTTTTTATCCCTTATAACTTCATCTCAGTTCCATTCTCAGGGCCATCGTCAGTCGCTTTAGCGTTCAGAAAGCAAAAAGTGCCAAGAAAGCGGTGAAGCAAAGTCTGGCGAGGAGACTGAAAGAACGAGTCGGAATAAACGCTAGTGATAGTGACCACAGCTTGAATGGTACTGAGACAGATATCGAAGATGTGAAGATTGATGTTATGCATGCTCCGAGCCAGCATGAAGTTTTCAAGAGCACCGCTTTACCACCAGCCGAACCTCAGACCAATATCAGTGAAGGCGAAATCTTTAGCGTAAGGGAAGGAAGACCGAAACGCAAGGCGATTATCAACCGAGATGACATCGAACTGGATAAAGTGGAATCCGGAATTGGAAAAAATACAGGACCAGATATGTCAAATTTGATGACCAGTATGTCCCCCGACGTTGAGTTAACGAAGGACCCCTGATTATACACTATGATCCCAGACAGTGGTTCGGACAAGACACCCCCCCAAATTTGGTCTGTAGCCATAGGAAAATTTGGACAAAAGACCGCCATGGGCGGCAGCCAGAATGAAAAATTCGGACAAGACACCCTAAAATTTACCATAAATTGCACAAGAAAATTCAATGAACAAAATATACAACAGTTGCACTCTGCCAGCGTCGGAAAATTTGGGCGCTTATGCCATGGCCGGAGGGAAATTCGGACACAAGTCCCTCCCAAAATTCTACTTTTGGTTCGGACAAAATCCCTCAGGATCAGGCAAAAATTTCATATGGGATCATAGGGTATAATCAGGGGTCCTGTTAACGAGTACTGAAACGAATGAGGTATGCGCGCTGATTTCTTTTGACAGGAACCCATCGCTTACCTTTCATACCAGTTGTCAGAAGATTCAGACCCGGCAATTATGCCTCTTGGTATCATCACACTTGAGGACGTTTTAGAAGGTACACGCCCCCTTATGTTCAATTCTTGATCAGCATTCTTATGGTGCGTCGCTTAGAGCTTATCGGGGGAGAAATATACGACGAATTCGATGCGGGAGGAGCACACGGAGAACCTTATATTCATCAATGTTCAGGCCTTGCACCAAATGTGCAGGTTTCCAAAATTCCTCAAGGCCCCATTCAAAAAACACTTGCTAATGTCAAAAGCCTCAGCTTCTTCCGATCCCGCAGTGTACCTCCTTCCCTACCCGACGAAAAGGAAACATCCACTTTCACCGAAGCCACGATTTCAAAAGCGGGAATGGACAATCTCAATCAAGCTAAACAGGATGGAAACCAGCGCAATAATGTGATCAAAACAACCAATATTTCGGGTTCCCCTCTTGCAATTGAGGCGCTTCTTTTGGACCGCAAACGACATCTGGTCGCGGCCTCCACCTGGACAGCTGGCTCCAGCGGCATGAATCGTATCGTCTCCAAAGGAAAATTCAAGAGTGGGCCTATCAAAAAGAGTTACAGTCACCCAACAGAGCTGATTGGCACGGCTCCACTGGGGGCATTTCCTTCTGTTGTCTACTCTCCTACTCGATCGCAAAGTTGGAAGAAAAAGGTGGTCGAGGGACGACCTGATGATGATCTAGACCTTACCCTCGTGAAGACGTTGACTGACCATAGCAATGATGGGGTCCAATCGCAATTTTGAAGCTTGTATTTTTTCTTCTTGAAGAATGACGGTCCGATCATGAAGGTCTGGCTTTCTTCGTATTATTGGACATTGGACCTTGCTACATATATCTCTAAATTGATTAACTATAGTACCTAGGCCTAGTCATATCATATCGATATATACATACAACATCTGCTGTACATACATCTTATATCTTAGTCTTTTTAAGAGTTACATGTAAATACAAAATTTCGCCATTCCCACGTTATTCTCTCTCTTCTGAGCATATACGACAGACCAGCTCCAGGCTACTTGTGGTGATTCGTCCCATTCTTTCAACATGCTCTGCATAAGCTCCCCGAACTCCTCTTCAGATTGTAATAGTTTTTGCGCAAGCATTCCAGGTTTCAAGGCAAGGAAGAACCATTCCATGAGCGTCCTGTGATTAAATTCCTCTTCGTGTCTGTGGGCCGAAAGGGAGACGGTATGTGTCTGCACATTCGTAAATCCTGTTTTAGACAGTTTACGGCCAAGGACCTCTACGATATCGTGCACCAGTCCATTCTTCGCGAGGAGATCCCGTACGGCTGCAAACATTCGTTCCGTATGAGGGCCAATATTCGTCTTCAAGGGTATATTCGGCTCGATACACTGGAACCAGCCACCTGGAACCAACACTCGATGAATTTCCTGAATGGCCTTCTTCCACTCCTTTCTTGTCAGACCCCCAATCAACAGACGCTGATTGACTATCTTGAACCGCTCCGTCCATTCAGCTGGGAGGTTGGTAATGGAACGTTGGAGAAACGATACATTAGACGGAAATTCCTGGGGGAAAAGACGTGTGTGTATATCGATGCCGATGAAAGAAATAGTCGGCGGGATAGTGTCAGCTAGAGAAAGGAGCCAGATCCCTTTGTAGAATGGAGCAGCGATTAGACAAATCTTAGTCAACGTCGAGAAGAATCATAAGTACCAGTCCCTGTACCGCTCTCAAGTACTTGGTCACCGTGTTCGACCTCCGCTGGCGCAAAAATGAGCTTTCCGTCGCAAACTTCGCGTGTCAGTAGCTGATTTTGCAGATTAAGTCTAAATCCGAGAGGGGGAGGAGGGGAGGGGGGGGGCATGAGTTAGGAATATGACCTTTCCCAGTTTTAACAGACCTGGTAATCTCAGAGTCGTCTGAGGGAAGAATATAATGCGACTTGACCATTAGCGCTTTGAGTGGCACTTCAGCTTCTGTGGTACAGGGTTCGTGAATCATTTCGAATGAACTTCGAGGGATAAGAACGGGTCCAGCACCGATAATTTATACTGACGTTCCCGGTGGCACCGTACTAACCCAACTCTACATAGTTTGGAATATTGATGCCGTCTGAAATAAGCGATTTTCTAATCCGATAGTTCCCTCGAAAATTACATTTCACGTAAGTTTGTTCTGGAGTGTCTTATGGAAGTACGGGGCCCGATCCAGCTTGATTTCAAGCTAGGTCACCCCTGAAACTATGCAACGACGTCCAGATGCCTCGATTGGCCTTCCCGTTAATCAAACAGATGTGAAACGACTCTGGAATTCGTGGGGCACTCGGAGAGACCATCACTGTGCAGGGTACTTGGTGAATTTTACTTACAACGAGTTCAGGAGTTCTGAAGTTTGAGAGACCCAGAACTTAATAACACATCGCGTACTTTCCATGCGTTCCATAAATCCCTGAAAAGGTTAAAGGTTAAATACAAAGATGAAGTGTGGGTGTGGGACCCTTTGAATTGTTCTTGAGTTTTCGCGTGGACAGTTCGGACAGAGCCTGCTTGTAGTCTAGACTGGGGGTAGCAAGTCCTAGTGAGCCAACCGGATGAGATGGCACACCCGGCAGGTTCCTCGCTAGCTCGCAATAACTATACAGCGATGAGAATCTATCGTGCAAGCTGCTCGTCTCCGAACGTTGATTTTCGCCTCCGAGTCAGCTGCAAACGTATACCAGCGCTCCTACCGGATTGATATCGCCAGAGGAGGTCCAAATACCCACTACAATCGAGGTCCAAAAAATCAACCTAGAAATTAGCGATGTCCGAATTGTCATCACCGTAATTCCTCATGTTGTACCAGTGTCGTCCTCGTGTTGATTCATGTTCAGCAGTTCTGGCCTCATGGCCCACATAGGAGGTGGCTTCAGAAATTGTCCAACATCACCTGTTTTTCCCCCTCTGCGCTCCTTGTAATGAGCTATTCATAGCATGGCCGAGCTAAGTATTCCGAACGGCAAACTATATGGATGATGTTTTGATGTCGAACTTGTATCAGACGTCGACCTCTCACCAAGACTAGCCCGATTGCAAGCACTTTCGTCGAGTTGTGGCGTAGAATATCAGGTTGTCTCAGTGAAAGTTTTCAGGACACTCAAGCGCATTTTGAGGACGTTGACAGATGTTGATACTCAGATCTGCAGACGCCGACGGTAGGTAAGTTTTCCATGTCAAAAATCCCCGTTACTGAACTTGTATTCAGAATCTACTACTGCTGCAGGACCGCGAATCTTCAAATGTAAAGGATTTCTAATTGAACTTGGACGCTCCGCTCACAACTTTGGAAAAGCTACCAGACCAGAGAGTTTGATACACCAACTGCGGCTCACTTGGGACCTGAAGGGACTGCGCATGCGTATCTTCATCCTGGTTATTGATTCTGGATATTGAATATTGAACGGTTGCACAACGCTTGGCACAATTTTCTCACGATTGATATATGCCCTGAATTTTTCTGTCTGTGATTTTCTTCTTTATAGGTCGACGACGTTGACATTCTCTCACCGCCCACTCTTTACCTACACTGTCACTCCTTTGAATCATCACAGCCTTGCTAACTTGATAAAAAGTGAGCATGATTTCAAAGGCACTCATCTACTAGTCGCAAGCTCACAACTTATACTTTGCAGTTTTACCAGGTTTTACCTCCAATCCTACATTCCTATTCAACACAATGGTTTCCTCGTTCTCTCTCGCCCTTCTCCTTGTTTCTGCAGCCTCTACTCTCCTTGTTCGCGCTGATGTCGTTCCCGATACCCCTGCAACTGGAACGGCAGGTTCAACGTGCTCTATAACTTGGACAGGCGATTCTAGCTCGAGCTCCAACTGGTCAGATATGGCCATCGAATTCATGACCGGAGACAACTTCGACATGGTCTTCCTTACCAGTACGCGAACTTCCCCTCGACTCTCATAGTTTCTCTAACGAAATAACTCATTTGCAGCTGTCGCTACCGGTTTGGATGGGACGAAGTCTGGTTCTTACAGCTGGACTTGCCCCGAGGTTAACCCCTACTCTGCCATTTACTTCTACCAGTTTATTTCGCCAGTCGAAAGTGGAAACCCTGTCTGGACTACTCGCTTTGCCATCGCGTCTTCATCAGGAGAAACTACGACACCACCTAATAGCACTCAACCTGATGGTGAAGCCATTCCTTGGGGTACTGGTGCGCTCGTTGACGCATCCAGTGTGAGCGCTGTACCGTCCTTCGCGAGCGGCGTGACTTCTGGTAGCGTTCCCGCTACTTCGGCCACCGCCTCAGCTTCAGTTTCGTCCTCGTCGTCAATTGCCGCTGCCTCGTCCGTTTCCACTAGTGCCACTAGTGCCGCGAGTGCTAGTAAAAGCGCTAGTAAAAGCGCTGGTGTTGTTACTGTTTCTGGCAACACTTCTGGGGCTGCAGGTGCTAAAACTACTGCTACTTCTGTTTCTACTACCGGGGCGGACGAAGCTGCGTCAACCCCGAGCTCCGCAAATGCTGGACTTGTCCTTGCTGTTGATGCACGGGTATGGACAGCTACTTTCGGCGTCATAAGCTCTGCGGTGGCTGTTGCCCTGTTCTTGTGACAGGTCACAGAACGTTCAGCGTCAGCGCTCAGGTCATTGGTATTCATCTTGTGCTTGGCGAGATGTCAAATTTCAATGGACGCTGAGCGCTTCCTACCGCAATGTTCCACCTTGTAGATGGAGAGTAAACATTTTTAATGGCGAATCATGTTAACGAAGCTTCCATGTGTTCATAGCGCGTTAATCTGTCCCCATTGGCGCGCATTTCTTCTGTTCGTGTTCGATTTTTTATTTCGGGGTTCTTGTGCCGCCTACATGCTATAATACCACCTGTTGCTTCCCATCAATATACACACCGCATGGATCATCATCTACATTTCATCCAACTTGAAATCATACACTGCACAGAGTTAGGATAACGCAATATTGCATTCATGATTAACCATCTTCATCGTACATCTAGCACCTAGGTTGAATAATGATATGTTATACATCTGGCTCACAGACAATTGTTGACCAACAGACCCCCAACCCTTGAGGTCATAGTTCGTCTTTGGGTGCCGGCGCGGGCTCTGGTTCAGATGCTTGTTCCGATGCTTGTTCCTCCACTGGCACTTCTAATGGTTCCGGGGTAGCAGCAGGTGCTGGCTCACTTGCAGCAAATGCTGCTTGCTCCTTTGCATCTCCAGTTTCCACCGCCGGTTCTGCTGCTATCGACTCACTTCCAGTCGGCTTTTTCTTTTTCTGAGGTAGGTCTCCCAACATTCCTGGGTACCCTTGAGAGCCGTGCGGATTATGGCCTTTCTTCAACGCGTCCTCGAAGTCAATGAAGTTGGCGAAGCCTCCGTGTGCGAGAGCGATCCGTTGAGCTTCCTGTTTTCGCTCAATTTCAAGTTCAGCTTCGTCGGGAACGAACTCCTCAGAAGCGGCTTCTTCATTGACGATTTTCAAGTCAGCGGTGCCATCAATGACCGATTCGAAGAATTTGGAAAGAGAGTCAAGTTTGTTGATGCCTAGTATAAGTTCAGACGACTGATTTCTGGTGAGATGTATAGTATAGCATGTAACTGACCTTCGTATCGCACGGGGGTCGTCGATCCGGGTGGGTAGATAAGGACCTTGGATGATTTCTGTTCGCCTGCTTCATAGCCCAATGCAACAGAACTCTTTCCCTTGCGATCACGATGAGAAGCAAGTTCAATTTTCCCTGCAAATTTGTTGCCTAGGACTGTCCATAATAAAGGTATTATTTTTTCCTTGGTGAGAAGGAGTGCCCGAGGAAGTCCACGTTCTGCACTCTGATACAGACCATTAGCTCGACCTCAAAGACGGAATAGAACAGTGTCGTACCTCTTCTGCCCATCGCTGAATATCATTCAATTGTCCAATTTTTTTGACATGATTAGGAACACGTCTTGATGCCCAATAAAAGAACGAGCTTGCTGTCCGATCACCAGAATCATATGTAAGTGGGTTGAGTTGTTTTCCTCGAGGATACAGCTGAGCGTTGACGGTATTAGAGAAGTGTCAAGGCAAAAAAAAAATATTGACTCGCCTTGATTGTTGGGAATCCTTGAACCCCCTACTCGTACTTGTGAGCGAAGTATGACATGGCACTTATAGAACGCACCTGTTCGCTACATAAACGCTTGTTTGCTTCGGCGTCGCAATCGACAGCGTATGTAGGAATGAGAGGGTAAAGACCTAATGCAGCCTTGCTGTACTCTGGAGCCATACGCTGACAGTGCTGATTCGCAACATGAGTACTCTGGGATAGGTGGGATAAATTGGACTCACACCACACCAAGGTGCTACAAATGCAACCATACTAGTTTCCTGGGTCAGATTGAGTATGCTGTCCGATTACAAGTGAGATAGTACATACATTGGCCTTCATAGCTTTCCTGAACCCCTTTGGATCGAGCATCTTGACCACAGTGTCCTTTGGAAATATTGCAGCCGAGGCCGAAAGGGCCAGCGACAGTGCGACAATTAAAGTGTTCCGCATTTGTAGTTACAGGGATGAGAGATCGCGTTGAGTTCACTTTTTATTCAAGGGCTCAAAGGAAGTTCCACGTCAGTGTGGGAATATTACACGTCCCGTGATCGGGAATTCGGAAATCATGGTAGCCAGGAGTGGTCTTATTCTGGAACCGGATGGTTTGGTATTCGAGTGGAATATACGATATACATGGGGTGAGACTCGAAAGATCAAGGGTGAGAAGAGAAGGGAGTATCCAAACTTAGAGGAACGCGTTGACTGCTGCCTGCCGTAAGGCCCCGGGCCGGAAAATGACACCTTCTCCTCGTCGTTCCTCTCAATCGAACTTCCGTATCAAAGAAATTTTGAATGGCTTGAGAAAGTGACTGTGCATAGCAGTACATTGAGCAATCAGAGCCTTATGGACTCCATGCTTACTCCAAGATTCTGCACCACTCACTGGGTTTCTTGGGACGTTCTTTCGGGTCTAAGGGCAAGTTCAAGTACTCTTATACTTAGTCTTAAACCAAGCTCGCTTAGCTCAGTGGTAGAGCATTGTACTTATGAGGTTGAGATAATTCCTGCGCATATTATGCAAGGGTCGGCAGTTCGACCCTGCCAGTGAGCATTATTTTTGCTTTTCTAAACCAATTTCGAATTGTGTCCCACTTCATTTTGTTACTGCTTGAGCTCTCTCACGTATGTATACTCTTTAACCAGATCAATCACTATCAGTTCATACCAATTCACTTTGACCGTTCAAGAGAAGTTGATTATCTCAAACTTTTTAGTTTATTCCAGGCAGGTAAGTAATAACAATGTTTGCAATGACATTCATCATCCAGAAATAAATCAAGCGTAGCCACTTATATTGTACACAATAGCTTCTGAAAACTTTGCCAAACTTTGCCAAGAATTTTGGAAGGTCTCGCCTGAGGTTAGCAGCAGTGTAGTACTCCTAAGTTATCTAAACATCGTCATTCCATTCCAGCAGCATTCCCGGAGCATTCCCGATTTGCCGACAACGACGTAGAGCATGCACAGTTAACCCTGAAATATTAGCCCTTCGCGTCCGGTAACCTCATGTTAAATGCATGTTCCATGCAGGTTCCATGATTACCTGCTGTGTTCTGAGATGGAATCTGAACGGATGACCTGCAACGTTACTCGGCGCGTGAGGTAGCAGCAAGGCTCACAGAAAACATGCAGGCATCGTGTAGCTCCTTATCGCTCCATACTTAATGCTCATCATTGTAACGTATTTCAATCCCTATTGCCACCACCCTTACCTTCCGATTGAGTTTTGCTGGTCACAAGAGAATGTTCCCTGTTTCTGACTTCAGTTTTGTCTATTGTGGAATGGCGACGGTTGCTGCTACAATGGGATATGTTTATGCCAAAAGGCGAAGAGTAGAGCCGTAAATATCGTTTCATCTTTTCTAGAGACGTATGCTCAATCTCGATGTAGTTACAGTCATTCGCTGGCTTTGGGGGATACGGCCTCACCAAATGATGACACCGTCTTTGTTATGGAAAGCCCCGCAGCTTATTCGAAGTCAGACAACGAAATACACTTGTCCAACTCCTCGGAAGAAATTGATACACAGAGTATAACCGTCGACACTACAACCACAGTGCCCGCTGCCTGGAGTCTAGAGCCGATAATCAGCATTCCGAATCCGCCTGTAGTTAGAGGACCGTCGTTAAAGCGTAAGCAGATGCACGATCACGATGAAAACAATATCGTATGTGCTGTCTATTTGGCGAAAAAGTACGAGCCGTTGATCTTTGAACATTGACAGCCATTGGAGTATCCATACGTATGTGGACTATGTCTCTTCGCTGAACCAAGTGCTTAATTTATTGTATAGAATCTCGCGGCGCTGTACCCCAACAAACGCTGCAAAACCCCACCTTCGTCGCAGACGATTGAGCCAACGATTCCCTTGCCCGAGGAATCTACACAGGTGAGTCTAATAACCTTTGCCAAAGAGAATTATAGTAGTGCTGACCTCCAACTTACAGCGTAGCAACGAAACCGTGACCAATCCTGAGCCGACTCCAGAAATTCTGACTGAGCCAGTAGGTGATTCGTTGGAACAGCCTGCTAGTAAACGACAACGACATGGAAACGAAGAGTTGGAATATTCACAAGCCCAACGTGATGACAAAACTCCATTGATAACGACTCAACTCCATTCTTCGACAGACTTGGAAAGTGAATGTACACCCCAGGTTCCTCCAACAACTGCGAATGATGCTTTTTCATCCAAGGTAAGGCCTTCCGGATAAATATTGGCCTCAGAGCTCAAGCGATCATGTTCTTTTCAGCCTTCTGTTGCGACACTGGATCCGACACCACCGACGCCACCTCGGTTTGGCTCTGAAAAATTTGTTCCAAAGACGGAGAAGAACGCGCTAGCATTTGAATCTTATCTCCCAGCTGCGTCCTCTTCCCGGGCCGCAAAAGCAACGCCAGTGTCGCAAACATTTGCATTTGAAATGTTTGCGACTGCAACACCTGCTTTATTCAACAACGAAACGTTGGCCTCGGGAGCAAACATGAGACCAGTGTGGTCTACAACCAATAGTTTCAGAAAGCGACATTCTTTCGTCGACAATCCCGATGATGTTACTGGAAGTTCGGATAGTGGAGAAGCCCACGCCCTTGGCTTGGCTTCCCGCCGGGACTCACCATCTTACACCCGTCAGTATTTCCGCCAGCAGGAAAAGGAAGCACGCTTATCCAACAGATAGATGTGACCGGAGAGGAAGACGAGGACGTTCAGAGCGAGTTGAGGGGTGTTAAATTGTTTGTAAAGCGCGGCAGCAATGATTACTCGAGTGGTATTTTGGGACAGGTCAAGTACTTGTCTGATAAGAAGACTTTGGTTCAGCGGCTTCGTGAGTTTGATTGCGAGCATATCTTGGTCCTAGCGCTGATGTACAAACTTCAGTGTTCCGTCGAGAACCTTTACGGAAGGTATCCATGAACATTCGTCTGCAACCTGCGGTTCGGTGCACATTCGATCCGCAGGAGTGCATCCTCAGACTCTTGCTGGCAGAGTCATCAGAATCGAAAGCATCAGGCACAACAGAAATCGTTGTTTATGCTTTGAAGGTATGAAAACGTTTTATCTACCTCAGTCCGTTTCATTTACCGCGTGAAGCCGGGAAGGTTTTGTTCAAGAAAAGACTTTCAAACATTTTCAGAGTCTGTGATGGGGAACTCGGGCTTGAAGACAGTAGCAACATCAAGCACGGGCGATGAAGGTTCAAAAGAAGGCTCGAGAGAAGTCCAGAGTTGAACTCTGACAGTAATCCAAGCAGGTTCTTGGAGGGATAATTTATCACATGTCACTGTAAATTACTAAGGTTGTTTCAACTTGATCAGTCACCGTCATGAGCAATTATTTTGTTATAATTGACTGGCTAAATAGCTTGTTATTCTTTCACCCAGGATGTCAGCACTAACTGATATTTTGCCCGTTGAAACTCTACACGAAGTTGTATCTTCGTTGGATTCTCCTTCCGACATTTTGTCTTTCGGGATCTCAAGCAAAGCCCTAGCGGACATTGCCATTCCTCACCACCTCAAATTCCGCGTGTTTCGTGTCCGAATATCTCGCTCTGCTGCTATCTGGCGCTTCTTTGCTCAAGCAGATCTGACCGCAGGTGAAGTTCGCGAACTTGATATTCTACCTGAAAACATTTCGGATGTGTGTCATGGAGATTATGGTCCGGATCGTTGGATGGCCGAGCCTTTGGTTCCTCCTAAGGAACTATTTGAAGGAGGACAGGCTCAACATTTCAAAGGCAGGCCATCATTTGAGCAAACGAGAAGAGATGAAATGCTCCTTGTTGATGCTGTGAAGCGAATGAAGAATCTCCGGCGTTTTGGATGGTATCGATCACCTCCCCCCGTGATCGTCGAACAAGACGATCTTTGGCACACTTTAGGCACCCTAGGAAGCTTAGAAGAGCTGGATGTTGTTGATGAGCCGTTTTCGGTGCTTACTCATGCGCCAGCTGGTTATATAGCTGTAAAGCCGCTAGCCAGCACGGAAACGGTGCGTAATTATTTTGTACTTTCACTGATATCGCAGCTGAAAAATTTCATCTGATAGTTTCTCAATTTGAGAGGACTCAAGAATCTCACCATTTGTACTCATGCTTATGACCAAAAGCAAGATAAGGTAGATTTGACTGGTATTGTTGGAATGCTTGTAGGCAACAAAGACTTGGAGGTACGAGACATTTTCTGTCTGTTTCTAGTAAGTTCCCAAACTGTCGCTATTTAGAAATTGGATCTGCGACTCAAATCACCTATGACATTGTCAATAACACCTCTGATCATTACCGCACAATGGAACCGGTTATGCATCCTCCACATTTCTGGCCGAGTTCACTGTATTCCCTCTGCATTTTTGGTATTTCTCCACGCGCATCCGCTCATCGAGGAATTAGCGTTGGCTCCATTGATAGTTGGGAAACGATGGTTTCGAAAGCCAAAAAGTCCGCCCTCAGAGCCTCTCCTGCCCCACCTGAAGCGTTTACGGTGTAAGATCTTCCATGTAGTGTGGCTGGTGGAACATGGCGCAGCAGCAAAAGTTACTGAACTCACTGGAGTATCTTTGCCTGAGAAAATCGTCATGAACGACGTATTCTTTGATGATCCAGATGAAGTAGACGAGGGGGACGAAGATGACGTTGTGCTTGATCATTCGGGCGACGAAATACCATCTCCCTTTCGCGGGCCCTTTTTGGATATTCTGAAAACCAACCAACTACCTTTACTGACCAAACTCGGTATACGGGGTAATCAAAACGATGTTCGAGACATTGCAGCAGCATTTCCGCACATCCGCGAACTCATCCTCGACTTATGGGTATCCCAAGTCGAATTAGTGCGTCAAAAATTTTTGTAGCGCAAGAATCTTTGGCTTACCTAGTTTTTCAGGATACCCTCCTTCCTCACTTGGCTTCATTCCCTTCTCTTACTGTTCTCAAAGCGACCGCCCTGTTTGAATCCGACAGGTATCATCTTTACAAATACCCTAAATACGATTTCGTAGGTAATGTTGTGCGTGTGTCAAAGCTTGCGGAGGCTTGTCCTTTGCTCGAAAGGATTGTGTTTGAAGACATACAAATTGTTTTGATACGTGGCGGGGACGAGCTAAAGTGGGTGTTCAGAAACCTTGGTGATAACGCGGCTTTTGCAAGAGAGAATGAAAACGTCCGTCGTGCTAGTGACCTTGGTTAGTTCCGGTCTTATGTCATAGGCCTTTAATGAATTGCTATTTTAGTGGAATAGGACGAGGCCCAAGGTCCGAGTAGATTACTTGTCGTGCTCAGAAACATATATATCGTCGTTCAAATTGCATTGCGGTTTCGTTGTACGAAAACTTTGAAACTATCTGGACCATGAAAAATCCGCTTGCTGACTGAAGCTTGCGCTGACTGATATGTGACGAATAGTCCCGCTACGGGATATTACTCAGAGTCTCATCTATAATGTCAGCTGCCCACCTCTCCATTTCTCAGTCAACTTCCGCAACAATGGCGACATCGATTCCTGCAGTATATAAACAGTAGAGCATTTCACAAGAACTTATCTCGAGTAATTGGAGCATACAATGCCTGCTACGCTTATCCAACCCTCTACTGTCCCTGGAAAGCTTCTCTACTTCACCCCTCCCAAAGACGGATCCAGACCGATTACCCGCATAAACGAGGATGCCAATTATGACAGTCGGTTCAATTGGGTACAGGCAGAACATACTGTTCCCATCGAAAATATTCGTGGAAAGGAGGATTCTTACACGCTTAACTCTGCCGGATTTCAGTATTACCAACACAAGTCGAAACACACAGCATTCTCCAATGATGAAGATATAGAAAGGGAGTATTACCCGGAGAGTGTAGAATTGATCAAGCAGCTTACTGGGGCCAGTAAAGTCGTATTGTTCGATCACAGTGCGTTGACACTCCTCCTAACCTGAACGTATAATCAACATGACCGGGTTCCACAGCTATCAGACGACGACGCCCTGGCGAATTGGACACTGATCCCTCAAAAAGGCAGCCTGTCTCCAACGTCCATGTTGACCAGACAAGCCAGTCAGCGAAGAGCCGGGTCCTTCGCCATCTCCCAGCATCTGAAGCGCCACAACTGTTAAAGAAGCGTTTTCAAATCATAAACCTCTGGCGACCTATTTCTCACCCCGCATATGATTGGCCTCTCACACTTTGTGATTTCCGAAGTATGAACAGGGAAAAGGACCTCGTACCAATAGCCCTCATTTATCCTGACCGAGAAGGCGAGACGTACGGTGTCAAGTACAGTCCAGAGCAGAAGTGGAAGTATCTGAAAGGGATGACGCCGGAAGAGATTGTATTGATCAAATGGTGAGCTCTTTGAGGGTTTTTTAGTTTGTATCACATTAGCTAATACTTTGTGAAGTTATGATTCGATAGAGGATGGGAGTGTGTCTGTGCTCACGCCTCATACGGCATTTGAAGATCCATCCACACCAGAAGGAAGTCCCCTCCGAGAATCGATCGAGTTGAGGGCTCTTGTATTCTATGATTAACATTAGGCTACTAGAATAAACATGCTGTAGTTTTAGTTACTCAAACAAATGTATTTTGTGTCAATGTAGAGAACCAGCGGAATCCAATAAAAGTGCAGTTGAGAACGAAAGGAACACGAGAGAAATTCTTGATTGAGCGCCCAGTTAAGCGCTCAGTGTACGGATCGGCACTTTCTGGGCACTTTGTTGTGTTATACTTCCACGTCTGTTATGAGGATACCGAGCTATGAGCGATTAGAAACAGATGATCCCAGTGAAACCTCTACCATAGTCTCTTCCGTTCACTCCAACCACTCAGTAGCCAAACCTGCAACATATTATGGCCAAGGACCTTTCGACGCTCCCAGCTCAGATTCGGAGGAAGAAGATGAACTATTGGAAAGGAAGGGACCCTCCACGCCAGGAATAGCTGAAGCTGGGAACTTTAATGCGCCATATACTCCGAGTCTGCGGCAAAAAGTGTGCCAAATATTTATCTCTTCATAGCAGCATGATTCCACTGACCCTCCTATCTTCAGCGCGCTTCCAACATCCGTTTCCTTGTCACCATTCTCATTGTCCTTGTCATTCTTTGCGGAATCATTGGCATCATAGCCGCTCAAACCTACGTAGGAACTGTGTATCGCTTACCCGGGAATCGCAAAATTACCATGGACCACATATTCAACGGAACATTTGCTGCTGAAAGATCGTTTATATCTTGGGTTCCGGAAGGTAATTTTATCGGCAAGATCAGGAACTCCAATAGTCTCATACCGTCTATATAGCTGGGGATGGTGTATTCTCCGAGTCCACGCAAGACGGCTTCATTAAACTGGTGGATCTCAAAACAAACACCACGTCCAGGTTAGTGAAGAAGGATGATATCAAGGATGTGAGTCTGAACTTAATAGCTCTTGCGGTCTTATCACCGATGTTGCGACAGGAGCACGGAAAACCTCTGCAACATTGGGCAATTTGGCAACTGTCGCCTGACATGAAACATCTTTTAGTCAAAGGGGATCACCAGAAGGTGCGCACGAATTCCCTATGCCACACCTCCCGCTATTAAAGAAGTCATGTCCCAGCAATGGAGGTGGTCTAGCTTTGGGAATTACTATATTCATGACATCGAAGCAAAAGTTACACGTCCAATGATCCCCCCGGCAAACCCTCCCACTACTGCTTATGCCACATGGTCGCCTACAGGTAACTCATTAGCGTATGTTGATAACAATGACTTATATATCTTGACTTCTCCATCGTGAGTTCCTTTACCCTGTCTTCATGAGTTTTCTTCACAACTGTCCGTTTTCAGACCATCTACTGCTCCCATACGCGTAACGACCTCCGGTAACGCCTCACTCTTTCATGGCGTACCCGACTGGGTATACGAGGAGGAAATCTTCTCCAGTGATCATGCCTTGTGGTGGTCACCCGACGCTCAAAAGGTTGCTTTTCTTCGTTTCGACGAGACCGCTGTCGACGAGTTCTCCTTTCCCATATACAACCCAACGGAGAATAATTCTGCCGTCATTCCATATACCTCTGAAATCACAATGAAATATCCAAAACCTGGCTACAATAATCCCCTTGTTTCCGTGCATGTCTTTGATCTAGGGAGGTACCTGGACTCTGATAGCGTCGTTGTAAACGGATTTCCTGCTGCAAATGCTACGTTGGAATTGGACTGGCCAGGCAGACACCCAATTTCGAACAGTATCATTATGGAGGTTGCCTGGGTGGATGATACGCAACTCCTTTTGAAAGAAGTAAATCGGAATGCAGATTCCGGAAGCGTTGTATTCTTCGACTTGAGTAGCTCTGATGACAAGGCACGCTCTCGTGGGACTGTGGTTCGAAAACTCGGCAAGGAAGGCGAGGAAGGTGATGATGGCTGGATTGACAACGTTGGTATCATCCAGGCCTGTTCCCGAACGGTCCAGTCGCTTGAACGCTGACGCTGATGGTTCACAGAATCAAAATATCTTCCCGCTACCTAAAAGTATGAAAGGATCAGGGTCGGCTGCGTATCTCGATATAGTACCGACTCCTGAAGGGTATAACCATATCGCACTATACAGTCCGGCAAACTCGAACACGCCTCGATTCCTTACCTCTGGCGAATGGGAGGTCTCGAGCGGTATCAAAGGTGTTGACGCAAAGCTAGGTCTTGTGTATGTGATTTGTCGTCTTTGAAGGTTTGGCCACCCGCTGAAATTTTTTAAAGTTACTTTGAAGCCGCCAATCCCTCGTCAATCGAACGTCACCTGTTCTCTGTGCCAATACCTACCATCAGCTCTCCTGATACCGTTGCTCCGACGCAGTTGACAAAGACACAACCAGATGAGACTGCCTACTATGACACCAATTTTTCTCCAGAAGCTGGATTTTATCTACTTTCCTATGAAGGTCCGAATATACCCTGGCAGAAAGTCATCCAAACTACCAACACTGGTGAGCCTACCTCTGTGTGAATGTATCTGTTTGTTTATGTCAACGTCTAGATTTCCATTTTGTCCTCCATACTAATGATGAATTGAGTAACAAAAGCAGCCAGTTCGAAGCTCCAACCATTTTGTATTCCACTATCGAAAGTGAAGGTTTCGGTCGGTGTCATGTTCGCTGTCTTCTACATGTCACTTTTACTAAGTCCCAATTCCAGTATTGAACGTTAGAGAAGTCCGCCCTCCCCGCATGGATGACTCTGGACGCACAAAATACGCTGTATTGTTCTATGTGTAAGCGCCAACGAAATTGAGTTTGAATCCGAGTGAATCCGAGTACTGACTGTGTCACTGACAGGTATGGTGGACCTTTCAGCCAACTGGTGAACACGCGTTGGCAACGCGGGTGGGATGACTACTTAGCTTGTGGACTACAATTCATCTATGTTACTGTCGACGGCCGGGGGACGGGATTTAAAGGTCGCAAGTTGCGAAACACAGTCAAAAGCAATCTTGGGTACTTTGAGACGATAGATCAAATCAACGCTGCCAGGTACGTTAGGAATTCTTGGAGTGTATGTTTAGGATCTTCGCCATTGAGGTCTTGTCCATCCATATTCCTCTCCATTTAAATTGATCATCGATCGGCGTTGATTTTTTTAATGGAGGTTCCAATGAGATGAGTCATTAGGCTTGCAATTACTGACACAGTCTTTCCAGGATATGGGCAGCGAAGGACTATGTAGACCCAGAGCGAATTGGCATTTGGGGCTGGGTACGTTAAATTTGGTCTTTTTTTTCTGCAGTAGCCGATTTGATAGTGTAATTGCTTCTAGTCTTACGGAGGCTTCATGAGCTCGAAAGTCGCAGAAGCTGATGCTGGCATTCATTCGCTCGCGATGGCTGTCGCGGTAGGCTCTTTTAAGCTGCGATTGATTCTTCGGGAGCTCTAATTAGTTCCACAGCCTGTGACTAGCTGGCGGTTGTACGGTAAGAATCGGGGTCCCTCACGAATCAAACGTCCCAGGAGTCGGAAACGCTGATTGGTTCAACATACTCTCTAGATTCAATATACACGGAAAGATACATGAACCTTCCAGATCTCAATCCGGGAGGTTACATCAATGCCTCGATATCGAATGTGACTGGCTTCCACCATATCGAGTATCTTTTAGCTCATGGAAGTGGGGATGATAACGTCCATTTTGCGAACTCGGCACATCTTTTGGATATGTTCACGAAGGCCCAGGTCAGGAACTTCAGATTCAGAATGTTCACTGATAGGTTCGTTTGTTTCCGCGCGCTGTTGCTACCCTACCCACCAGTATCTGATTGGTTGACCTGTTGTAATATCTCTCAGTGATCATACAATTACTAAAAGGGGCGCTCAGCGAGAGGTGTATGAGTATATGTTAGGATTCTTAGAAGAAAAATGGGGCAAAGGTGGACGCAGGAGAGGCTGGTGAATTGAATTGGATACAGATCTCATAGATCCTATTGGCTTTCTGTAATCGCTATTTTATTCTATTATAGATTTATCATCGGCATTGAACTAATGGGGCGTTCTGGACTCTGGTTGGCTAGACGGGACGTGAGCCAATAGGAACCGGTTGCGGATTGATGAAGAAAGTCTAGGCAGAGAGGGCCAGAATTCGACCGGTACTGCTTTCTCGAATAAATATCCCATATTGACAAAGCCATGAACTTTCCTTGATATCACGATCCCCCCACCATGCCCTCACCATTTCTTGTCCAACGACCGACGACCTCTTCACTTTCAAAGACAGCATCGAAGAATAAGAATCTACGGCCAAAAGGGTTATGGAAAGCCCGTGTGACCGATTCGGCGCCACGTTTATTGCACGGCACTGCTAACAGCGAAGCCACCCACGACTCTGATTCTGACAACGAACTCGAAGACCTTGACGAATTAGAAATTCGTTCTTCGACTTCAAGTACGAAAAGACGTCGGCTCTCGTCCTCAGAAAGCAGTGGTAGTGACTCTGCTGCAGAATTATATTATTGGGACTATTCTCGACAGTGTACACCTCCACCAAAACGGGAAAGCAGCTGGACACGGCGAACACGGATAATGGATACTTCCTCACTGGCACTCAAGGGTACACAGACTACCTCAAAATCCACCTGTGATTATGAGGATTGGGAAGATTTGAAAGACCTTTTTAGTAAAGCTGTTGAGCAATATGAAGGTTTGTTGATTATACGCTGTGAAGTTTTAGTTTTTATCAACTCAGATCTTCCCTACAGGCAATGATGCTTCCGATGCCCTTCCTCTCATCCGTGGCGTCATTCACGAATGCCATCGATTTCTACTGTTTTACCAGGATCCCTCCGTCTTGTTCTCCATCCCACACAACATTCCTGGACATTCTCCAGAAGCACTGACGCCGCCTGACGAACGTCAACCTCGTGATTGGACTGTCGAACGTTCTACTGAGCCAATAGACAAGGCATTTCCTAACTGGTTAGTCAAGCCCTTATCTCTGTTCATCTGTCAAGCTCATGTGTCGTGCTCAATCGCCACAGTAAATGCGTGGAACCTCCTACCGCGTTCCATGCTATATTTGGCACTGCACTGTTTCTGTTCGGAAACCTTGTCGCTCAAGATCCCTCAGTTGCTCTCGAGGGTGAACCTGATTCACCCTCTCAGTACTGGCTCGCTGCACTTGATGTATTTGAGACAGGCGAAAATCTTCCTACGCGGACAAGTGGTAGGAGTGCAAATCTGCCAGAAGATTGGCGGATGGCCATCGTCTGGGGTCGCACCCTGGTTTGCCTTGCTGATGACACTATCGTTAGGTCACGGAAGGCTATTGATACACCTCCGGAAGCTTCCCTGATTCCCAAACCGCCGGTTGGACCGTTTTTCGCTGATGAACCCAACTGGCCTGCGCAATCTCCCTTTTCTATTATTGTCCAACGCAGGCCTCCTGTCACTCGACGAATGTCCCTAATAACATCTACTCCCAACGACATACTCAAGCTCGCTATGGATCAATTTTCTCGAGGTATCTTTCATATGCCTCATCCGTCACATGCCGTTCCGCCCTCGGGAAAACCACTATCGTCAGGTGCTGCGCCTGCTTTAGATTCATTTTCACGAGCAAAGGAACTCTTCACAATTGGGTCCGAGGCGTTGCTTGTTGCAGAAAAACTCGAAAATCCTTCCGAGCGGAAGTATTGGGCATCGTGGTCTGACTCTGTTTTCAACCAAATGAAAATGGAAGCCGATGTCGATGCTTGGCGAGGCCCGATCAACCGAGCCCGAGGTCAGTGTTGTTTGATCGTTGGGACAGCGCAAGCAGAGGAATTTGAAGAAGCTCTCGAAAATGGTGACGAGAGTGTGCTACGGTCCGAGGATGCAGACGAAGCTAGAGAAGCCCTTATGGATGCTATCTCGTTTCTAGAGAAAGCCAAATCCGCTGCCACTTCCACGGATATGGACCAGGATGATGATGAACTACAGCACTTTCTTGAAGAGGCCCTTCTAACGCTGGCCAATCTGACCCTCGACGAAAAAAAGCGGGAGGATTTGTACCTCCGTGCACAAAAGGAAAGTGGCGGCGCAATCGATCTCAGCGACGAGATGGACGAGTCTTAATGTACACTGGAATTTCATCTTTTTATCTACTATTTTGGGCTTCCGCTTCTTGTTTTCCTTGAACTTTGGCTCGTGCTCTATTGACTATCTGCTTAGCTCCATTCATCCCTACATGTATCTACTACCATCCACATCCTTGCATTGTTTGCGATTTGTAAAACCACACTCATATCACCTGCATACCCTGCCAGCATAATTTAATCATCCTATCTTATCCTGCACTTGGACTAGAATATCAAATGTTCTCGAACTCGAGTGTAATTGATGAATGAACGATGCTTCCCATTCCCATTGTGCTCCGGGTCATAGGTCGAATTAAAATGCGAATAACAAAGTTCACCACCTTATGGTGTGGTGTTACGGTACAGTACCCTGAGTCCAACGGTTCTCATAAATCCAAAGACTTAGGACGGACCCAGGTTGTAGGACTGAAATTGAGATAGAATACACTAATTAGACAACTCTGCCACGTAGTCCTTCTGATATTTTTGGATGGTAGGCCTATCCTTCCGGAATCGGAATGTAGGACACTTCGTGAAGATAAAGATAAGTACTTCAAGTCATAAATGATGAACATGCAACAGTAGGTGGGCTGATGTATCTGAAAGTTCCCTTCTTTCCCATGACGAATGCTGGGTATAAAGCGATATAAATAGGTACTTTTCGTACGGGACCAAAACCACCGTGATAGCAGGACATGAGGTACGACGGCTCTGAGAGTTTGGGAACTTGGGACCCAGTGCTGGACCAATGACTGCCATCTTATCACTATAAGGTTCCGAAAGGGATACAAGTTCCTTTGCGCATGGTTGATCTCCGGTATGTATTTGATGGAGTAGCAGTACTACCACAGAGGGCATGCTCTTTGGCACCCAAGAAATATCACCTTGAAACTCACTTTAAGGGCACCTAGAAATCGGAAATGTGCTTCCAGAGTGGAAAGGGACCTTTGTTGTACAATGGAAAGCACTTTGAACAACATCCCCTTCGAGGTCCACCTCAAATCCGACAAAAATTCCTTTGAGATTTGACTTACCCCGAATCCCAGGTGAGCTTCATGGCAATATGATAGCATCCGATTTTCAGGTGCCACGGGGAATGCTCCCAGTGTAGTTAAGCTTTAGCCTGTATTTGGAATGGTACACACAACAATGTGAAGATCAAGAATGATGCTTGAGGGTGGTCTGGAAACCGGGCTCACCTGCTGGATCCTCATACGTGACAGAGCATTCATGTACACAAGGTGATCCCAAAGAAAGATACGTTCGCCTTCCAAAAGAATGATTATTGCGTCGCTTGGATATTATTAGTACTGCGGTAAAAAAAACAACAAAAATCTCGTCATCGATTGTACCCGATCTAGCGAGTTCTTCCACACAAAAAACCTTGTCTTTAATATAGATGATGAAGGCACCTAAAACGAGGGCTCTTCTAAAGTCGCTCGCGGAAGATGAAGAACCATTCATCGAATACAAGCTTTTACTAGCAGGAGTCATACACGGTGTTTGTTGTAAGGTGACTTTTGAAATTTGCGTCAGGAATGACCAGTAAATCATGTCGTTAGCCTTGCGTTATTGCTATCTTTTTGAATGAGCGGAATGATTGTCAATAGAACTATAAGTAGACCCGCGGAACCGGGCCTGCCAGAAGGTTTACGACGATTAGCGACGATTCTAGCATGAGCAGGCGGAAGAATGAAGATTATGGTTCCTTTGAGATGTGCCTGAAGACCTGCGGATTTCAGTTCTCCAGAGCTCAATATGACGGAGAGAAGGACCTTAATCAGGAGGAATCCAGATATGGGCACTGTCCAGTTCTTGCAAAGAAATAAACACTTCGTGAGTAATCACACACGCGCACATGATCTACGCGGCTTGCACTTGTACTCAATGGCAATCATCTTTTTGAAAACCTCAATCTCTAAACTTTTGGTATCAAACATCAAGGATAGCACTGCAGATATATTCAGTAACAGTGCTGCGCATAACGGATATCATTGGGAACTCGGTGATGTTCTGATGTTCGAGATTCAGCCTGAGCTGGCATGCGAGCTCGCCGATATCATCGACATCTTCTGATGGTGCGTGTCAATGCTTATATTTCATGAAAGTATCTGACTTGGATAATGGAGCTGGCCTTATTCAGGCTCCGCTGGTATTTTCATATTCCTGAACATACTCATGTCACTCTCATATTCGTTTGAGAGCCTGAGTTCCATAGTACTCACTTCCCTGAACACGAGTTGAGCGCGTACCCAAATGTTCTCGTTTGCTTAGCTCGAATTCGACAAGATGCATATACGAGGCCCATTTATGCATTTGTCGTGGCGTCTGATTATCTTACTCAGTTATCTCTCTTCGCAGATTACATGGCACCGGAATTTGATCCTAGCGTCCGTATTGTACATAGTAGAAATGAACTGGGCTGGGAAGAAGTAAGTCTTACCGATGTTTTTGAAGCCGAGGCTGACATCGCCTGTCCCTTATGAAGGTGTTTCATTTCCTAGCTACCGAACAACTAGCAAGCTCTATCAGGCTCTATCAAATCAAAACCAGGTTGATCGATACATATGCCATAGTGCTACGCCTTTGGGGTGTTTGTCGGGCTTTCAGTGCAGCAATCGGTACCAAAAGACAGCGATTGAACTGTTATCATGACCTATATCTGCCTTGTAAGTTGTAACAGCTTGTTTCACTGTTTACCGGAGGATCAGCGGTGTCGTCGATCCTTCCTAAACATCTCGGTCCCTACATGAACTTGTTGAAATCGTCCTCGGTCATTTCAAACATGCTGTGTTGTAAGGTATCTCCCGACCGCTGTGATGATTTCTCGTCATTCAGTGTTGAGAGTTACATACGGAGGCTTTTGAATGGCGGTAAGACCGGGAAGGGTCCATCACCATTGCTCGTTCTCAGCTGGTAAGCTTATGGCGGGAGGCCGGGACGTGCTTCGATGACAAGAGGGTGGCACGTCACGAAACAATTGTAGGTCACCAGGTGAGTCCTACTAGTATGCTGTCCTATGAGTCGTAATTTAATATGCAAAAGTTCAAACTCGCTAATTGTTCTTCCAGAACAAAAGATTACATACTGGTCTAAGCCTAGATAGCTCTTTCTGCAAGAATCCCCAAGAACTCGAGTGGCTCTGTATCCCTCTTCCGAGGGCTATAACAAGCTGCTGAAGGGTTGGAGGACAACGGAAGAGAGTCGGAATTACGTCGTCGACGGACGGAAAAGTGGGTGATCTGTCAATCTAAGATTGCCCTTGCATTGCCACGTGTATTATGATTGTATCGAATAGGGTCGGTTCGATCTCGTTGATCGCACACACGATTGGAAATTCAGTCCACGGTTCTAACAAAACTCTTTTTTCTCCCGTTCGCCCTGTTTATCCGACCATCGTCGATTGAACAGCAAAGCTCAGCAAGACTGGAAGCCAGGTCGAGAATATGAACGTTGCTGCACTGTTACAAGATTCACCTTCGGATGATAGACGGAGGAATAATACGAGCGGGAACAGTAACAGCAGCAACAGTGGTAACAACCACAGTACTATCCAGCAGCAGAGCACACATTCACGGATGTCAGAGTCAGCGTCGCAGAATGGGAGCAATCCTGGATTAGGTGGTTGGCGGAGAATAGAGGATGGGGTCAGTGGAAGTGGAACGAACTCACCAGGATTGACAAAGAATAGCTCCTTACCGATGCAACAGATGGCACAAGGAGCTGCACATGGACATGGATTGGCAACGACAATGAGGCAGCCTACACTTGCATCAGCTTCTTCTACTTCACCAGTTCTTTCACGGTTAAATACACACCGTCGAACCTTATCCCATCCCACGCCTCCACAACAACCTTCACCTTCACCTTCGCTACCGCCCGCGTCCACCCCCACAGTCGGGTCTCGGGGCGGTGTATATGGACCGGCAACGGGACGCCCCGTCTCTGGCGCACTCGGGCCGGATGCACGTGGCGAACAGGCTCGAATGGCTGATTCTGCTCTTGCTCTTCCTCGTCGCGAATCGTATCGAGAAATGGACAGAGAAAGAGACCGAGAAAAAGAGCAGCCGAGAATCTTGAATATCATGGATTGGCAGGGGGAGAGAGACAGACCCAAGAGCGGGGAAGAACGCGATAGACCACCCGTGTCCAGAAGACCTTTGGTTGGGGGAGGTAAGTTGGAACTTTTTTCACGAGCAAGGCTTTTTTTTTTACTGCACCCATTAGGACTTGAAGACTTGGCATCGAGCACTCTGCCGCCACCCAAGAGCCACTCCCACTCTCCCATCATGCGTGCAACGAGCAGTAGACGCTCAAGTAGCTCAGGCGGTCCCTTTGTCGATGAATCAGTTCAAGAAAACGATGCTGAACATATCAGACTACCTGTTCGACGACACGGTAGCAGTAGACCGGGATCTGCCCCAACTGAGACGATCAAGCCACATCATTTATCCGGACCGCCGCCTCCGCGCACTGGAGATTTTTCTTACCATGCTAATTTTCAACCTCCATCTCATCCTCATCACTTTGTACCTGCTGGAGGTCCTGTTTCTGCTTCAATTCCTGCACCTGCTCCAGGGCCTGGCACACTTTCTCTTGTCCCTCCTCAACATCAACAATCTCATCAGCAACACCAGCTAGCTCAGGCTCAGGCTCAGCAGCAGCAAATTCACGTCAACGCTCAGGGGCCGGCTCCCATACATACTGGAACTTCTCCTACTGGTTCTAGCACAGGTGTCATGGAACCTAGAGGAGGAATCATACTCAATCTCAATGGTCCGGTGCCAAACGGACCTCCGCAGAAGCAGTTTCAAAACCAGTTTCATACGCAGTTTTTGCCCGGGCTACAGCTAGCACAGTCCGCGCAACCACCTCTTTCGCAACCAATAGAACGGGAGCGTGGACATGACAGGGACAGAGAACGAGACAGAGAGAAAGAATGGGAACGAGACGAACGGGACATGCGCGAGCGAGAACTAGAAAGAGAGATGTACTCCCATCATCGTTATCCATCGCAACCTCATCATCTGCCCAGCAATCACACTTCCAGGCGAGGATCACCTATTCCTGCACACAACACCGGTGTCTCAGCGCCGGATCGCGAGCGCGACAGAGAAAGGCAAAGATATGTTCCTCCACCACCACCTCCATCAGCTCCCATGGCCTCATCTTCCCGTCGTTATAACACCTCTAGTGTCCCGCCTCCATCTGCATCCATGGGCAACTTTAGTAGTAGGGAAAAGGAGTTGCGAGACTTTTGATCGAGAACGAGAAACGCGTGAACGTGAACGCGAGCGGGACTTTCGTGAGAGAGAGCGGGAGCAGCAGCAGCAACGGAACAGGGAAAGAGATGGAGGTTATCGGATTATTGGTAGTGGAATGAGCCTTGGTCCTGGACCGGCTTCTGGCCCAGAACCACCACCTCCATCGCAACCTCATTCTCGCGGAGATCCTCGCGAAAGGGAGATGTTCCACTACCGCGAACGTGAACGTGTGGAGCGGGAGAGAGAACGTGATAGGATGGATAGAATCGATAGGGAAAGAGATCGAGAGCTGTATAATCGGGATCGTGAACGAGATCGGGATAGAGAACGAGACCGTGAACGGGATAGGGAACGGGAACGGGAACGAATGAATATGTCCCTTGCTATGAACGAAAGGGAAAGAGAGAGGGATCTGTTGCGAGAACGAGAACGCGAACGTACAAGACTTGCTGTTATCGGCGACATGGCTTCGTCCTCGTCGACTTCTGCTCCTCCGCCTCCTGGTTTACCCATTCTGATGGATGTCGATGGCCAAATGTATGGAAATGACCCGTTTATGCCTGTCAGGATGGCAGATCATCATGGACATGGATATCCGAGTTTCCCGAATCACGACCCGCGTGCCATGGGGCAGATGGGACCAGTGGGACAGCTAGGCCCAATGGCTCCAAATGGTCCAATGGGTATGCCTCCTAACATGAACATGAGCATGGCTGCAGGTGGGAGTGTAACTATGGGCATGGGCATGGAGCCGGTAGTGGGACTGGGCCCCACAAGCAATACAGCTATGGTTCCAATCCCAGATGGACTTGAGGAACCTCCCGAACGAGAAGTGAAGAGCCGAGTCAAGATTGACCTGGGAACGTACGTCTGGCCAAAAACACCATTCCCATTCTCTTTCGCAGAGTCCAAGTGGCAGGCATTTCCCGATCGCAGTAATAAGGAGAACGAGGTCGATCAGAAAGGAGAGACGAAGGGCAGTGGAGGTGGTGTATATAAAATGGTTGTGGACGGAGAGGTTATCAGCAAACGAGATGAGGACAAGCGTGAGCCAACGATTGTCACTAATGGTGGTAACTCAGTTGCTAACACTTCTTCAACCACCGCGTTAAATGTCACGGACCTTCCCAATGCCGACAAGCATATACTTGACAGCGAAACCCTCGTAACTATCGTTATTCCAAATGCCTTCATCCCTCTTGAAAAACCCAAGCCGGGTTCACGGAATAAGTACAGAGTCTGGGGAGGCGGGCTTCCTCCTCGGAACGGAAGCAACGAACTCTTTGGCGGAACTCGTCATGGAAGAGAGCGGGAGAGTAACCCAGAATATGAACAGATGCGCGCCGGATATCAGGAAAAGGTTGCTGCCAATCCGTCTCACACTTCTAATTCAATTCCTTCCTCTCACAAGAAACGACCTCCACGTCGTCGAAGGATCTACACTGACGATTCCGATATCTTTGTTTGTGCTTTGCACGCAGGCTGGATATCGTGGTCTAGCGCAAAGAAGGCTAGGGAAGAAGGGAAGGATTTGAAAGTGCGCCTGAGGATCATTCGGTGTTTGGGCGTTCGAGAGGACGTGGGAGCTAGTGTCAGAAATGAGGCTCCTTTCCAGGTGACTGGTAACGCTTTCCCTGGTCCAGGAAGGAACGCAAATGATCCGAACGGTCCTTGGGTACAGGGTCAGCGCTCTGCTCCGCCTACGATGAATGGATTTAGCGCCAGTTCTTCCGGAACCGGAACCGATTCAAGTTTGAGTGCGGCCGCGGGGTTCATAGGAGGTAGACGGGGAAGGGAGGAAGTTGTCGTTCGGTTCATTGGTGGTATGGGAGAGAAATATTTTGGTGGGGATATCAAGCGAACTAAGGCGAAGAGTGAACCTGCACAAGCACAAGTCAAAACGATGGAGAAAGAGTTGGAGAAGCTGAAAGAAAAGGAGAAGAAAGTCGAGGAAGAGAAAGAGGAAGGAGAATTGAAAGAAGAGGGTGAGCTAGATCAGGATCCGCTTCCTGAGCCGGATGTCGCGAACAGTGTTTCACTAATTGTGGAAGAGGAAGAGGAGGAGGAAGAAGTACCTGATGGCGGACCGGAAGACGATGGTCGCAGTTTATTGAGTGCTAGTTGGGGAATTGGGCACGATGGAAGTGGTATTGAAGTGATTGACGTTGAATTCGTCCCAGTCAGTTCGTTTAATTTTGGTTTTGCGTAACCATCGCTCATGCTTTACCTTCCTACAGCGCGACGTCTCATTACGCTCTGGCCTTCGTAATCGATCCCAACGACTCTTTGAATACGCCGAACGACGAGCAAAGATGTTTGCCCGTGACGACGCCAAGACCAAGAAAAAAGTACCTTACATTACTACCAGCCTCGCTGGCCGCAAGAGACCTAGAGGCGCCTTTGAATCAAGCCATCCTATTCATATGCCCCGATGGGGTTTCGGTTCGGCCTCTAGACCACATCCTAATGCAGTCGCTTTGGACACCATACTCGAAGAGGACAGCGCAGCTTTTGCAGGCAGAACAATGTCTTTCGGTCTCTCGAACGAGGAGTCGAGTAAAGAAAGGAAAATATCAGAACAGAGAACATTGGTCTTCGGGAAGGGTGCTGAAATTTGGTATGTCGACTCAGTAAACACATCTCATTTCAATACTCATCGAGATCCATTCTCGTATAGGTTCAAGTATAGCCCCGACTCTCTTCGAGCCGTGTTCACTCCCAACGACGATGATCTTGTCGAACGCCCAATGAAGCGTAAAAGGCTCGATACCAATGAACCTCCTTCATCAAAACCACATCCACCCTTACTCATAAAATGGGACGATTCGGATCGTTGCTGTATCCTCAGACCCGAGCCCGCGGATGTTACGTCCTTATACGCATTGTTTGTCACCCAGCAATCTGTAGCTAATGACTATCTCCATTATCATCTTCCCGACTCTATCCCAAGCATACCTCCTTCGTCTTCGTCGGACGTTCTTATGAAGGACATCCATACTAAACCGGAGTCTTCTCAGCTGACTGCCATCAGCGCTTCTTCTGTGTCTCCCGTTCGTGAGCTTATAGCAGATGATTGGATGGTGGAACCTTACTGTGTCCATACGAAAGAGGAGCATGTATGGCTGTTGCAATCAGAAGTTTTGGAGTTTATAGCCTCAGGAATTATGATTAACAAAACGCGGACGTTGCCTGTAACGAAATGGAAATTTATCTTAGAATCTGACTAGTATCATTTTTTGGACTGATCTTTGTACATCTGTACTGATCATTGCTGAATATCAATTCCTGTTTCAGATACAGGGTGAAAGAGAGAAGGTTACTAGAAACTGCCATGAAAGCTCGTAAACTGGACGGCAAGTACCTGATGCTATTTTCCGGTTGCACAGCCGATCTATACAGTAAAAAGACTTTGCCGGGGTAATCCATTATAAAGGACAAACATTTAAGGAGAGGCACATACCCCACTCATTGGGGCAGATGCCCTCTCGCTGGGGCGAGAACAAGGTAGAGCGAGCAGGACATGGCATTAAAATGTACATCTATGATTCAACCACCAATGCCAGTATTTTGATATAAGTTTTATCCGAGAAGTTTTGGAGCAACAGCATTTGGAACTTTATCATGAGAGTACAATTTTGGGATTGCTGAAGCAGTAGATGGATGATTTGGTCATCATGCTGAGGTATGAAGATAGCCAAAGTGGTAGTGCTCCAATGTCACATCTCCAGCTTGAACAGGTACATGCTAAAGATTAAACAGTCTCATAAGAGTTTTGCAGCAATTCATGGTTATGGTGAAAACCTCTACCAGTACTTTACATTACAAGTTCCCCTCATAGCCCCTCATTCCCCAGGTAGGGGAGTACATGAATCCTCCCATTGGACTACTTGGGACTTGGGCATGCCCCATGGATGCATATCTCCATTGTGGGGCTTCCATGATAGATCCAGAGAACCCAGGATCCACAGGTGGAGGTTTGTTAACCATTGATTGACATCCCTTTGGGGTTCTTACCTCATTTCCCACATCATTGGGAGGTTCATCCTCTTGAGGTTGTCTAGGGATCAAAGGTAGTTGACCAGCTACTACTGTGATAGTGGCTGAGCTGGTTGGTTATTCTGATCTTTGAGCTAGTATCATGTTTCCATGAGATGAAGTACTCTTTTGTTTGTTCAATTCAGTTTTCAAACTAAAAGGTCATTCTGTTGAAATTGCTGACATTTTGTCATGACAAGTTTGTTCACTAACAGGAGAGCTTGGTATAATGTAAGACCTGGGTCAGAATAAGTCTTGGTAGTAGTAGTAGTAGGTAGTTGGGATTTATGGTATAGCATGCTAGGAGCAGGCTGGAGCTCGAAGGAAGCTATGGTGACTGTGACCAAGGACTGGAGTAACCTACATCTGCAAAACCTGTATTTTTGGCTAAGGGTCTGAAAGCAGTTGAGAGCAGACTGCTCATAGTGCTTTCAGTACTGGGATCTGCTGGGATCTGCTCTCAGCCCTTAGCCAAATATCCATGTTTTGCAGATGTAATACAGGTGTGAGAGTAGTTCATAAGACCTGGAGGACAGGCAATGTAGAGAGATGTAGACTCAAGAACCACAATAACATTACCTAGACTCAAGGAAGACAAGGGCTAGGAGCAGAGAACAACATAACATAGTGCTGAAGTGTTGTAATGGGAGGTAGGTATATATAATAAAGCCTAGGATGTTAAGGAAACCTGGGAGGTGGTCCCTCAAATGTTGCAATGAGGCTGGAGACAACTAATTTGAAACCTAGGCACAATGAGGGGATGATGATAGCACAACAACAAGGCACAAGAAACAAGCACAAAGCACAGATAAGGGAAATAATGATCTCAAACAGTGTCATGAAGTATGCAGCCCCTATTATTTGCCTTTTCTCACCATCTCTACACCTTTACTTGTACAATACATCCTCCCATCACTATCACATTCCATTGGTGTCAATCCCCCATTGATTACTGATCCACCTGACCCACCTTCTTCTTCTACTGGCTTCTGCCACCTTCCTTGCCCCTGAACTGTACAGTATTACATCATTGTTTCTTGCAGACCAGATTATGTATATATAGCCAATTCCCCACAGCCTGGTCCCTTATTTTGACCTCTCTATCATTATCATGGGACCAGTTTGCCTACACTCTGTTTAGTTGCTCTGCCTTGCTGCTCTGCTTAGTCACTCTGCCTCTGCCACTTTGTGAATGACATTAGGTCAAGATCCATTACTGCACTGGCAGCCTACAAATAAGGTTTCCTTGCAGGATCTGCTAACAAGCATGCCTCATTTTTGTGTGAAAGAGAAAGAAAGGAATCAAATGGGCACTCCAACCAACCAATCTAATACACAATATGCGAGTTCACTGCTATCAAATTTATTTAATAGCAAGGGGTAGCGTTGTCAAAGGTTCCGCAAAGCTTCAATCAATCAATTTGAACCGTTCTAAGCATTCAGTATATTCCTTTGATCATGGTAGATTCTGTTAACATTATCCAACCCTCAAGGCTACATACCCGTACATGAACATATCGCTCCGCTCCATTTTACATTACCTCGCATCTTACTAGTTGCTCGCTTACATACTGACACATCTCAGTGTTTTACCACCACTGAAATTTGAGTACTCATTATAATGCTCTTTCATACCTAGTTTATTGACTCTCTTCTAGATATTATTCACTCTTTTATTTAGGTATACATTGCAGTGTTTTACCACCACTGAGATATATTATTCACTCTTTTATTTAGCTTCGTTGTCCATCGTTTGCACCCTCAGTACTTCGTCGTGAATCCCTATCCTTGGTCCACTGTGCAAACAGGTTATGGGCCCCGGCAAAATGTCTACAAACATCAAGTTCAAAGTTCCTATCCTGAAAGAAGACCTCAGTAACTGGGTCATCTACAAACAACATGTCCAGACTGAAGTCTTGTCACATCGCTAACGAGCTTGCCTCGTTTTTGTGTGAAAGAGAAAGGAAGGAATCTAATGGGCACTCCAACCAACCAATCTAATACACAATATGCGAGTTCACTGCTATCAAATTTATTTAATAGCAAGGGGTAGCGTTGGCAAAGGTTCCGCAAAGCTTTGATCAATCAATTTGAATCGTTCTAAGGATTCGATATATTCCTTTGATCAAGGTAGATTCAGCACGCTTTGTGCTTTGGTTTGTATTGATTTGGGTATATCAAGAATTGGGGTTTTGAATCAAAGTAAATTAAAACCGAAACACACAGACCCCTACAGAGGGCTAGAACTATGTGCTGGCACAACCACACAGCGTGATTTGCCCTTAAGACCAACGACTGATCCTAAGTTCGAAGAATACCCAACAACTGGATATACTTCTCGCAGTCACAAGGAGCAGAACACAACGTTCCTATACTCACAAGTGCCGGGCCCGAATGGCTGCTAGCGAAGAGGTTTCAGTTTGGCGGGAGTGTGTCTTTCCTTTTTACGGATTAGCACTGCAACGTCGTCCCAAAATCACTTGTATTCCAGATACATCGGATCGCTATTTATACATACAGAATATAGAG